ACTAGTTGGACGCCAGTCTAATGAGCTCATCTGATACACATGAGCCCATATGTTAAGACTAAAACTAGTAAGAAAGACACTGAAAGTCAGGCAGTGAAAGACTGACACTCGAAGCTGCAAAGTGTTTAGCACAGATTTCACATTGTGCCAAGTTGTGTCAACGGGAGGGTATTCATAAAACATTAACTTGAAATTTGGACCTTTTTCAACTCAAGCTTTAAAATTTTTGTTATCAGTATTCATAATGTGACTGAAGATATAAGTTTTGGCAGTTTCTCTGTAAAGTGGAATTAGGTTTCATATTGCATAACGAGATGATGACCAAGATTTTGAAAAGATAGAATTAACACAAGGAAACAAAATGACTCTCCATGAAGCCAGGACCATGTTCTTTTATTGTGGAGCACAGCATATGACAGTGTTGAAGATGTCGATGTCGGGACAAGTCACCGAGCCTGACAACCTGATATATTTAGTCGCCTCGATACTCGCCAGTAATCCCCACGGAGATGGTAAAGAAACTAAGTTATTACTTGTCATTGGCTAATGATGATATCGTACCGCTTGTTGTTGTTTTGTTTTGTTGTTGTTTAACTGTCACTCGGCAATAGTCCAACCATATGACGACGACCTGAACATAATTGAGTCTGGACCAGACAATCTAGCGCTCGATATTATATACGACGTCATCGATGTACGCAACTGGATTACGATGACATGCATCAACGTAGTCAGCGAGCCGGACAACCCGATTTGGAGAAAACGAAAGTCATGGTATTCCGAAGAGGTGGTATTGTACAAAAAAGGAAAAGTGGCATTATGATTGTATTCCTCTGGAAGCAGTATCCGCTTATAAGTATCTTGGTGTCTTTTTCACTCCTAAGCTCTCATGGAGTTTGGCAAGAAGTACCCTGGCACAACAAGGAGAAAAAGCTCTGTATATTTTGTTTGGATTCTTGAAAAAGTCTAAGCTTAACATTAAAGAGTCCTTGTTTCTATTTGATAGGATGGTTTCTCCAGTCTTATGTTATGCATCATGTGTTTGGGGATTTGAAAGTGTTCAAGTTATAGAAAATGTGCACTGCAAATTTCTTAGAAAAGTTCTCCATGTTAATTCAAACACTCCAGCAGCAGTTTTGTATGGGGAGCTAGGACGGTATCCATTACATGTAACAACCATGTTCAATTCAATTAAATATTGGCTGAAAATATTAAACATGTCCACAAATAGGTATCCTTAGGCTTGCTATCTGATGTTATATCAGTTAGATGGGGCTGGTAGAGCCACATGGGCAACTAGAATAACATATCTGTTGAACATACTTGGATTTGGTCTCGTTTGGTTTGAACAGGGTGTTGGTGACATAACCCATTTCCTTAGAATTTGTAGGGAAAGGTTGCAGGATTGTTGTAAACAAACATGGGCACTATCTATAAGTGAAACAAGTAAGCTTAATAATTATTCCATTATCAAATCAGTGTTGGAGCCTGAAAGGTATTTGCACAATATGAAGAGTAAAAATTTAAGAATTGTTCTTAGTCGATTCAGATGTGGTAACCAAAAACTGGCTGTTGAAATTGGGCGGTGGGGAGGAGTTGCTAGAGAGGATAGAGCATGTAAAAAAAATTGTTTTGATAATCTGAGTGTATCAATTGTGGAGGATGAAGTTCATTTTATTACATCATGTTACTTGCATAACAAATTCAGTAATATGCTTTTGCCAAGTATTTGCACCAGTAATCTTTGTACTCTCGACAAATTTGAGAAAGTTATGACAGATAATTCTTTGTCAGAATCTTTAGCACTGTATATTGTTAAATGCACACAGGCAAGGCAGGTTTATCTAAGAGGTTAAAGGGAGACAACTTTATATATAGTTTACGAGTGCTTCACTTACTTTTGATGATTATAGTAGCTATTTTCTTAATGATTGTAATTGTTGTTTGTTATTTAAAATTGTTGTGACTTGATTATATACACATGCACTCTGGGCTGGAGACCTTTATTACAGAATAAAAGAGTCTTGAGTCTTGAGAGTCAACCCGATCCCGTTTGTCGCCTCTTACGGCAAGCATGTTTCGCTGAAGACCTATTCTAATCCGGATTTTCACGGGTCTTCTCTCATGGTGGCTATACGGGATACATACATATATGTGCTATATTCACCAAGTTGAAACCATCATTAGGCTGTCAAATACACTGTCAACTAGGTAACCATCATATTGCTCGAAGGATGGCTATATCACACACTGGCATATTGTTAACGAAATAACAATACACGACTGCAATCAATAACAATAGCAATATTCCAGCTATATGACGGCGATTTGTCAATAGACGAGTCTGGACCAGATACTCACTCCACTGATTGACATCATAAGCATCGATCTACGCATTTGAGATTCGATGTCATGCAACCAACTAAGTCACCAAACCTGACCACCCCATCTATTTAGATACTCCCTTTTTGCAGGGGATTATATATATATATATATATATATATATATATATATATATATATATATATATATATATATCCGGAACCCCCACGGGTATCAATGATATAAATGATTTATGGATTTATCAAAAAAGGACAAGATCAGATTTGTTGGCCTGGATATGTATGAGGCTGTATACGGGCCTATTCCAAAGGATTTTGTTTTTATCATTTTCCATGACGCCCTCTACATATTCCGGGTCGAACCATGGGTGGACCTCTGTGTCAAAACCACAAGCATGGCGAAGACGGTAATAAAATGATCGAACCACCCCATCATGTCGCTTAAGATACTGTGTCTGTGCCAAAGCTGGGCATCCACTCACAATGTGTTGGACAATCTCATTAAATTCATTACATAATCTACATTTCATTATCACATTTTGATGCAAAATCACACATTTACGGTTTCGAGTTGGAAGTGACTCGTCCTGAGCAGCAAACAGAAAGCCTTCTGTTTCACTTTTCAGGCCAGACGACTTCATCCAAGAGAAGGACTCTGCAGGATTGCTGATCTTCTCAACACCCTGCACATAAACTCGATGCAGTGGTCGTTCAGAAAGCCGTCTGGGCCGATTTGATATGACACATCGCTTGGTTGACACTCATTTCTGTACCGTCCAGCAGTACAGAACCATCAACAAAATGAACACCGACATTGAGATTATGTCCCACATCCTTGGCTCGTTTTAGAAAACTGTGGAATACCTTGTTTTCATCATGAGTCTTGACATGCTTCACAAGAAGATCATCAGACAAATAAATGTGTGCAAAAGTGCACAAAACAATTCTATCATGAAGAGCCTCAACATTAATCAAACCACGCCCTCCCATCATAATTGGTAAATATAAGCGATTGAGGGAAGAGCGAGGGTGGTGCCATCTATTGTCTGACATGATTCTTCGTGTGAGGGTGTCAATACCCTGAATGTCTTGTTTCGTCCAATCAACAACACAAAAGGATACGAAAGAACGGGCACAGTATACGTATTTGTGGCTTTGACTTTATTGCGAGCGTTCAGCTTGGAACTCCAGATTTTCTTTAGTCTACATTTGTACTCTGCCCGAAGTTTTGCCTTGATATGGGCATTCTGGAGTTTGTCCCTAATCTGCATCCCTAAGTACGTATAGGCCTGACCTTCCACGAGATAGTCAATAACTCCTCCTCCAAGTAAACTGACTGATCCTCCCTCTTCTACCTTGCCACGTTTAAAATGAAGAATGCTGCATTTATCGAGTCGAAAGGACATGCCGATATCATTAGAAAAGGACTCGACAGGCGAAATCTGTTTTTTGAGTGTAGATTCTCCATTGGCAATAAGTTCAAGGTCATCCATGTAAAGGAGGTGAGTAAGGGTTGTTGGGGATCTGTGCTTAGGAGGTCCCGGGTGATCACCTGCCTCTTTGCTGAGCAAAAAGCTTAAAGGATTTAGTGACAGAAAAAGAAAGGGCTAAAAGAATGCCCTGAAATATTCCTCTTCTAATAGAAATGTTATTATTATTATTATTATTATCTCCCGGTATAGCACCGCCACTCACACAATTTTAATGAAAAAAGTAAGTGTGAGGTGTTTGTTCATTTCTTCAGAGTGAGTGAGTGAGTGAGTGAGTGAGTGAGTTAGGCTTAACGTTGCTTTTAACAATATTCCAATTATATCACGGCGTGTCAGCTTCATAAGGGAGGTCTTAGACGTTTACCACTTTGGAGAAACCCACGAGCATGAATATGGTACTGACAAACCTAGAAACATAATCGGGTCGAACCGGGATTCGAACCCACAATCATAGGTGTCTGGCGTGTCCAAGGGACGCAACTCTGCACAGCAAATTAAATTCATTTACTCACTCACTTACAAAATGTGTTCAGTGATCCAGCAGTAAGTTTGGTACCTTAAAACGCACACAAGACACTGATGTTGATGTATTACATAGCAAATATGATATCAAATGAATAATAGCCCATCACTCAAAATTGCAAATATATGTTACGTTCCTGGTTTCAACATTACACCAACAGGTAAGTGTCTCATCATGTACATCATTACATTCACTGAAAACTATATATGGCCTGTAATAAAAAGTAGGGAATGACACGGTTATAGCTTTGAGCTGGTTATGCAAGTTTTAACCAAACGAATGCATGTGTAAACACAACGGGATATAGTGGCTTGTCTTATCTCCAGACAACTGGCCGCTGTAATGTCAGCGACTAATAAATACATCTGATAAGCACAATGCACATTTTGCGCTGGATTAACCCCAGGCCTGGTGTACAGATGGTCCCTATTTGTTTCCACTGAAGGGTTACTAATCTGTTTCGCTATTACTGATTATAAAAGAAATGACCATATCGATTACCTAAACCTAGAGATTTACTTAGCATGTTGTCAAGGACTTGTGTTCACCCAAATGCGGATTAAACACCTTGTGCGCAGAGAAATCTGCTTTTACAAAGATATTTCTACAGCTATATGCTTTGGCTTGGAGTGTGCGAAATTGCAATTAGACAGTGCCCGTCATATTTTCATTTCCAGGTATGATATGATTGGTGGAAAACGAGAGGAACGCTGTTTGGAGTTTACACTGTCTCAGCAATGATTGCTCGGCATGGTCACAGAGGAGTAGAAAACGTAAGTACCTTTTCTCTATATGCATCCTTCTTATATGAATGTGCATGGTTATCAAGATATGTGTGTTCAGTTGAGATAGTGTTAAAATACACATGTTATTTTTCGCCTTTCGAGTGATGCGTGGTTTTGGTCAGGACCACGACTGATCCAACAGGACCCGTAGATTTTTCTATAGGACCTGTTGATCCTTTGGACAAAGCCAAAACGTACCAGTGTCAAACTTTGCATCAATGTGTTAATTTACATATCGGTATACATGTAGTTGAAAGAAACTAGATGAGATATGTGAATCTTTATTCATACATCAGCCAATCTATCTGTTCGTATTTAAATACAAGTCGTTGACCCGAGTTCCGTGACTCAAGAAGGCTTTGTGACGTTTTGTTTTAAGATCTCGCATGAGTCTTATTTAATTGTCATTGGGTTCTTATGGAATTCTCACCTTCGTGTGATCTTGACCTTTGGAAACAAGCTAAATATTCGTGTAGTTGTGGCCTCAATTGTCAAGACGAGATTGAGAGATTGTAATCCTACTCAAGTGTCTCGACTTTTGTGAAAAAGTACTTTGTAGGAAAGAGACGCGAGTGCGAGACCACGAGAACGCGAGGATTTGGCCAAATCTCCCACTTTTGGCATCGTAAGCTTTTCCAGATCGCGACGACGTGTGTATGTCACTTACAATATTCCACATTTTCTATCATAATTGCAATGTAACGTTCATTAAATATTGCTATGACTCGACTATAGGAATAGGAATAAACAATATCCCCTCTGATCAAATTAAAGTCCTACCATGTATTGTGAATAATCATTGTTCACATATGCTGTACAGTTGGAGAGAAGACACCCTACCTTCAGCTTATATGAAATGTATTTTTAGATAACCATTTAACACTGTCTATATATTTAACACTCAAGACACAGGTGGAACTTATGTAGTGTTAATCTGATCAAATGTTTACAGAAGGAAGAAAATCAGTTTCACGTTTTTTACATTTTAGTTGTCAAAAGTAGTTAAAGGGCTAAACGATACATATGTATATATCTTTAACGATATAAATTAATAACCGAATCAATCAACTACGATCGTACTGATTTTGCGGCTTTGGAGATTGGGGATATTTAGATATTTAGATCAACGTAATAACTGCGTATAAACAAGAATACCAGATAAAAAAGAAAGTCTAACTGCCGTACGTCTCTTTAGTTAATCCAAATAACTAGACATTTACCATAATTGGTGCAAAGAATTTGCGTTGAACAATGACATACCAATCCGATTAGTTTAGGGGAGGCAACTATGGTATCGCAGTTTAGATATGGGCTGACCATGACATGGTTCATAGTCCAAACGCAACACACATCTACACTGAAAATGAGGCATTAATGAACAGTGAACATAAACTGTCAAACGCCATCTGTTGCGTTGCTAAATCAGTCTGAATAACGACTGGTTTCATCTTAGGCAATTGGACCCAAAGTCTGTCATCAAACAACGATGGAAAGAACCTACTAATCTAGCATTTACGGTACCTTGTGACAAGGTGCAACATAAACATTAATATCACTAACCCATTGCTTTACTATTTTCTATTGGTAGTGTACACATTATGTTATAGTAAAACACAGTTTAACCAAAACTATATTTTTTGTGATGTGCATTTATTTTGTTGTCAATTTGTCATTACTGACGTTTTATGTCAGTGTAACACCTATTATTGATTCTAATTTTCGCTGTACTACAATGATATTTCAACGCAACATAGAGCACATTCTCCTGTTGTTCGGTGCCTTATTGCTGGCTGCGACGTAAGAGAACAAACACTTACTCTTTCATGCAAACTGGGGGCGGTCGGGTAGCCTAGTGGTTAAAGCGTTCGCTCGTTACGCCAAAGACCCGGGTTCGATTCCCGACATGGGTTCAATGTGTGAAGCCTATTTCTGGTGTCCCCCGCCGTGATATTCCTGGAATATTGCTAAAAGCGGCGTAAAACCATATTCACTCACTCACTGATGCAAACTGTGGGAGTGGTGGGTTCTGCCGGTTGAGCAGGACATGCTTACCCTTTGTTTATTCTTTAACTGAGATTATCTTCTTACAAATCAACCACTGGGTTAGAACAGGCTCACATCACTCTATTACTGTAACAGGTGACACAATTGGTTGATTGAGACTCATCGTAGCAATGCACGGCAGGGTACGTTGACTATATTATCAACCAAGGATGATACTCGATCACTTACAGGCCGCCGTGATGTAGCCAGGATATTTCTAACTGCGGCTTTCAACAACATTCACCTACTCGCACATACACATCTTATTATCAGCATATAAACTGTCTGGCAAAAGAAAGATAATTGGATTTAACTAAAACGTTACAAACGTTATCTAAACGTAACTAGTCTGAAAACAGTCGCCGAAAACGTTACATTTAAAGTCCAAAACACAACAATGAAACCGGTATCAAATACATCACCATCGAATACATGAATCTAATAAGAAAGAATGTCGTAGTTATTGTGACCTGTCGTTATTATTTTTTTTTTACAGAGCGTGAGAAACAGCAGGTAGAAAGGTTTGTGATTCTACAAGTCAGTTAACTGAAGCGATTGTCACTTACCAACTCTGCTCGTCTGGTCAAAGAGGAAAAGCGTTGTTTATAATGATCGAAGAAAGGACAGGTGAATCATAAGATTTGCCACACGATCGGACAGAACGGAATTAAAACAAGCCATGGATCCGCAAAACCAAGCGCAAAAAGATTCCCCTCTTAAGACCAAAATGAAAAAGGTCGTAAAAATTATATGCAGACAATACTCCCGCAAGTGTCTGAATCCTACTGGAGAAGATAAGTTCTTTTACCTGGCTCAGACTCTCATGAAAGAAAAAATCCACGGTCTTCCAAATTACGGCATTTTCGCAAACATCGAACAAAAAATCGATGGAGTGATCGAATCCGTTGTGAAACGTCCCACAAGCGGAGCAGACGACGGCCCCCAGCAGCGACTTAAAAGCTCTTTGCAGCGAAAACAGAGCTTCGCATTGCGTAGAGCACATTCGCCGGTTGAGGAAGAAGCATGGCTTGGTCTCCAGCGAGAAAGTCAACTCCCTGAATTTGAAAGATATCCCTGTTTGTGGCAAAACGACTTGTTTAAGATGGCAGCCGACTCACAAACCCAGGATGCTATTCGTAAAAGTAGAAACAAGATAAGCAACAGTCTCAATCTATCTGGTGACAGGTTTGCTCGACTGATGCGTTTGAGGCAAAATGTTTTTACCATTGAGAAGAAGTTCCGATCTTTGTTGAAGAACGGTTCTAGAAGAGAGACCGATGTCGACGAACGTTCAAAAATAACGCATAGTTTGGGAACAAGTGAAAGGCCTTCAAGGTTCAAAGAGCCGGGCGAGGTAACCATTCCACTTTTTTTTACAACAAATAACCTATTCTGCTAAGTGTGTGCCTCTTTCAGCGTCGAAGTAATCTAAGGCGCCGCAATTCGGTCAAGTTATTTTTGGAAGACACCATTATTTTGATTGACATAGTTTTCGTTTAGATAACCAATACCAATCACTGCTGTTTATGTAGATTTAATATTAACCACCGTACAAGTTCGGTTAGAGTTGGTCTTCCCCAACCCATGCTTGTCGTAAGGGCGTCTAACGGGATTGGGTAGTCTGGCTCGCTAACATGGCAGATGCATGTCATCGTATCACAATTACGTAGATCGATGTTCATGATGTCGTAACTGGATTGTCTGACTCGATTGTCGTCATATAGCTGGAATACTGCCATACTGCCATACTGCCGTCATAGAGCTGCAATATTGGTGGGTGAGGCGGTAAATACCAATGATCAAAATTATTAATCAACATCGAAAGTGATAATACATGGATAGGTGGTTGTAAAAACATAGTTTCTTTGTCCACAAGCATCTCAGTTCTTTTACAAAAAAACTCAACTACTACTGCATGTCAAAGTGAAATTCGGTGAGCTGTTTTTAAAAGACAGTATCGCTGATTTGAGTTTGGTGATAAATGATGTAGACTGATGCTATGTTTGTCATTGCAGGCTCGGATGCTATTCAAAAAACAAGCTCGGATACTCCTGATTGCTATCAAATGGCTCAACTATGTGTTTACGTGAGTATGCTTGTAACCAGTGTGTACACCTTCTCTATGATAATATACAAACAATTCCTAACATACATATATCTGCCCAAAATGTGTACCGTGAAATAATTTAAAACATTCCTTGAGATTCTATTAACACAAGTTTCATACTTCTACAATAGGTGAACCCAATTCACTACACAAAAACAGGCAAGGCATTGTGCGACCACAATGGCAAACGTACCAAGTTGCACTAATCAGTTCTCGCCAATTCTCGCACCGGTCAGATGGTTTTGCGGATAACATACGAGTAATAACAAATACGTTTCTTCTTCTCATCGATAAGAGGAACTAATCGGAACTGTGATAATCTGTATCGGTGAGATTGGTCTCTGTTCCTTGCAATCAGTTGATATTATAGGTATCGTTGTCGTGAACACTGTCGCTAATGCTTATTCCGACAATCGTTTTTAACGTAACAATTTTGTATGCAATCATAAGGTTTAGAAACTTCAGGCAGTTTTGTCAATCATAAGGTTGAGAAACTTCCGGCAGTTTTGTGCGTCGAAATGTAAGCTTATAACAATAGTACGTTACTTTGGCTACGACATCACGGGAAACAACGAGATTAAATTTTTTTATAACTCCCACCCATTGCCCAATCTTAAAGACAACGATATGTGCATTCAAATGTGACATTGTTAATTATAAGTCTGTCCACCTGCTTGTGGAAGAGCCACTTGCTTGTGGAAGAGGTTGAATACAAGAGCTACTGTATAACATCTCCATAAAAAAAATTGTATAAATAAATGCTTTACTAAGACTGTAATGATAAACAAAGGTTATACTCATCTTCCAGTATGTGAAGGCTTAGCATATCCTCGTATCCTTGTATCCCCCCAGTCAAGTAGATTGATAGCTTTCATTTATCCGATATTTTGTTGATGGTTATTTTTCAATTGCGAGGTATTTGTTCGTTTTAGTAGAACTAGACAACTAGTAAAAACTGGTATAAAGAAATGTTTCATATAACCCATTATTGAGTGAGTGAGTTAGTGAGTTGAGTTTAACGGCGCTTTGAACGGTATTCTTCTTATATTACGACGTGCCAGCTTAATAAGGGAGGAAATCCCGAAGTGATGCAGGTCTTAGACATTATTGAATGAAATACTATCACACGAGTGCCTTATACGAATCATGCTCCGACTCAATCATAATAGCCCGCCGCTTTTGTATACAAATACCATGAGAGAAATCAATTGAATCCTAAACAAAACCATTATACCTCTGACCTATTTTGATATGCTACAGCATCTACATCAACAGAAACTATCAGGCCCCTAAAAGAAATATTCATACCCCTAAACACAACCAATCATATACTACTTGACAATCATCACACTTTGGAGCTAAAAATGTCATAATACCCCTAATGGAAACATACACAACTATACACTATACACAACCTACCTTATACCTAGAGGACACCATGTTACCCCAAACTAGAACCCATCATCCCCCATAAGGGTCATCTTTCCGAGGCAAGGGATTTTATGCATAATCCAATCAAAATCGCGTAACGAAATCGACATCAGGTTCGTCAACTGTCGTGCAGATTTCGGTCTATTGCGGGATTTGTAAAGCATGTGTACTCGGCGTCAACAGATATTTTCCAAATTCTTTCATGTTTCTTATCAAGGTGGTCACGTGATTTGATTTTGATTATGCATCTGATCGTCTTGATTGGGCGCTGCCATTTTGTGTGAAGCAAAATCAAGTGATATGAGAGGTTGAATCTGATTGGTCAATATGAGGGACATAGAAGGGACACAACTCGTAATATCCACTGGTAGCGCTACAATCGAGCCCAGAAATTCCAGTAGAGTTCGGCAAGAGGGGAAACTGGACTTTTACAGTCATCTGACTCCATTGCCTTGGGAAGATGCATCCAGGTAACCCGATACCCTGATGTTAAACCCATACCCATAAATAAAACAACGATACCCGGAAACAAAAGTTGTATGTGTTCAAGACCGTTGCTGTTATATACTTACATGTCCCCCTGTCAAGACAAATAGCAAAGTATGCAGGGTAGGGTAATTGAGTGAGTCGGGTTTAACGCTGATTTGTTAGAGTATGGTAATTAGAACGTGGAGTGTTAGCTGAGCTTGGGAGGAAAGCATTTCGTAGACTTTGAACTGCACCCTTGGAGCCCACGAGCACGACCTCTAGCAAACCAAAGATAATAATCAGGACAAATCTGGGATTCACGACAAGCGGATCCTGTCATGACTAAGGAACGCAACTCTGCACCGCGAATAGCTGCGCTTGGAAGACATCCGCGGGTCGTAGACGTTTACCACTTTTGTGAAACCCACGACCACGGGTATAGTACTGACAAGCCAAGGATCTAAGGGGTAGCGACATATTGGTCGTTGAGATATACACACAATGCACTGTCTCAAGCCCACGTCACGAGTCGCTATATTAAGCATAACTGGCCCCTCTAAGCTTCCTCTTGTTTACATTAATCCGCAGGAGACCCAATTCATCAGTCTGTAGAACACCAGTGGCAAGTTCATTCAATATTATGAGCCCACCACTTTGTTCTGTGACAATAATAGCTGCAACTCCCCTCAATCATCCACAAACAGCGATTACTCGATAAAACCCGTGCTTCAAGATTGTCCCCAGATTGCTGGACAGCAGCATTGTTCGCCTGGCGCCAACAACTGCGCAGCATTCATGGCCAGGTCAGAGTATCTGGAGCCGTGTCGAAAATGTAAAGTCTAACGTTTAGGTTTGCATTAATTACAAAACGAACCACTTACTCGAGATCAGTGTGTGTAGTGTATAACTTATGACGATAAACACTTGCCATGGAGAAGTACATAGTTATAGTGTATAGACTGTGACGATAAAGACTTTGGACAATTACGAGTTTAATAATGGACATGTCACCTAACTGCATTTACCATACTGCAATAAAGATATGAATGCCTTTTTGTGTCAAAACAGATGTCATATACCATTATACCTTATCAATGATGGTCATTCGTCATAACTCGCCTCTTCTGTAACATGGCTTAGCCAGTGCCGAAACATGGATAGATAAATACCCCCCGGAGTGATTCTAGGGCAGAATTGGTCCTTATCCCATAGCTTGTCTTAAGAGCCGACTACGGATCGATGGCTACAATGTGTCACCTGGTTGAAGGTGTTGCTTCGCCTCATTTGTCTGGCGTTGTAAGCTTCTGATGCTATTAACAACTTGTCATGCTTGGCCTAGATGTTCTAGCTGGGATATTGCTGAGTGCGGCGTAACACCACATTCACTCATAATTGCGGCATACTGTGGGTGTGTTTCAGCAAGGGTCACCTGAACTGGGAGCAGGAGCTGAAGACGTTTGCCGACGTTGCCGTGGAGATGCAGGAGACGACAGCACAACCGAAGTGTCTGAAGGATTCAGGGCTGAATTTTGATAAGAACCATTACAAGGCGAATAGGGAGGTACACTCATTGACATTTCCTCCCGTCTTCCTCCAGTATATATATTTATATATTCACCAAGTTGTAATGTTATAATCTACGTTGTATTGATGCCAGCAGGTTAATTACAGTAAACAACCATGAAGGTCAGGTATATCAAGTTTTATTAAATGTAAACTGCCGGATAAAAGAAAATAGACACATTAAAATTTGATGTGACCTTAACAACTACAAACGTTATCAAAACGTAACTAGGCTGAAAACAGTCGCCGAACACACAGCAAACTTCAGGTCCAAAACACAGCTGTGATACCCGTATCAAATAGACCACCAACGAATAACCAATATCTTTATTGTTTCATTTTAGTTACAATCAAATATGCTTTCTTTTGCCCGGCAGTTTGTCAAAATTATGTTACAGCGCATAAATTCTGAAACACATTAGGAAAAAGACGTTTTCTTGTGCTAATGTCTGTCCGATATTATGAACTGTTGATAAAACGTTTGTAACATCTCTATGAACACCGTCTCTGAGATTCCAAAACATGATAGACCCAATCATAGTATTTCCTGCATCTAAGGGGGAACCAACAGGTCACAATAGCTGCCAGGTATGGATGGGGTTTTCTAACTGAAAGGTTTCCCATGCTTGTTGGAGCCGATGTTAAATTGGGATTGGTGGTGACATGGCTGATGAGAAAGTTTTCGTACTCCACTGACGTTGAGCGTAATGTGGTGGTCATTCAATCATTCTCTTCGATAACCACCTGGAACACCAACTGTCAACATTGACGTGCTCGATGCACGCAGTCAACAACTGGCCATGATTTGGCCCAAAGTTAACGCTGCCTTGATAAGGCAAAACATTTTTAAAATCATTTTCATGAAAGTGAAAATTGTGTTTTTTAGGTCGAAAACATTAAATGCGTTATACAAATATTTTTTTATCACCTTAAAGTTTCATTTCGATCGGTTCGTGATACCAGAATATAAAAACATCTGCGCCTGGTTTGGGTCGTTATGACTATTGCAAATAAAAAATCTTACTTATAATGGAGATTTATCTTTGGAAAACGTTTTGGTCATAACATCTTATGGATTCAAAATGTTTCTATAATAAACGCCATCTTTATCGTCGGTGGTAAAAAAACCTCTCGTTATTCTGAAACAGTATCTTCTGAAATTTCGTTTTTTAGTTCGTCGGATCCGTGAACCAAGCAGTCAAACAATATTGCTTAAACCCCCTTTCATTCTGTCCTCTGCTGTGTTGAAGATATCTTTGAGCGCGGACGTACGCCACTACCTGTCCCTCAACCCCTGGGCTCGCACCCCAGAGATGCTGCAACAGGTATGGGGGAAATAACTCGGATTGTGTTTCATTTTGAATCATTGTACGAATTCGAAATGATCCTTTTTTAATACTTTTGAGCAAACGTTTTCTCGTCGAGAGTGACATTTACCAACATAACATCCGGTAAGAAAAACAAGTCTCGAAGTGACGCCATAGGTACCATACCATTTCCATAACCCTCCGCTTTTCAAGTAAGCGTTTGAAATATGAGGATGGTAGTTCAAGTACATGCAAGTATAAGGCGTAGCATACAGGCGTGAGGATAACGTTGATCGCCGTGAGGGTTTAAGATAGCCTTTGACAATCCGAGGTGAAATTCAGGAAACATATTCTTTTCATTCCCATCACAGGTGCTTCATGGTCTACAGACTCTCCAGTCTCTCTCCGAGTACCCGCTCCGGACCCAGGAGCGTCTGTGTCGAATGGCATGGTACCAGAGGTGAAGAACCTGTTTACCTTCTCAACCATACATGTGATGATTGTATGGACAAAATGCTGCATACATAGGGATTTGGGGACATCCACAGTGCCCCGTGCTTGACCCGACTAAAATGTGGATTGGAGTGCCCAGAATTGCTACTTATTATGAATAGTAATTTTCGTGGAACTTAGTTCATCTGATACACGGTCTAATACATGCAGCTATTATAGGGCTGTAGTATGCTTACATACAAAAGGAGGCCATTCTTTGTTTTGACAGCACACTTGGGATTCCGGGTTAGACTGCCCCCCCTCCCCTCCAGCAACATATGCTTGTCGTTATGGGCGACTAAATGAATCGGCGATCAGGCTCGGAGTCTTGGTTGCATGTCATCGTATCTCATTTGCGTTGATAGATGCTCCTGATGTCAGCCGCTGGATTGTATGGTTTAAAGATTATTAACAGTCCTCACAAAGAGGAAATATTGCTTAGTGCGGCGTTAAACAACAAACAAGCAGTGTTGTGACAGCATTACTACACAACGTGACGCTGAATGCATGCCCTGGTTCTTTCTGACCCAGAATGTCGTGAGTGACTGAACGTTTTTCAATGCAACATTCAGCAATGCTAAAGATGGTCATCGAGTCACACTGAAAGGCTGAAAGACCCTGTACCACGTGGCCTAAGTAGGTCACAATGAATCCTTATTCTGCATACATCAGCAGCACGTCTTGACAAACATATCCTGCGAAATAAACAATTGTGTTAACATTGTTGAGTGCCGTGATATTTTTACACAAAGCGTATACCCATACCTTTTGTGAAATTGCCATCGATGGCAACCTTTATTGTTGACATGACATCATACACTTATGACGTCATATCAGTTTGTCTTGACAGCATACACGAATAACAACACGCGGAATGCTTGATCTGGTTCTGACACAGAATGTCGTGAGTGAATTGTGTTTTACGCCACAGTCAGGTATGCCATGACGAATTATGAACGTGTCGTCATACATGTATACCCATGACGTCATATGGCCATATATTTATGTTCCAGGGTAGAAGCCAAGAAAGCAATTATCAGACAGGGCCATTATCCCGAGTGTTTCTACTTCATTCTGTCAGGGGCGGGTGAGGCATTATTTTCAATTTTCTTCTTACGGTTTTGAAACAATGTGCACAATCTAATTATAATCAGATCGTTTACTCCGATATAATACCCCTCTGTCTGAAGTTCACAGGGCACTTCCATGGAAGCTCGTGTCAGTTGAACTTTCGGATCCGCCAGTCGAGCGTTTAAGGTATGGCATGTGTGAGCAAAGTATTCAGACAAGCATATCTGTCTTCAGCATCCTAAAATCGAACATAATCGAGGAATTCTTGAAACGAAAAACAATGCCGCGCTGTTATATTGTTGTGGATCTTTTTTATTCATTCTGTCTTTTGTGAGCACCATGGTATCTACATGTACATCCAAAGGTTATGTTTTTTTTCTGTGGCTGTTTCCATTGGCAGATCCAATTCGAGGCGGTTAATGAGGTGAGGTGAGGTGAAATTGGGTTTAACGTCGCGTCCAAGATTATTGCACTTATATAGCGACGTGCATGCACGTGTATGTGTGTGTGTGGCTGCTTGTACTAGTCCGGACTGATGCCGATTTATAGTGCTAGCTCACTGAGATACCATGCCGCAGTTTAACATGAATACCCCACTCAGACACAGTATACTGACTCCGAGCCGACCAGTCCTTGTTTTAGCCCCTTAATGCCGAGCGCCAGACAGGGTAACAACAAGTACAATCTTTTAACGTCTTTTTGTATGACGCGGCCCGGGATCGAACCCTGGACCTTCCGCTCTCAGGGCGGACGCTCTACCACAAGACCACGGAGGCGGTCGAGGCGGTTAATGAAAGCAACAAAATACTTCCCGTAATCATAAGAACGCTCTGTTTAAAATAGAGTTGATTCCGACCATATCATGAGCATGTGTTTATGAATCACTATCAAATAGTGATGATACCAGGTGTTCGCGAAAAGGCAAGCGTATCCTGCGATTAAATGAACTGCTTTCTATAGCTGAAAGCTGATTGGTCTAAAACCCACACTTCCTTCATATTGATTGGGCAGTCAATGTTCGTTCAGGGTTCGTTTAGGGTTCTTCTATGGAGTTGTCCTTAGATCTGATTATAATAAGATTGGAACGTATGCGACTAAAGATTCAGAGTGTCAAAACACTCAAAACACTCTCCACAAGACTGTATGACAAGAGGAATGACTTCAGCTTTCCATTAGTCAACATTCCCGTTATGACAAACCATATTCCAACAGCCTTTGGTGTTTATATTTCACAACTGTTGAGGTACAAACGAACATGCTCTTTCCATCAAGATTTCAAAGAACGTCTTACGAATCTTACTCAGAAGTTGTTTGATCAAGGTTACGACATTCAAGGCCTCAGAGATTTATGGTAGACAAATGGAGGACATTTCTAAATTTGACGCATCAGTGACACAAATTGTGCCATGCAATTTCGTATTTTTACTTGTACCATTCCCGTGTTTTTCTTTCAGATAAACAAATGACTTGCCTTTGCTATTTGCTGTGTTTGTGACATTGTCCCCACGGGGCAAGATACGCATATAAGTACTCTTAATATTTCTGTATCTTACAGCATACGTAAAGAAAATGGTTAAGGACTCTGAAAGCGGGGAACAAGCGATATCAACTGTAGCCAGATTGACGCGGGGGCAGAGCTTTGGGGTGAGACATTTCTCCTGATACCCAAAACACACGTTGGGACTCTGGTGCAATATATGTCCTACTGACATATCTGCTGACTAAACTGGGAACCGGCCGGTCACAATAGATTATTAGCTTATTGTGTTCTGTATCCATGCGACATGGTTCGTGTACTCGTGGAATCAACCATTAGTTTGCCTGGTCCAGTCGCGATTATTTATATTTGGGCTGCATTTAAGTAATCATGCACGAATTATTTTGAATTGTTCTCTGCAAGAGTCTAGGGTAGGGTAGTGATTCATATTAAGAACAACGTCCAATTCCGTCGGGGTCCGATGACCCGCAATTAACCAAATCACCGAGTCTGATCGCCCGATTCATTCGCCTCTTACAAATAAAGGTTGGGTGAGAGTGACCCTTACCGATAAAGCAGGTGTATTTTGCAGGTACGCTTTTCACAAATTCCCTCAGATTAAGACCTTACATGTTTAAACTCTGAATCTGTTTTATTGTTTTCGTTATCACAGTTATAGTTATATATGTCACTGGACGAAACTCTTTTTTGAGTTTTGGTGAATTATGCACAACCATTTCTTAACCAGTCGAGTAATTTACCTGCAGGTGACCTATTCATGACTGACAATGTTAAGGTTACGAGAACGTTCTATCGCTCTAGCCGATAGAACAACGAGGACTATTCTGTAATGCTATTACGACGACCTGTACTCATACCTGGACTTGTGGTCGTAAGAGTGAGCAACAATGATCTTCGCTGGGTAATGAATAAGTTAGTACGCCGCAGTAACATTACCGCCATACTGCGACCGTCTGTTCATAGTCGAGCCTAGACCGGCCAAATCATTAGTTTACTGAACTTGAAACATTAACAACAAGAACAACAACAATAAGAATAAGAATAATGTTGGGAAGTCACATTTTTCGAACAGTTCTGGGTGGGTTTGACTCGGCAGCGCTTAAGCCCTTAAGTCCCATTCGCTGTCTGGGCTGGTAGGCTGTCTTAGGTTTGGTGCCTCCCAATCTGTTGACTGACATTGGGAGAGTACCCGGGTTTGCTACCAGGAATACAGCCCTTCTGACAATCTGGGTAATGCAGAAGACTGCAGTGTTGGGGAGTCTTCACATTCTCCGAAACGTTCTGGGTGGGTTTGACTAGGCAGCGCTTCCTGTGAGAAGTCCTATTCGATGTCTGGGCTGCGTGTAGAGGGGGTAAGGGCCCTGAGTTGATGATGAGCCTAACCAGCCTGACTGTGCCAGGATCACCCAAACCCTCTTTGCTGCATTTTTTAAAATCTGTAAATAATAATAATAATAATAATAATAATAATAATAAGGGAACATGGGTGTTTATTACCCGTATAACTGCAATTACATCAGCCTCGTTTCATTGCAACTGGTTTTTCGGTTAATTACTCTCATGACAACGCATGACATGATTTAATAGCATAGTAGGTAATGTGATAATTATATAATCCTGTTATGACAATGCCAGCGCAGTCTACCGTTTAGGGTAATCCCAAGCTTATTTGCTGCAATGGCTTGCGACAGACGGTTGGGATCACATATCGGCCCAGATACTCTAATCGTTATGTTTGCAGGAAGTGAGCCTGATATTCGACTCTCCACGAACGGCCACAGTTGAGAGCGCCAGTTCCATGGAGCTCCTGGTGATCAGCAAGACCGACTTCCTAACTATCTTCATGAACGCCGACGACCCTGAAGAAGAAGCAGACCACATCAAGTTTCTCAGGTAACAATACCAACACCATCATTCTCGCAAACCTTGACGTTGTGTGTGAGTGAGCATTGTATTACGCCGCTTTTAGCAATATTCCAGCAATATCACGGCGGGGGACACCAGAAATTGGCTTCACACTTAGTTCATATGTAGGGAATCGAATCTATCTATCTATCTATCTATTGTATTCTTCAGAAAATGGCATTTTAGAACAGAAAAATATAACATTGTAATATGACGAAAAACATTTTTTTAAAGGCACTTAAGTACTAAAGTACTCATAATATATACCAAATGAAGAATGACCATGTATGTATCAGAACATGTCTTATTTGAAAGGAATGCAGTTAGAGCTTTTATGTACTTAGATTGTAGGGCTTCCCTTATGGTCTTAAACAGTTTCTTCCGGTAACCAGATTAGTCCTTGGTAGTCAGCCTTTGACATAAATCACCGCTATTTGAATAAGAAAGACCAATCATCTCTTAGACTAATAAATATATATTGTAACAACGTGCCTTCCTATGTGTGCGACGACGCTATATATGTTTCAGACAGATCCCAGTCTTGAGGCACTGGCCGATAGGGATGCTGAAGACAGAGCCTGGGACCTGCCTCCTGCACTACTTCAAGTAATGTCTATCGTCAACATATTGTACCCGATGTCTAGATAAATTGTCTATTCAAGCCATGTGGAATGGTGAAAAATATTCGCTATATTTAATTTCCATCGGCAATATGTTAATGATTGCTTAAACATATCGCCCTCCTATATATGAAGCTTACATGCACACATATTGTATAGTGACCTTAGTTAAGCTTCCGATAGTGGTATGATACTCAATTATACAGTGTATCACCAAAAAGGGTAACTACAGACCCAAATATAACATATTTAACTGGTCAATTTATAAGTAAATAAAGTTAAGGAAGTCCTTCAGATGTGAGAGGAAATTATGTTTTACAAATCATTTTATACCACAGAAAATGTCGCCCGTAGTAATATACATGCATAAACCTGTGTCGTTGTGTATAAGTATACGATACAATGATACGTATCCTTAAAGAAAGTACCTCGATGTGCCGGTTCTTAGTCGCTTCAAACGCCATAAACGTTATCAGCCGAATTTCATTTAGTCCAATTTCATGAAAATGAGATATTTTCCTCCGAAACGATTCCTCTCTGCGTCAAGATCTGAGGACACTTCCATGGCAGGTGCGCTAGGTGAACCCTTAGCGAGCTTTTAGCGACCAGTCCATTTGAAGGCTGCATGGGTTCTTGAATTTCTATATTCTTGATTTCTGAAACGATTCGGCTTCATTTTTTATCATGGCGATCGGAAACGAGAGGGTGTATGAAATATTCACAACTCTATGATGGCGTCTCTATGCTTCCTACTTTCGGAACTTGTCGTTTTAGTCCGTTTTCGAGAAAGAGAAATCATGCTGGTTTGAATGCTTCTAACACTCGTACGGAGAACTTAGAAGTCTCGACGCTGATTGGCCGAAAATTCAACTGACGCGACTGCCAATGGAGGTGTTCTCAGATCTAGTTTATCGTATGGCGTATCGTATGGGAGTAAAATATTTTATTTTGATGAAATTGCATATTGTTTATAGTAGCTGTGTACGCGATGTTTCCAACATAATGTCATGTTTACACGTTGGAATGATGTGATGATGTTGTTTGTTGGGTAGGCGAGGTACGCTGATCACAGACAACGGCAGCTCCAGTGAATGGCTCTACTTCATCAAATCTGTGAGTTCTGTGATTAAAGTATTATTATTTTTAACACTAAATAACATAACTCTAATCATCGTATCTAATCTCTAATCATTTCATTTTTTCATTACATTTTAATAAATAGATATTTAGTTCACTCATAGACTTGATAATGTGAATTGTAAAATACGTGTGCATGTATACATAGTCTTTCTTTGTTTTGTCATCTGATCAGTGATTTAAGTTCAGTAATGACAAACTGATAAAAAAGTAAAGAAAGAATGTTTTCATTTTTTAACCCGACCGACACTGCGTATAGTACACCAAAATGTTTGAAAAAACCACACGTTTTAACATTTTTTTACCATTGACCCAAGGTTTCGGAAAGTACTAATTTGAAAAAAAGTAATAAAGGAAGGACCAGTGATAAAAAAAGACCGAAGACGTACTGTCGGGTGTACTTTTATCAGGCTAAAAAGGTAATCCGCGTGATGTTGCTTGCATCGCGATCAAAAGCCTTAAGTTGTGGACAAAAGCCTTAAGTTGTTATGTAGAAATATTAATATATATTCGAAGAACAGAATTATTATGGTGATCACCTCCTTGTCTTCAGGGCTCATGTGAAGCCATCAAGCGCCTGCACGCAGTGAAGGGGCGGGGCCCTAGGGATCAAAGGAAACATCTCAACCCGCTATATGACGTCATCCTCCCTACACTCAGCTCAGGAGAAACAGGTGTGGTTATCAGAAATATTGAATGACGTGAAGCCCTAGGGAGATTCCGGGTTAGAATAGGTCCTCAGAAACATATGTTGGTCGAAAGACTTAATGTCCACAATATCGATCACTGGATTGTCTGGTCTAGATTTGATTATTTACCGGCAGCTGTCGTAAAGCTTTAATATTGCTGAGAGCGGCTAACAACACGAAGTAAACATCAGTCAGTCGGTGACACCAGTTACTTAAGTAGGGTAGCCTAGTGGTTAAAGTCTGCGCCCGTCACGCCGAAACCCCGACTTGGATTACCCACATTGTTACACCCCAGTTCTGGTGTTCCTAACCGTGATATTGCTAAAAGCGGCATACAACCATACACGCTCATCAATTTGAGGCTGAAAACTAGAAAAGGTACATTGCCACGTTGCATGAAGCCTAATGCACATTTGGACTATATAGAGCAAGTACATTATCCTCACCACTGGACAAGAAACTATTTTTTGGTTCTCATTCCCATGAATAAAAGACAATGAAGGATTTGAGTTAAGCGAAACCCTGTAATTACGAATGGTACTGTTCCAAGCCAAAACTTCGTGATTAACAAAGATTTGTGATGACGGTTTAACCTTGCCTTTAACATTAGTTCAGATCCACCACGGCCAGGTACACAGCCATGTCGTCAAGTCGGGAATCGAACCAAGGCTTTCGGCTTTTCGAACGAACGATTTAACAACCAGTTTACCACACCGTCTGTTTAAATTATCGAATAATTGGTGTAGAGTAATGTGACTGTCACTTTGTATACAAGTGGACGTTACAAATCGGAACCATCCTCGATGATCCAGCGTTTAAGATCTCCAGAGGCGAACCCTCGATACAACAAAGGAGTTTACTATGAATAAGAATGAAGTTCTCTCTGGAAAAAAGTGTTATAAAGACAGGGGAAGTCCTTACAAACCCGTGAAGGTCCGGGGCAGAATAGGTCTTCAGCAACCTATGCTTGCCGTTGGCTGCTTGTGCTAGACAGGACTAATTAATGCTATTTTATAGTGCTAGCCCACTGAGATACCATGCCGCAATCAGACATGAATACCCCACTCAGACACAGTATATCGACACCGAGCCGATCAGTCCTTGTTTTACCCCCTAAATGTCGACAGTAGCATTTTTTAACGTCTTGAACGCGGCCAGTGGATCGAAACACCGACCTTCCACTCCCCGAGCAGACGCTCTATCCACTAGGTCATGGAAGACGTCTGCTGCTGAATGGGTCCAGAGTATTTATCATAGTGTAATGGAGATATGATACGCTGGATAACCGATGATCAATACGAACAAGGTTTCTCATGTCGCATTTCGTAGCCTCGTCTCGGGTGGACTCCGGGGTTGGCAGCAGCAGACGACACAGACACGTGGTGAGCCGGGAGGTGCTGGAGTCTATGAAGACCTACTACGACGGCATCCGGAGGGTGAGTCCTGGCCGTAGTCGTGCTGCTGCATTGTTTGCTGTGTTCCTCCTAGACACCAGGCTCTGATGGCTGCAGTACTGTATCCTTCATCCGATCATTGTCATCAGCTGTCACTCCTGTGGGCTACGGATCAGCCCGTTAGAAAACAATCTGTCAAAATGCACCTTCGAAGGGGCTCTCATTTTAAATAACTTTCAAAAACATGCATCGGTTTTCGTTTTCGTTGTCGTATACATATTTTGATTTTAGTAATTGAGTAAGAGCTTGGTATTTAGATTAAAAACGATATTTCATGATTTGCAGCCTTTGGGAGATGTAGGATTGCGCTGTTTAAAACAACAGCTCACCTTGACTTTTCTAATCCTTAGCCTCAATAGTGACATATAGATGACTAACTGATGACTAACGATGAACGGATGAGGGGAAACGGTGACTGTAGCTGAAGGTCTCTGCATATTCCTCCCAGCGTAGCGCCTGGCTAGGTGTGCCTTTCTGTAGCGTCTAACTACATCCTGTATGAGGCCATTCCTACTTAATTATTTGTTCTGGATCTGGTATCCTAGCTCTCCTATCATATTTGGGTCGTGATTTCTGATTAGCTCTCGGCTTCTTCTATTCTGTTGAGTGAATCTTCATCGATATTCAATATAAATTATTGATGACACTAAGACACTAATATACACGTTGGGAATCGTGCACAGATGTTCGTGGGTACCAGCGAAGGTATTCACCATAGGCTACCCCTCTGTTCATTCCCCGCTTTAAGAAATAAAGCCAATAATTACCCGGCTGGATGTAAATAGTTCCCTTCGCCTATGTTTTGTTGATTATAGACAAAATAAATGCACTTTTCCCAATTTATTTTCCACAGACACTTAGTTAATAATCTTAAATGGATCCCCGTAATCTACCTGGATTGCGGTAAGTGGCATATGGAATTAAAGTGACTAAACCCAAATTTCGCCCTTCACTCTGCTTCTAAACATTTAAAACATTTGTCGCAATTTTCCCTCAGACATTGTGTGAGCCAGATTCCAACACCCCCACCCACCTCACCCTCCCGAAAGCCCTACCTCAGGGACTGGCCGGTCCACCGAAGGATCCCGGCAGGTATGCCTTTGTCACGCAGGATGATCTTCAGTCTCGGATCCAGGCAGTGCCTACCACGAAACAACGCGGTCAGCCGGGAGTGTCCAAACCCAGGATATCCGACGTCTATCTCACCAATCATACTGGTGCAGGTGTCACCGTAAAACAGGTCTCACTTCTTTCTATTCTGCTGCTTCTCTCTAGTAGAGTGTGTTTAGCTTTGTATCATTTGTTTGAGTGGGTGAACAATATTTATATATCACGGTGTGTACGTTTCATGTGAAATAAAATCTAAAGAGACGCCGGTCGTAGATATTTCTAAAGTGCCGGGTAAAAGAATATATACACTTGAAAATGGAGTTTGACCAAAAAAATACAAACTTTATCAAAACGCTTCTAGGTTGAAAACAGTCGCCGAAACAATTCAAACTTAAGGTCACAACACCTTATGATACCCGTAAATACAAATCCTTCTTAGTTTCATGTTTAGCCACCATCAGACATCGGTGTATATTTCCATTCGCCCGGCAGTCTACATTGATGAATCCCAGGAACACGGTAACAGTGCTGATAGACTAAGGATTCATTTGCTTGGAAATAGTATTGGAGTAATAGGACGGAGGTGTATTTGATACCATGACATCGTATCCTTAATATGTACTTCGATACTCATGAGTGGTCCGGGGCGGTCGGGTAGCCTAGTGGTTAAAGCGTTCGCTCGTCACGCTGAAGACCCGGGTTTGATTCCCGACATGGGTACAATGTGTGAAGCCCATTACTGGTTTCCCCCGCCGTGATAGTGGTGGAATATTGCTAAAAGCGGCGTTAAACCCAACTCACTCACTCATGAGTGGTCCAGTCTCGAATATTTACTGACCGCCTCCATACAGCTGGAATATTGCAACAACAAACACCAAATTATTACAAAATTCCACACCATTTTGAAATTCATAAATGAATACAAATTTAAAGCAGCCTCTTGATTTGATATAACCAACATAACCTTACCATAAGAGTTAAATTTGGTTTATACAGGTGAGTGAATTATGATTTCACGTCGCATCTTTATCATTGTTCAATAGAATTATAACCAAGATCATTAGAGGTTTTAAATTTATGATGCATAGAAATATCCACCTGAATATTAATGGAGCATTTTTGTATATGTATGTTACCGATGCAGATGTTGCCGACGTCCACGAGTGTCCTGCAGCAGCTGACTCCGGGGCGAGAGACGAGTCGGACATTGGTCAATACCCGGGGTGGACGCCAGCAGAACCAGGTGTTTGTCAAGGTCGATGTCCTACAGAGCAAGGACATCTTTGTAAGTCCGACAAACCACGTCATCAAAGTTCCATGAACAGTATGCTTTCTACAATCTTCGACAATTGCCGTAACGGCCGAACACGAGTGTCGGCCCCTCTACTACCGCCCTTCGGTAATATCTCTTCAGACTGTCCTCATACACTGTCTCTTGGATTGCTGGACCTGTCTAGCACTGGTTTTGGGTAGAGGAGGAGGGATCGAATCGGGGTTGAATAGAGATGAAGATAATCAACAACTAAAAAACATATTGGATCTTGTTCGTTCCTAAATAGGCATTATATAATATACAATTATAATCAATTTACATGAACTTCAAGAAAGAAGTATTAAATGTGAATTACGAATTCATATTTGCCCTTTTTTAAGTTGTGATTTATTCACATAGTCATCAACCATGTTGTTGTGGAACGAACCCGGGCATTCGGCGTGACGACCGAACACTTTAACCACCAGGCTACCCCACCGCTCGTGTTGATGGTTGAGGTTTGACTGTGCTTGTGTTGTAGGGCATGGAGACGCTGGATATTGATGGAGAGACCTACAAAGAGGACGTGCCGGAGATATCGTTGGTGGGTATAGATTGTACCCAGTCGAGTAGGGCGCCGGTTTACATTTTCCAAATTTTCATCACTCGATCCAAATATAACTTTACTTTATTTTTTAATACCGACAACTCGGATATCGATTTACGCATAAATCAAGTTTCTCAAACGAATATTTGTATTTACGATGTTTCAGTGAAAAGTATTCATGACCTTGAAATCCATTGGTTGTCGTTGTCAAGTATTCTTGTTTGTTTGTTTTATAACGACAGCTTTATAAGTAATATTGTCTGGACAAACCAGTGGTTGGTATTATTTGCTCCTCACGGTGTGAGTGTACAATCAATTAACCATCGATACGTTTGGTTGCCTTACAACAAGTACAGGGCGCTTAGGACATAATACAACCGTGTTCCTCATAGGGTTGAACGAGACAAAGGCAAATGTGCAACTTGAGCAAAGTTGTTTCGGGTCATTTAAAAATGCGTGCGATTCCATGTTGTAATACTAATCTTGTGCCATACGTCTACCAGTGAAAACTTGAACATTGTCTACATGCTCGTCTCCCCTGTGTTGCGTGTTGATTCCCAAGTTTGAACGTGATGGTTTACCAAGACATCGGTTCAGACAGAATGTGAAATTTTATTAAAGTACAAATGGTTTGGTTTTTAATCATAAAAGGCAATACAATGAGTCAAATAAGTGGCAGCAGCATTTAATAACAGGCCCTATTACCAAAGTCTGTCCACTTTCAAATCTGGAGAATGTCTCACAGTCGCAGGTACATCCAGGCTTCTAGAAACTTCTCAAAACAGTGTAGTCTATTCCAGTGTCGATACACAAAGGAGGGTAATTGTCAAGTACTATGGTTGTCGCATACCCGTCTATAAAAATATGTACACACGGCACTTGGCATTTTACGAGCACTTCAGTTAGCTACCACTAGCATCAGAACTACACTTACCAAATGTACTGCCACATATTACGCCTAATGTATTAATCTGATCCTGCCTTCCCGCAGGTGAGTCGGGGCGCTGAGGTGGTTATGCTCTCGAAGCGGATCTTTCTGAAGTACGCCACGGACAATGTGCGCAGATCACTGCAGGAGATGACGAGACGATATCCAAGGGAGGCAACTCTACAGGAGAACCTCCAGATCCAAGCAGACTGGGACCTGTACCGACAGAGTGTCATGGCGGACGTTGTGGCCGTCAGCAAGAGCGCGCGTTCTTTGACGATGGTCACGTGATAACATGTCGGAAGTTGAGGAAAAGAAATGCGACTATTTCACGAAGAAACTAAAATACGTGTGTCCAAGCAAAGATGTGCAACTGAAAAATGACAAGAATGTCGTTGGTTAAATTCACTTCTGCAGCTCGCAGCAATCCGTCGACATCGGTGACTTTGTTGTGTCACTTATAGCAACTTGTACCCGTCAGATGTAGGGTATCTGAGTGTATGTAGGGATGGATAACTATTCATTTTACATACCCAATCACTGACAATGGATTCACACGGAAAAAACAACAACCGATAGTGCACGTGAATGTGTACAGTATGTGCTATACATCTTGACGTCAAACGTTTTCTGTGGCTGTGTATTGGCGACTTCTGTAAAAGTCTTCAACATCGATTCTGCAACTGCATATATACCTACAGTAGGAATATTGTATAGTGACAGGACAGTAAACATTTTTGAAAAAGTACATTGTCCTAGATGCAGATTACAAGTGTTATGTAGTTAAACTCGTATGGAAAGAAAATGTGAAACTTGGAGATTATGTAATTTAATTTACTATGATCAATACACTATACATCGAAACATAGATCAAACTGACCCACGTGATCACATTCACAGCTTAAATCTCATTACAAACGTCATAGATACATATTCCAAACATACAAACATTACTTGTTCAACTGCAGCATGGTCTCAGTGGGCTAGCACTAAAATATAAATAAATAAAAGTGATAAAACCCTTTCCAAATCCATGGAAGACGTCGTTTGTACGATACCGAATATGTCATGATCATGTTCATGATAACCAATATTAATGATGCCGGGTGGTCGCGAAAAGGTGGACGTATCCTGACCCACTGATGGTACCTGAGGTATACCAGCATAAGTCCTAGCAAGTACAAACAGCTACACATACGTGCATGCACGTCGCTAGAAAAGTGAAATAAGTTTGAATGCAACGTTGCGCCTAATTTCAATTCACCTTTTTTAGTCTGATTTTTTCCAGAACACATGTTAAATCGTTGGTTGGATATATACCATCTTGAACGCGAGTGACAATAATTATTTGAAATTAATTACAAAATTATGGGGTCTCTAAAAGATTATGGGGTCTCGAAACTCTATTGGGGTTCATCTATACTACAATGAAACCAGTACACAATACATCCGCAAAGATATATAGAAGAAATAATAAATAAATAATAATAATATCATAATAAAAAACAACCCTGATTCAAGTTACTTTTGCCTTTCAGTAATGGTATCTATTGGAAAATATCACTGTCTAATTACAAACGCATATACAGATCAATTATCATTACCATGAATACCATTATCATTAATTTGTTTAAACAAGCGACAAAACGGTTTCATCCCATAAGAAATTTCTGCTAAAAGCCGACTCCATTGTACGATTCTGACTATATCATATGCATGTGTTTATGAATAGTGTTCTCGAAAAGTTGATCGTATCCTGTCCCACCTATTGTACACGTCACAAATACAAATGTACACCTGAATAAACATATGGTAAGGTCAAAATAGGGAATTGCATTTGACATCATTTTCTACACTGATGCATTAAATTTGGAAATGACTTCCACATCTCTACCAAGAACATTTTGAAAGCTTTACGGAGGTCTTAATGCTGTAAACCTGATCAAACACGTTTTGAGCAAGAATAGTATGACGCTCTTTGAAATTGCATCAGTAACAATGTTTATTTAAATTAACCCACACAGTATCTATGAAACAACAATCTTTACCGTGTACAATATTGCATAAATGTTCAAATTTGGTCCGAAACATCAAAGTTAGTAATGTACACTAGATCTGCACATACGTTCCTCAACGAACGAATGAACCCGCTCAGAACATAATTCAATGTCTGTGATGGCCACTTGCATTGCGTTGCCTTCAGTAAAGGGCACGATTTGCACGTGCAGGTTATGGTCCATGTACTAGTACCTCGAGTGACTGAAACAAGTCTCATGACATTGGCAATGACTTGAAATCGGCGGTTATAATCTACCCACTCTTGTGTGATGTTTTCAGTCGGTTAGACTTTATATCGGTGATCTGGATTTGTCGCTGTATTAAGCAATCTTTCGATCAGCCATTCGATTAATCGGATCAGGACCTTACAAATCCACCCGATCCATATCAGCGGGTTTATGTGCCCCAGTTAGAATGTTCCCACACTGTAGTGTGTCGTAAGAGGCGGCTAAATCAGATCAGGTGGTCAGGCTCGGTATCTTGGTTGACTGCATGTCATTGTACCCAAATGGTACGTAAGTCATAATATCAGTAATGGCTTGCCTGGCCCAGACGTTATTTACAGGTTGCTGTGGTATACAATGTAGCTGGAATATTGCTTGAAAAAACATAGAGCTCATTTAAGTTGAGATAGGGAGGTTACAGCATTCCTGGGCCCACTTGCACAAAGCGATCTTAGCGCTACGATTATTGTAAGCCTATGTTAAGGTATGGGAGTTAAGATCATCTTAGCGCTAAGATCGCTTTGTGCAAGTGGGCCCTGGTCATACTCGAGTTTGCACACGTTTTTAAAAGAAAATAATGGGAAAAACAAATGACAGAGAGTTGGGTCTCCTTTCTGAAAAAAAACCAAATGTAGTCGTTTATAAAAGAAACACACGTATCACACCAAAGACTATGTTTGTGTTATTTTGGTAGCAAGGGGCATATGGATTGCTTCACGTTTTTTGTGAGAACAAATAACATGATATAGACAATAGAAACACTTGCAATCACTTTATTGCACCAACATGAGATCCAGATAAATCACAGAATCGCTAATAAATATATATCATCGAGTACAAACCAGCGTGTAGAGGTATTGACCTAGATTGCCTGAATTTTAAATAAAGAGACGCTAAAGAAATTTTGTTCATCGGAGCTTCCTCCCCTCTTCATGCATGTTGGGGTTTGCGATTTTTCAAAGAAATTAATTCAATTATAATCAAGTTATTAACTCAATAATATACAGAAAATGACATTGATCACAGTTTGAAATATGAATATCAATAATTCGTCTTTTGTATCCTTATTTAAAGAATATGATACGAAACATACATGACTAAGTTCATGAATCATTCATACACTCTATCTATATCACACATTGTACTATCATAATGCCTGTGTATTATCTCAAATATGATGACTCTGTTTACATTCTTTTGAACTACATCCTACGTTACCCTTAGTCATGTAATATGTTTATCTAAGTTTTATTTATTTACTATTGACTCCAGTAGGACGCATATATCGGTGATGCGCCAAGGTGATGCAGCCAAGTGGTTTTGATGTTACATACCTAACCAGGCCCACCAGAAACTGTTGACATCAAATTCAAGTCGTCTTTAAATAATAAAGGATCGATATCTGATATTGGTACGAATGCTCTGAAACCTGCCAGGCGCCAGATACGAGGGTTGATAGAGTTCTGAACCTCACATAGAAGGAATTGCGTGATATTATTTTTTGTTGTTGTGGACATTATATGATGACACAGATGTAAATATCCAAATCTTGGGTCACTTGAGCAAATCGTGCTGCTGTGACAGTTACTAAGGACTCTATAACTCTATAACAAACTTGAGGGAGTGAGTGAGTGAGTGAGTTTGGTTTAACGCCGCTTTTAACAGTATTCCAGTTATATCACGGCGTGTCAGCTTAATGTGGGAGGAAAGCCCGAAGTGATGCAGGTCTCAGACGTTTACCACTTCGGTGAAACCCACGAGCACGGGTATGGTGCTGACAAACCTAGAAACATAATCGGGGCGAACCGGGATTCGAACCCACAATCACAGGTTTCTGGCGTGCCTAAGGGACGCAACTCTGCACAGCGAATCGCGGCGCCTTAGACGACTGGGCCACCCGTGCCCTCTCAAACTTGAGGGACGTGTGGTGATCATATACTTGTACAACAACAAAAGTCATCCATGAAGATATGAGTACAGCACTATGGAAGGATGTCCCTTCTTGTGCCACTGTAAAGTGGTGAGCAGCAGAGTTTAAGCCTGGCTGGGAGGGCTGAAGATGACCCCTTTCCTGGAAGGCCCGTCATGTCAGCAACACCAGAAAGGATCCAGAGAATCCAGATATGGTGGTGATCGACCGGCGAATGTCTTGTTGCTAGTGCACAGAGTACTTTCCATTATCACAGAAACTTTGGCCATGAAGAAAGTATCAGCTTCGTGGGGTCCAAGGCTTCTGACATTTGATGAAAAACATACCACATGTCTCATGATAATATAGCTCTGTCTAAAGCTTTACCAGAAAGGTTCTTACATCGTTTTGTGACTATGCATGAAACCTGGGTTAACCATGCCCAAACGTCAATCGACAACGTGAAAGCATCATCACCACCATTTACGACAAAGCCTGTCCCACGGGCTAGAAAAGTTGTCGTCACGTGTTCTGGGATGCATGTGTTATCGTGATGGACTATCTTCCAAAAATGCCAGATAATAAATGGTACACATTTTGCTGCACTTCAAGGTAGTTACGGGGTGAAATTCTAAGTTGGAAGCTGACTAAATATGTATGCACTTCCATCAGGACAACGCGCCAGTGCACAATTCAGTCGTTTTCATGGCTACAATCCACTAGTGTGACTTTGAACTCCTTCAGCACCCACCCTATTCCCCTTGTCTGGTTCTGTCAGACATCTGTTCCCAAACATGACGAAAACTCTAACCAGACCCCATTCTGCTAGGACGATGACGTGATGGCAGCTGCGAAGAACTTTTTGGACGAAACTGGGATAAAGTCCTTCCAACATCGCTGGTAAAAGTGTGGCAAAATGGAAAAGGATTTTGTTGAAAGATAATTCATTCTAATGTCTTTAGATCTGTATGAGTCTCAGAACATACCAAATACCGTATTCCAAAGAGTAAGCAGTTGATCATAATTGATGTCAACAGCGACTGGACGAGACCCTATAGCTGGGCGCGCGAGTGAGTGAGTGAGTTTGGTTCTAATGCCGCAGTCGTTTTATGCTGATGCGACAGGACAATCCGAGGTGAGGCACGTTTACCCCTTTGGTGAAACCCACGAGCACGTGTATGGTACTCACAAATCTAGCAGACATAATAAGGGCGAACCCGGGATTCGAACCCACGATCATAGGTTAGTGGATGGAGCTCCGCACCTTGCGGATCCTTAGACGGCTTGGCCAACCGTCACCCTGACCTCACTACATCACATGTACTTAGTTCAACCTCGATTATCCAGCGTATTTTATTTCCATTCCATTACGACATACATACCCTGGATCAATACGACACCAAATCATCGTGGCGGGCGAGGAAGTAACGTCACAGTTATCATCTCTGGTGTCCTAGCATAGGATTTTTGTTGCTGATGAGCCTGAACTCGTCACCCAAACACAATATAACGACTGGCCGAAAGTTCGACATCTACGTTCAAACTAACGGCCTCGTTCCAGCAAGCCCTCTAAATATTTCAAATAAAGTATTATATTACAAATCAGATTGAACTGGAAAAGATGTTTTTTTGAAAGGAGAGGGAAGTACTTATTGCTATCAGGCATTTCTTGTTGTATTTGAGACGGTGCATTAGGCGAGTCCTTGTGATATCTTTATACGGAGTTTCTCTGTTAACGAAATCGTGTAATTTGATTGGATGACGATTTTAGGTGCCGTGTAATTAGAATATTAGGGTATTTATCATAATGGAAGGAGATATGCCACGCTGGATAATCGATCATTATTTCATTGAAGTGTTTCATAAGTTTTTTTTATACCCGCGTCACAAGTAAGGCACCCTTTATAGGTTTTTGCCGTATGTAGTCCACTACAATCAGTATTTCGTTGTGCTGTTGTGGACGTGTTTATTGTAGGACACCTGGTCGTCCACAGTCATCTGTCTGAAGGCGTCCCAGTTTGTCTGTGTCTGAAGCTTACGCTGCAGAGTGTCTTCAGACGGAAATGGTTGAATCTGAAACCATTGTAGCATAGCAGAGAGTGATTTGTGAAATATAATTTTTTTTAATGGTAAAAAATATCTTCAAGTTGATAACCTGGATGAGACTCGAAAATGGGTTGGATTGGATTGGATTGGATTGTTGTTTAACGCCGCACTCAGCAATATTCCAGCTTTATGACGGCGGTCTGTAAATAATCGAGTCTGGACCAGACAATCCAGTGAGTAATATCATGTGCATCGATCCCCGCAATTGGGATCGATGACATGCATCAACCAAGTCAGCGAGCCTGACCACCCGATCCCGTTAGTCCCCTTTTACGACAAGCATAGTCACCTTTTACGGCAAACATGGGTTGCTGAAGACCTATTCTACCCCGGAATCTTCACGGGTCAGACTCGAAAATGATCTGATTTCTCTAATCAACACATTACTGAGTCCATGATTGAACAAATACTGTTCAGGAAAATCCTGCCGCAACTGTTAAGTTATACATGTATTTACCTATAATTAACATTATTAAAATGACTTACTTAATATCGTTTTTGCATATCAATCTTTTGCAGTGGACCTATCATCCACAGAGAGTTTGTGTTGGAGTAGACGCCGGTTTGAAAAAAATATTTTCTATCAATGCCCGCAAGCTTCTTAGGGATGAGATCTAAACATTTACTTCAACGCTGAAACCAACAATGACGAATCTGGGATTCGAATCCATGATCCACAACGCGACGCGATTATGGTATTAAACTCAATAGGCATCCCGTGTTCCCCTCAATCATGTATCTTACCTCTGTTCTCATTCTCTTTGCAAGCTCTTCCGACAGGTGCTTCTTAAAGAACTTCCTGTTAATGAGAATACATTCAGCTCCATCAGACACGAGGCTGCAGTTGGTTGTGTCTTTGATCCCCGCCATCACCACCTGCTCCAAGCCCTGGAAGGTCGACACATCTTAGGTGGGAATAACTGCGTACACCATACCCCTCCCATTAACCCCAAGGGGATTCAAGGTAAGAGAGCTTCCCAGCATAAAATGCTCACCGTAAGAGCCGAGTAGGAAACTGACATTTGAAAAGAAATGTTCCCGAATGAAACAGAGAAACAAATTTATTGTCCTATTACTTTACCCCCCAAATATGTGTTTTGCTTAACATGCTGGATGTTAAGTTAAAAATGTGTTTTCAGGCTCGTATTTACATGAAAAAGGGGTATTTTTCAACGATGACCGAAAACATATACCTTTGACAAAAATATCAGGAAAAGCTGAAAAGTAACATTTAAAAACAAACAATCAATTCATTAATAAGGAGTATCAGTTGACAAAACTGAAATAAACAAGAGTCAACTTACAAAAATGTCGCCAGGCCCAAGTTTGGCAATCTCGATGAAGACTTGAGGCTTGGTCTGGAAGTTGTCGTGGTGTCGTCTCATGCTGATGCGAGGAGACGTGCGGGGTGTCTATACACAAAAAACACATCACATACAGGCTTGAATTATACAGACAGTTTATACTGATACCCATCAGTTCGTACCGTACTATACATCTTACATTGAATACGGTTTGAGAACCTCCAGACAAGTCACCAAACGAAGATATAAAAAGGTTTGTGGGTCGATCATTGCCTTGAAAATGAAAGCACACGCTCTCTTATTTGCCGACTTTATTTGAATTAGCTTCACGTATGGCTTTCTTGAGATGACCTACCACCCCATCATGTATATAAATAAACACCGCGCTGCCGATGGGCCGGAGTATCCATCTCTACATCCAGACAAGTCCCCACCCTGACATCAACTCATACATCACTGCCGATGGGCCGGAGCATCCATCTCTACATCCAGACAAGTCCCCACCCTGACATCAACACATACATCACTGCCGATTGGCTGGAGTATCAATCTCTACACCTAGACTAGTCCCCACCCTGACATCAAATCATACATCACTGCCGATGGGCCGGAGTATCGATCTCTACATCTAAACCAGTCCCCACCCTGACATCAAATCATACATCACTGCCGATGGGCCGGAGTATTCATCTCTACATCGAGACAAGTCCCTACCCTGACATCAAATCATACATCACTGCCGATGGGCCGGAGTATTCATCTCTACATCGAGACAAGTCCCTACCCTGACATCAAATCATACATCACTGCCGATGGGCCGGAGTATCCATCTCTACATCCAGACAAGTCCCCACCCTGACATCAACATTGCTCGTTGCCGATGGGCCGGAATATCCATCTCTCCATCCAGACAAGTCCCCACCCTGCCATCAACACATACATCACTGCCGATGGGCCGGAGTATCCATCTCTGCATCGAGACAAGTCCCCACCCTGACATCAACACACCTCGATGCTGATGGACGGGAGTATCCATCTCTACGTCGAGACAAGTCCCCACCCTGATATCAACACATACATCACTGCCGATGGGCTGGAGTATCCATCTCTCCATCCAGACAAGTCCCCACCCTGACATCAACTCATACATCACTGCCGATGGGCTGGAGCATCCATCTCTACATGGAGACAAGTCCCCACCCTGACATCAACACATACCTCGCCGCTGATGGACGGGAGTATGCTCCTCTCATCAAGCACGGCCTCGAGGATCTTCCTGTGCTGTTTCCTGGTGAGTCTGCCGTGCAGACGCCTGTACTCCCTGTCGAGCCTCCGCTGGTGCTCGGGTTTTCGCTGGATCACCACGGGCTCTGTACAGAAGTAGAACAGTCAGACACTAAGCCTGGGCCCCGTTCCACAAAGCATCATTACCGCTGACTATCGCAAAGCCAATACTTTAACATAGTCTAACTAGTCTAGAAGTCGTGCGCCAAGCTCGCTCTCTAGAATGTTCAGCGTCCTGGGATCTTATATTGACTTTGTATGATGGTCATGCGCACTCATGTGCGCACAAGTGGATGGTTGTGTTCACGAAGACTATCCTCTCAAAAATAGTGATTTGATGATGATTTCGCGTTCAAATTTAAATATAATGAGTCGTCCCCCCCCCCCCCCCCCCCCCCCCCCCCCCTATTAGATGTCGTAGCCCTGTTTTGTATACCTGTAGGTAATTATAGTGTAACCTCTTGTAAATGTGGGCAGATAAATGTTGTATGTTATTATATCTACACTTGCTGCTTCTATGTTTGGATGTACATGTTCGAGTCTGTACCAAAACAACAGTGGTTGATAGCATTATTATAAACTTGGGCGGTGGGGTAGCCTAGTGGTTTCCGCATTGACATTGATGGAATATTGCGAACAACCATACTCACTTACTCACAAACTAAAGAGTATTATAAATACCCTAGTTTGCAAACATGGGGAACTGAGGACATTATCTATCCCTGAGTCCCCGATGTCTCTGCCTCTGTGTCTAATGTCCTCTTGCTTCTCCCCCCAACGCGGTTACAACAGTTCCTTTCTACGACAATTAAAATCTCTGTGTGTATTTAGTTAGTTCAATACAAGCAATCTTAAAACATGCGTATTTATGTTCATGATCATCCTGAGACATACCTCTTTCTTCATCTTGGTCGTCACTTGGCCTTGACCTTTCAAAGTGAGCTGCCTTCAATGTCACGACGCCATGTCTCCGTTGACGTGGTGTGGGCTGATCGTCCGTCGTTGACGTAGCGTCTGACACCACCGCGGGGGACTTTGCTCGAGGTGTTGGAGTAGCTCGAGCTATAAACATGAGACATTGTGGATCAGTCAAGGAAATGGCATATCCGTTTTTTAGGGCATGACATTTTTATCAGAGTTATATTTTGATCTATCGTAACTGCAAACCTTTTGTTCATTCCCTCGTTATACTAAACCATAGAGCATATTCCAGGGCGATATGAAGACGATGCCACTTTTATTTGAGCTATATTTTGAGTGAGTGAGTGAGTTGGGTTTAACGCCGCTTTTAACAGTATTCCAGTTATATCACGGCGTGTCAGCTTAATGTGAGAGGAAATCCCGGAGTGATGCAGGTCTCAGACGTTTACCACTTCGGTGAAACCCACGAGCACGGGTATGGTGCTGACAAACCTAGAAACATAATCGGGGCGAACCGGAATTCGAACCCACAATCATAGGTTTCTGGCGTGCCAAAGGGACGCAACACTGCACAGTGAATCGCGGCACCTTCGACGACTGGGCCACCCGTGACCCCCCTACATTTTGAGCTACTGCAAACCGTGTCTGTCCCTTCCCTCGTCATGCTTACGTGTGGGGGTTTTAGTCCGGGGCGATGTGAGGGTCTGGTTTCCGACCCTGGTCAGTGTGGGCTTCGTGTCGTCCAGGTTCTTCAACACTCGGCACGACCCTGTCATGATGACGTACACCCACTCTCCAGAATTGCTCTCCTTACACAGCACGGTGTCTCTCCTGGAACACAGCAAGGTCAACGGGACCTCACGGTTAGATTATCAGGTGCTTCATGTGTTGCGCACACAGTCAAGGATCTTTATTGTAGAGTAGAAGGGCCGACATGTGTAGGTTATCAGGGCTCACACATTTAGAGTATGGGGGAATTTCAACAAAATACTATCAGCGCTTCACGTGTAGTTTATCAGGGTCCACACGTATAGATTATCATGGGCTTCACGAGTAGGTTATCAGGTGCTTCACGTGTAGATCATCGGGGCCACACGTTTTGGATTATAGGGGGTTCTCGTGTACATTATCAGGGGTCACACGTGTAGATTTTCGGGGCCACACGTGTGGATTATCAGGAGCTTCTCGTGGACATTAGCAGGGGCCACGCGTGCAGATTATCAGGGGCCTCACGTGTATACTATCTGGGGTCACACGTTTAGCTTATCAGGGCTTCACATGTACATTATCAAGAGCTGTACGTGTAGATAATGAGGGGTTGACGCGTAGATTATCAGGGACTTTAAGTACAAATATTCTAAATGTGAAGACATTAAGCGAATGTGTGAGAAAACATTATGTGCAATGAGCATCAACTATTTTATGTGTTGCCATGTACTAAATAAAACTACAGTTATTTATGACTGTTTATCACATAATGACACAAAATATGATATGCATGTAATCTCTTCACATTCAGGTTGTGCTTCCCCTACCTGACGTATATGAAGATACAGACTTCGGGGTTGCCATGAGGTATTTTATCAACAGGCCAGTCCCGGAGTATGTGTAGTGTCTTGAGGAAGTTGATGTGCTCGGGATCTTTACCACGCTCTGCCTTCGTAAATAAGTCGAGAAAGTCCTCCCTGCCCAGTGCAAGGAGCTCGACGTCATCTCGACATGTGACTGTGGCGCTCCGCTTGGCATGGTTAATCAGAGCCAGTTCCTAGAATTGAAATAGGAGTGAGTGAGTGAGTGAGTGAGTGAGTGGGTGGGAGGTTTGCTGGTTGGATGGATGGGTAAGGGGTTGCGGGAATGAGTGAGTGGGTGAGTAGGTGAGTGAATGAATCAGTGGGAGAGTTGGTGAGTGAGTGAGTGAGTGGCTGGGTTGGTGGGTGGAAGGGTAAGTGAGTAAGTAAGTGGGTGAGTAGATGGGTGAGTGAGTGAGTGAGTCTGTAAGTGGGTTGGTGGGTGGGTGAGTGATTTACTTTGGTTTAACGCCACTTTAAAATGTCAACCTAACGTGACAGGTAAGTCTAAAGGGATGCACGCGTTCGACGTTTACCACTTTGGTGAAACCCAAGAGCACTGGCATTGTGCTGACAAACTAAGAATAATTATCAGAGAGGATGTAGGATTCAAACACATGATAACCGGATTGGGCTACGTCACAAGGGCCAATATTGCACATTAAACGGCTAGGCTAACATTTTCCTTTCATCAGACTTGAACACCCAAAGAACTTATTGAATCAGTGAAAGTGAATGATTGAGCGGAGGTCACGATCAAACACCATGAACTGGCATCACACACTGTTCCTCTGTGGGCAATCGAAAATGGTTTTTCAACCCTGACGAGCCACCGCTTTAGAATGTTTGGGAACCACTAGACTTCCCAAACATTCGAGACATCCGTCCGCAGTATTTTCAAATCAAATTTGACATCCCGTCTCTCAACTAAATCACGTCAACTTCCTCGCAGGCCATGCATTTTGTTAGATGTAAGCTTGCGACAATAAAACAAAATCGTAGGAAAGGGATTCAAATTGCTGCTTTATGCATACAAGCGTTCAGTATAACTAGTGGTTTCATTCATTTTGTCTGGTATATGAGAGCCCTTATATCCACACATGGCATAAGATTCAAGGTGTAGCTTCTAGTGCTCAGTCTGATCACAATGTGCCCTGACTGATTGTGTGTCATCGTACCCCGACGGCGTGGATAGTTGCTCATTATTTCATCCACTTGTTAATAAGCTCCAGATTCGATTTCTCACAGAGGAATATTGCTCCTTGCATGTATTCATCGCATTCGTTAAAGATATTGAAGAGGTGTGATGTTATGTTACATACCCCAAAGCAATAGCCTTTCTGCAGTATATTGGCTGTGAAGGTGTATACTTCTCCGGAGTCCTTCGTCGCTAATATCGTCACTACAGCTGTAACAAGACAACACATGTAAAGGCACGGTATAGCTACTGGTATTGGGTCACGTACAGTTTTGCTTCATGACGACATGGGGACACGGGTGGCCCTGTCTTCTAAGGCGACGCAATTCACTGTTGAAAGTTGCGTCCCTTGGGTACACAAGACACCTATGATCGTGGACTCGAATCACGATTCGCCCACATTATGTTTCTAGAATAGTCAGCACCATACCCGTGCTCATGGGTTCCAGTAAACGACAGGCATCACTTCGTGCTTTCCTCCCACTTTGAAAAGACAAGTCGTGAGATAACTGCATTTTACTGTTCAAAGCGGCGTTAAACCTCACTCACTCACTCACGCTGTCATGGGACATGATCTCCAACATAAGCAGTACTTTTCCAAATATGATCACTCTTAACCAACATTACCGTCATATAAATTTAGCATGTTCAAATACCTATATACTTATATTGAGCCTCGTTTTGGTGTTTTTTTTGCCGGGTGAGAATAGGTCTTCCATTGTCATTTTGACAAAAGAACACATGGAGGATTATAACAACAAGGGACAGCTCTGAGACCTAATTATGGTGTCTCTGAAAATAAATTGAGTGAGTGTGGGTTTACGCCGCTTTCAGCAATATTCCCATCACCGCCTCTGCTCAATACAAAAGTGATGCGCCACATATATTGTCGTACAGCTGAGGTAATAGAAAAGTGTGAGGTCATAATAGGAGGTGAGAGTGGTGCGATATATTTACTTTGTGTGTCAACTTAATGTTTGCCTACAAAGTAACTGTGCAACACATGGTGAATGCTTCATTTATATTTGTGTTAAGCATGCTACTGTAAACAAAACACCATTGTTATATATAGTGACATGCTTTGCTTCTTGGCCATAAACGGTGATTTCAAATAGCCTTCTCTTTCAACAATACACTTCATTTTAAGCTACAGCACTAAGTTTCCAAGTTGAACTATGTACCGTAAAATCTGCAGGTAACAAAGATCAATACTGAAAACTCATTATGTTTATATCCAAAGAAATACATAACTCACGTCCATTAACTTAGTTTACTAAAATACCTTGTACTGTAGAGGTGCATAGTTGGACTGTGTGAGTGAGTTTGGTTTAACGCTGTTTTCAACAGAATATTGAGGTTGCATTTCGGCGTGGTGAAACCCACGAACACAGCACAGGTATGGTGCTGACAAACCTGCAAAGATAGTTCGGGCGAATCGAGATTCGATCCCACAACCGTAGATGTATGGCTAATGTATGTATGACTAACGGATGCAACTCTGCACAGCAAATTGCGGTTGACTAACTTCATAACATTTCTTTATGAATTTCAACTAGTTATATTTTTCGAATTCAAATGCTACTCGGCAACTGTGGTGTTGTGTACACACAATGCTGTTTTTCACCTCTCACCAGCGACTGTGCTCTAGTTTGAACGACGAAGAACTATGATTTGTGTTCACCCGAGTCAACCTCATAAGGACTTCGGGGACCCAGGGCTATCATGATAAGTGGTTTGTTGTGTACCCAGTAGGAGTACATAATACTGTGGAATGTTTATAGTCAATATCAATGTTACGATAAATTGTCGGTTGTGGATAGATATCATATGTTACGCCCGTTAATACACTGTACACCCAACATGTCCAACAGCTTGTTATTTGCTTTATTAGGCGTTTATCAACAGATAGTATTAAGAGGAAATTACCTGTTCCTGAGAGAATCATGTAAAAGTTATCAGCAATGTGTCCTTGACGAATGATGACCCTCCCAGCTTCAAATCTGAAACATTAACACTGACACATGGATGGAGTGTGGTACTAAACATGCATATTCATTAACATAGCACAGTGGTGTCCTATAATGAGGGGCCACAATTTGCTGTGCAGAGTTGCGTACCTTGGGCACGCCAGAAACCTATGATATGGGTTCGAATCCCGCTTCGCCCCGATCATGTTTCTAGGTTTGTGAGCAGCCATACCAAAGTGGTGAACGTTTGAGACTTTCACGTCGGGTTTTCCTGACACAGGAACGTGACAGGCTTAGATATATCTGGAATACTGTTCAAGGTGGCGTTCAACCCAACTCACTCACTCACACATTTAATGACCTATCTCCCACTGTAAGTTTGGAAGTTGTAATTTGCTTGTTTGTTTCACGATGACGACGGAAGTAAATAGTCGTTTTTGGAGCAGACAAATAAGTGACTGATATTTTGTGCAAGGTTTAAATGCCTTAGGGGTACGATTCCTCGAATTAACCGAGTGATCGAGCCTGAACACCCGATCTACTTAGTCGCCTCTTGATAAGCATAAGCCGTTGATCCTAACTTCCAAAAAATATAGTACGACACTTTTCATGCTTATAGGATGTATTTGAACCAAAATACACAACGAGGTAGCAAGTTTCTGCAAGCATCAAAGTGACCAGGTATTCACTATTTACGTCGTTTTGAAGCAGATCAAGCTGATTTTGTGGAGGGGTCTGTAACCCTGAATGAGGCTTTGGTTCGCCACTGTCCCACCGGGACCATTCATCTGTACATGTGCGCTCGTCTGTTGTCGCCATGGCTGCAATGCATGACTGGTTTTGAATTCACTGAACATCTTCTGTAATCACCATCGTCAGATTTCAACCTCTTCCCAAACATTTTTGGTACACGTTATGCACATGCTGATGTCGTCATGTCTGCTATGGAAGACTTTTTTACCACCAGGAAGAAGCCTTCTACACCAGTGGGATCCGGGCATAGCATTATCCTCATCCGAGATCATGGTTCATACTAACGACCACTGTTTTGTCAAATCCAGACTTGTACTCGTTGGCCGCCGTGGTACATGTTTAAGTTTTTTAACTTCGACTTAAAAGAACATTCAAGAACTCACTGATCTTTCATATCAAATCTTTTTTTAAATATTTGATACAAAAATTACTCCAATTCTTTTATATGGAGCAGAGGTCTGGGGGCATACTGAATACTGAACTATTGAACTGGTCCATCTGTATGCTTGTAAACGATTCCTTGGCGTAAAAAAACCCCTCTACATCGAGCGTTATGGTATATGGTGAATGTGGACGTGTACCACTTTACATATTTCAACATATTAGAATTCTTAAGTATTTGTTCAATATTCTTCAAATGCCCTTTGATAGATTACCTAGAAAATGTTACACTATGATGTTATTGTATGAAAAACATGGAATCCGCAACTGGGTATATGATGTAAAGTCGTTCTTAAATGATTGCGGCTATGGGTATGTTGGCATAATCAATGTGTACCAAACAATCCAGATTTATTTTTAGTATCTTTACGAAAAGGAAATATACTTACAAAAATGGGCATCGCATGTTTTAAGTTCAGAAAAATGCAATTATTACAAGCTTTTCAAGCCAACAATTTCCCCAGAATACTATTTGTTTGAAATCAACTTTAAAAGGTTTAGAATAAGTTTAGCACAATTGAGATGCAGCTCTCATAGACTTAGGATCGAAGTAGGCAGGAATAGAAACATAGCCAGGGAATTGAGAATATGTGAGCAATGTGGTTTAAATGCGATTGAAGATGAGTTTCATTTTCTGTTAGTTTGTCCAAAATACGACCACCTTATTATTATTATCATTATAAGTATATTGATCTGCCTTGTTATGTACATCCCACTCTACAAAAATTTAGAACGATCATGTCAACAACTGATAAAGATACTCTAAAAAATCTATCAACGTTCATTTATCCTGCTATGTTGATTAGAATATGACCTGTTAAACGGATCTGTAACCACTCCCGAAAACAGAATTGTACTATGGGCCATAAGCCTTAGAGTGTGGAATAAAAAAAAATTATCCTGTAGAACAACGTTAACTCACTCACGTACTCGCTTATAGATGTTCTACCATGAATAGGAAAGTACTTAATTCTGATTGGTCAATCAGAGGTTTCAAAAAATAATTTACCACCTTTGATTGAAACAGTCGATTTGACGGGCCATCACCATTGAAGCTTATACATAGAAATGATTTTCCTTCTCAGGCATTGTTGGTAGGCATTTAAAAATAATAATATGTACCATACTTGGCTGTACATTGTTTCAATGTTTGAACATATATGTTGTCAAGGCTATTATCGGTGAACACATTGGACTCAACTCATGCAGAATCAACACCCAAGATCTCGTGTACAATTTTGTCATGGTAGAATGGAGCTGTTTTCTTTAATGTAGAGCTGGGCCACCTGTCGATTTAACGGCGATAAAATGAACATTTGAAACATCACACAAAGCATTCGGTTTCAAATTTAGTTTAGCGCGGTTAAATGAACAGGTTACCAATGAAAACACACAACTCTCCCGGTTTGGTCGGGGCAGTGTTGTCCAGTTCCCTAATTTTTGGCAACTTTCTCATTTATCTTTAACAGATCAACTGGGCGTGGGCTAGATTCACCCCATACGATTATTTAGCTTCATGTCTGTGGTCAAATTCCGCAGTGGTTAACCTTGACGCCATATATCACGAAGGGCTTTACCTACTTATTACCTACCCACCGTCATGTAAGCGAAATACTGTTTAAAGCGGCGTTAGACCCAAACCATCCCCCCTTCATAAATCACATGTAAGTATCTTACTGACTGTACGCAAAACGTTGTAAGCGATACTGTACATCGATAGTACAGTCACGGTGTATTCCTGCTACTTAATACAATATTGCAATCTGTCATTATATTCAACAGACAACTACATGCATACATGACAATCTACACTTACTGTTCGTACCACCCTGCCTTGACAAGGGACTTCTGCATCTTGATGGGGAACTCGTTGAATGCATCCACGGCCTGGTCCAGAGATAACTGCGCTGTATGGAGCTGCTCCTCGGTCCGATCTGTGGGCTTCATGCATAGAATCTCCTTCGCCTCGGTACTGATGTGATGCTGCAAGGTGAGGAGTTAATAAGTAGAGTAAGTGAGGTGGAAATTACGCCGCCTTTAGCAATATTCTAGACATATCACGACGGGGGACACCAGAAATGGACTTTGGGCATTTGACCAACGGCGGAATCGAATTGTAAATAAATGAGAAAGTATGATACGCTATTTTCCCACAGGCAGGCGATATTACGAGACACAATAATTGGACTTCCCAACAGATGACTTCAACATTCCAAAAGTCAATTTTCCCTCTATGTCGATCAATATTCCTGCAGCTCCAGCCCTTGATGTCCACATTTCACTTTTGAGGTTCAATCGAACAAGCTCTTTCTACCAAGATTTCAAACAGCGTCAAACGAAGCTATTTGATCAGGGTTGCAACATTCAAGGCCTCAGTAAAGCTTTCAGATAGTTTTATGGTAGACATGTGGAGGGCATTTCCAAACACAAGAATGATGTCCGATGCAATTCCCTATTTTGACTTGTACGATGTGTTTCCGTGTTTTTTTCAGGTGAACAAATGACTTGCCTTTGCATGTGTTTGTGACGGGTGTCATCATTGGGCAGGATACGCTCACCTTTACGCGAACAAATGGTAGTTGATAGTGACTCATAGGCACATGCTCATGATATAGTAAATCGACTCTGCCTTGTCGACATTGTTTTGTCGCTTTTAACCACAGATGCATTCATGTGAGGAATCGAACTTCGGCTTTAGGCGTAGCGAGCGTCCGCTTCTCCACCAGGCTAACCCACCCCCTCCCTCCAGTTTACTCCACCATATACGCAATTTAACGGTATGATAAAAACTGCACATAACATCGTAAATTTAAAATAATGGGCACTCACTAAAGACATCAGTTAATTATATCCACGAGTTCCTTCCAAGAGAGTTGTACTGATTTTGTCAATCAAGTCTACTGAATGTTTCCGCTAACGTGAATGTAACATGAGCATGCATCATGCAAACATAAAATATTTTCCTATCGATGTTGATATGTGAAATAGAACCACACATTACGTTACTTGGCGTTACAAGAAGAGTCTTTCGGACCGTTCCACAAAGCGATCTGTGCGCTAAGATGACCGTAACTCTTATACTTTAACATAAACTGCCGAGCAAAAGAAAGTATAGACTTGTAAATTTGATTTGACGAAAACATTACAAACGTTATCAAAACGTTACTGGGTTGAAAACAGTCACCAAAACCGTGCAAACTTAGGGTCCAAAATACAACCATAATACTCGTATCAAATACACGACCACAGAATAACCATTTCTTCCTTGTTTGATTTTAGCCACCATCAAATATGGTTGCATACTTTCTTTTGCAAGGCAATTTAGGTTTATGATAGCTAAGAACCATTTGTGGAACAGGGTCCTGGTACTTCATACAATACCACCTTATTTCAAGGTACACATAGATTTAATCAATTAGATTTATAAGGTATAACCCTTGCAGTTAAAGCGACGTAATCGTCTGGTAACACAATATAACAAAGCATTATTATATTAATAACACACATGTCTCATTTTTATAATTAAATGGGAAAATTTTATACATACTTCTTTTTTCAACTTAAACTCTGTAGGATCAAAGGACAAACCAAGGTCAGCATATGACCTCTTCGTGAGGCCAAGGTCATCGTAAACCAACGTCCATGACATAAGCTTCCAGTCCTTGATGTCGCGTTTACCATTTTCTCTGAAATAAAGATATTTGAGTGCAACAATTTAACCAACCCTCTGAACCATACACAAATCTGAACATGCCGCACTTACATATGTCCAGCCCCTTTCTGGTGTCCCCCGCCGTGATATTGCTGGAATATTGCTAAAAGCGGCGTAAAACCATACTCACTCACTACATATGTCCCCTTGCACATAATACTCGGATATTCAGTACGTCTCTGTGAACATGGTGAATGTGTAATTCGATGTAATTCTATTATCTTTTTGTAGTGTTAAATTCGATTGCCAGTGGAGAGTGGTGTAGCTGAAAGGGTCATTCTTAGTTTGCCGTTTCTAGTCAAAAGATCAATTTAAGCTTAACTGATCTATTACGCTCACGTTTTGTTTGAAGCACACACTGGTATACTACGTGTACTTCTAATGATTACCTTCCTGTTCCGACAAATCTCTGAATCCAGACGACTTTTTCCACACATCTCTTGAACCTTTCAATCGGCTGCAATGAAGAACTAATAGGCTTAATCAAAATAGGGATGATGTTATCGATGCGATAAACAAGTCCGATAAACTTAGTATCACGACAAAGTGGTGAATGTCTGATACCTGCATCACTTCGGGCTTTCCTCCTGCATTAAGCTGACACTCAGTGATATTACTGATAGTTAAAGCGGCGTTAAACCCAACTAACTCACTCACTCAATATAGTCACTAAATCCCTACAATACTTTAGTTACACATATCCTATTTTTTTCTAGAAGATAGAAGTTTAGTTATGCAGTGTTAGTTTTCAGTCAAGAAATAGCAGTCGGTATAATGTAAAATTGAGCGATTCAAATCCCTGAAGACAGTCAACCCATCTATGGATCTCCACCTAATGCTTCCATTCCGATGTTTCGATAAACGTAATTTCACCATGCCAGTACGAGTTCCTTCATCAAGCAAGTACGAGTACCTTCAGCAAGCCAGTACTAGTACCTTCAGCAAACCAGTACGAGTACCTTCAGCAAGCAAGTACGAGTGCCTTCAGCAAGCCAGTACTAGTACCTTCAGCAAACCAGTACGAGTACCTTCAGCAAGTCAGTACGAGTACCTTCAGCAAGCAAATACGAGTACCTTTAGCAAGTCAGTACGAGTACCTTCAGCAAGCAAGTACGAGTACCTTCAGCAAGCCAGCACGAGTACCTTCAGCAAGCCAGTACGAGTAACTTCAGCAAGCAAGTACAAGTACCTTCAGCAAGCGAGTACGAGTACCTTTATCAAGCCAGTGAGAGTACCTTCATCAAGCCAGTACGAGTACCTTCATCAAGCCAGTACAAGTACCTTCATCAAGCCAGTAGGAGTACTTCATCAAGCCAGTACGAGTACCTTCATCAAGCCAGTACAAGTACCTTCATCAAGCCAGTACGAGTACCTTCATCAAGCCAGTACGAATACCTTCATCAAGCCAGTGCGAGTACCTTCATCAAACCAGTACGAATACCTTCATCAAGCCAGTACGAGTACCTTAAGCAGGCAAGTACTGCGAGTACCTTCATCAAGCAAATACTGCGAGTACCTTCATCAAGCCAGTACAGCGACTACCTTCATCAAACAAGTACTGCGAGTACCTTCATCACGCAAGTACTGCGAGTACCTTTCTTTAAGCAAGTACTGGGAGTGACTTCATCAAGCCAGTGTGAGTACCTTCAGTAAGCAAGTACAAGTACCTTCAGCAAGCCAGTAGGAGTACTTCATCAAGCCAGTACGAGTACCTTCATCAAGCCAGTACGAGTACCTTCGGCAAGCCAGTACAAGTACCTTCAGCAAGCCAGTGCGAGTACATTCATTAAGCCAGTACAGCGAGTACCTTCATCAAGCAAATACTGCAAGTACCTTCATCACGCAAGTACTGCGAGTACCTTTCTTTAAGCAAGTACTGGGAGTGCCTTCATAAAGCCAGTGTGAGTACCTTCAGTAAGCAAGTACTGCAAGAACCTTCATCAAGCAAGTACTGCGAGTACCTTCAGCAAGCAAGTACTGCGAGTACCTTCAGCAAGCAAGTACTGCGAGTACCTTCAGCAAGCAAGTACTGCGAGTGCCTTCATCAAGCCGGTGCTGAACGTTGCATAATAAAATATACAGAAGTAAAACTCATGACACCGCCGTCAAGGTAGCTCCTAAATGTCACTGAAGATGTTGATTCAAATAATGTTTGCGACATGTCAAAATTGTACAACACTGCAACCGTAAAACAATATAAGTCTCATACAATATAAAGATAGTATAACAGGATATTCACAGCTGGTTACCTCCACATCGTCCTCACGTAATCGACTCAAACCACGAAAGTTGGATTTTCCCAAACTCCGTTGAAGATCCTCGAAACTGTTGTTTCTCTCGAGTTTAACTTCCGCTTCTATGTCAATATTCACGGCTGTCTGTATATAGGTATCTGTAATGTCTTGTTTAAGTGACGAATGTCTACGTCTGAGCACTGGTCTTTTCTCTTTCACGGGGTTTTGGGGTGGAGAAATCGGAAGGGTACCTCGCACCACCACTACCGGGTCAACCAGATAACGCTCGAATACTTCCTGTCTTGAGGGGCCGTAATGTATAATTGACTTGAACTTTTGTCTCCGCGGTCTTTCTGAATAATTGGTAGGATGTTGTGTCGGCTTGATCTTTTGAAGCATGACTGGATGCTCCAGTGGGGGTAGTTTTACCATGTTAAGTATGTGATCACGCTAGTCCAAGATGTTTAACTCTTAGTAGTGTGCATAGTATCCGTTAATTGATCCCATGCAGATCCAAAGAGAATGTTAACATCCATTCCGAAGGTTAACCCTGAGACCATCAACTTGATCCATGTTACAATCAGTAATGGAGCAACAACGAAATTCCACAACACAAAAAATAGTTATTATCCTTTTCAAATGTTGATAAAAAATTCCAGTTCTTGAAAATATTTTTTCCACAGTTTTTAAAATCGTCCCACAGAATATTCCTGGGTCCAATCTTTACACATTCCTGGGTCACATCCTCACACATGCCTGGGTCAAATCCTCACACATTCCTGGGTCACACCCTACACGTCCCATTTCACACATAAAGTCTCCAGCGAACCACCATATGACCGTATGTGTTACACTGTGTGACTAGAGCACGCACCTCGCTCCTTGTACGCAAGCAATTAACTTTCCCATGCATTTATAACTTACTTCACGGCCGACATAAAAAAGGTGTGATAAACACGTTCACCACGCCACGTTCTTTAAGCCAGTTCGTCATTTAACCCGACCTCTGGCTACACGACACTGGAAATCACTGGAAGCCTCACTTTTGGACAAAGGATTGACAGTGTTGGTGCAACCCGCTCCTTTCAAGCGCTCAATCCTTCATACAAATAGCTTCTTTGCCCTTGTGACTTTCATAGTTACCAATGAAAAGCGGACTATTTGTAGCAACGAGGTTGTAAACTGGTCATTAGTCCATGAAGATTATCTTGCCTTGTCTCATTGTTAGGTGGGGATTTGCCCCGTTATCTGTTTGTGGCTCTAATAGGCTCAAAGGGTTTGATGAATGGCATATATGTTCCCAGGCTTGTGTGGAAGAAACACGGATAGCCCATCAACACATGCTAGAATTCTATCGTCCACCGCCATGCTGCTATCTTCATGAATGCGTATGTAAATCCATGTATTTCGTATGTCATTGAGCTGAAGCGGTCGTTGGCTGTCAAGACATGTTGAATGTCGTTTCAGGTTACAAATAAATAGCCTAATGTTATTACTTTGTACATTACTTTTGTGGAATGTATTATGTTGGTTCCGCTGAACAAGGTAAACAGGGTGAAAGATCGAATCAGTGCCAAGACATAACAGATTGAACGTCTACATAATTATACAGGGAAGTTATGACGAGATGATAATATTAACACTCTTTCAGTATTGATACGATGTGATTACAATCATGGTATAAGGAAGAGAGGTTGACGTAGTTCGTAGGTATTTTTACAAACTATGCGTGTAAGATCGCTTACATGTCAAATGCAGTATGTGCCAGATGCATAATACCAACACAAACATGAGTCATTAATATTGTTATACGCAGAATCATCAAGAATACAGTGCCAAAAGGACCAAGGGACGGCGCCAACGTAAGTCTTGACAGAACCTATTGGAAGTTAGCATAAAATCACATCATATTGAAAGTCAATCCTGTCTTCACTGCAACATCTATACCCCTTAAAGATATAACCAGCAATTGATAGCACGAGCAACGAGTCGAATGACATTCTGTCAGCCAACGCACGCATGGTGATCCGGCCCCGACTTATCGTTTGTTTCGAGAAATCGAGGCCTGCCCTCCAGTTAGCCGCCTTTTGTTGGGGGTACTTGCAAAAGGACGGATCAACAATGCATGCTTCACGTTTCGGCTGTCGTCACTCTCAAATATAGAGCAAACTAATAAGATAGTGGATGAATGTGTTTAACGCCACAGTCAGTAAAATTCTAGTTGTAAACAATCGAGTCTGGACCAGGCAAACCATTGACTGACATTATGATTAACGATCCACGATATTGTGGAACAGCTCTCCGTGCCTGACCTCCCGGTTGTCTTCAATCGACGAGCTGGCATGACCTAATATTATCCGGATCCTCAAGATCCTTGTTTTATCCCCTTAGTGCCGTGCTACCGGACGGGTAACAACAAGTACCATCTTTAACGTATTTCGGTATAATGCGACCAGATCACTTGTAGTTGAGAAACTGATAAACAATCAATTATTTTATTATTTATTTTATTTATTATTTATTAATTATTTTACTGTATTTAATTATCTCATATGATTCATATTAATGTCAGTAACAGTGCACGATATACCGACACAGCTAACTTGCCACTCTTTCATACAAAGAAGCAACCTGACCACTGCTTCTCTTTAATTCACTTATGACAAGCTGGCATGACCCATTCTTCTCCGGTATCCCCAAGTACATGCACCTATTGTCCAAATCCCCATAACTTTGTTTGAGGAACGCGAGCCGGGAGTCAGCATGCCTCAGATAGCTGCGGATTGGATGTCCCTAATGTCCATCTTCAAGTGGTCATCCAGATCATTATCTATCTGTGTAGGACACTCAATAATCTTTTAACCTACCGGGTGATTTTACCGTAAGTGTCACGCATTCTTGTTCACCTAGTTTGTAGACCACTGGTATTGAATGTATTGGAAGAGCGAGTGAGTGAGTGAGTTTGGGGTCAACGCCGCTTTGAACAGTATTTCTGTTATATCACGGCGCGTCGGTTTAATGTGGGAGGAAAGCCCGAAGTGATTCAGTTCTTAGACGTTTCCACTTTGGTGAAACCCACAAGCACGGGTATGATGCTGATAAACCTAGAAACATAACTGAGGTGTATTCAAAGGGCTTGCATGGATATAATTTGTGATAAAGGTTGATAACATAGTTAATGATATGAAGAAATCATCGTTAAAAAAATAACAACAGAACCTTATTCCGAGTCAACTGTTGATGAACTTCAGGTGAGGTGTGGCGGGACATAGATACCCCTCTCAGACATAGCATTCTGACTCCAAGCCGAACAGTCCCTGTATTATGTCGTTAATGCCAGGCAGGGTAACAACAAGTACCATATTTTAACATATTTTGGTATGACACGACCGGGGATCTTATGTAGCTGAGAAATGTAAAACAATCAATACATATTATTATGGTAGTTTATCATGTAATATGATTCATATTAATGTCAATATTAGTGCATGGTATATAGAAACAGGAAGCTTGTCACCCTTTCATACAAAGAATTAAACTTACTACCACACGGTGTTTATACATGTATACGGAATTTAACTGCATGTACGACACGGTTCGTGGGCAGCAAACAGGACCTTTCATGAATTACACTCACACAAAGCGAGAATAGTTTTACGACTATCGTTACTTCTCATATACTTTAACACTCCCACTGACGTCGAAAATGATGGTAATGTTCTTTGTAAGTTTGGAAGAGGGTCCCGGGTCTCGTTCAACATAAGGGGGCGGTCGGGTAGCCTAGTGGTTAAAGCGTTCGCTCATCACGCCGAAGATCCGGGTTCGATTCCCGACATGGGTACAATGTGTGAAGCCCATTTCTGGTGTCCCCCGCCGTGATATTGCTGGAATATTGCTAAAAGCGGCGTAAAACCATACTCACTCACTCACTCACTCGTTCAACATAAAGACTTTTGCACTGTGACTATCATACCTCATTCTACCGTAACCTCTACCCTGTCGTCTAAGGCGCAGCAATTCGCTGTTAAGGGTTTCTCTTGGATACGGAAAAATGTATATATGATCGTGGGTTTCAACGACATGGTAAACGTCAGAGACCTGCAGCACCTCGGGGTCTTCTCTCACAGTAAGATGACAAGCTGATAAGTGGAATATTGTTCAAAGCGGCGTTAAAAATCAACTCACTCATTCATAATAACTTTGACTAACGGCAGTGTTAAAGTCGTTTTCCTAATTCGGCATCCACCTCTGTGGTCTAGCGGTTGAGCATCCGACCGGGGAGCGGAAGGTCCGGGGTTCGATCGCCGGGAGCGTCATGCCAAAAGACGAAACCAAAAGATTGTACTTCTTTTTACCATGTCTGGCGCTCGGCATTAAGGGGATAAAAAAAGGACTGTTCGATTCGGGGTCAGTATTCTGTATCTGAGTGGGGTATTCAAACTGCGGCATGGTATCTCAGTGGGTTAGCACTATAAAAATCGGCATTAGTCCAGACTAGTACAAGCAGACACACATGTACGAACGCACGCACGCACGCACGCACGCACGCACGCAGACACGTGCACGCACGTCGGTATATAAGTGCAATAATCTTGAACGTTAAACCCCATTTCACCTCACCACACCTCCAAAATCGGCGTTGCATTGCATTGTTTTTCGTCTGTTGGTTTAAAACTGTTGTAATTCTTATGCTTCAACACAAGTCGTAATGCTTTTATCGTTATGTGGAATGGCTGTCACGACTATGTACATGAACTTACATGATTCATAGATCATAGTTCATACTTCCATATGCTTACGACAGTCAGTGCACCAACATCGCTTTGTGAAACACTTTCCAGCCCCAGAAACTGCAACATTGCGGCTGGCATCTGCTTTGTAACCCGGATCGTTAACGGTTTCATACGGTTTTAATTGGAAACGAGATTCGAAAGCAATGAACTATAACAATTGTCTGACACGTACTTGTATTTTAGGCTCAGCTTCTTCCTGCGGCTCCGGCTGTGGCGATGCGATGACGTCATCCTGGGCATGCGCACTAGAGACTGACATTCTGCGATGCCTGTCATGTCTGTGCGTCCTGGAAGACGTTCGTGGAGCTGTGCTGGAAGACAGAACACCAACATTTTCTCAAATTACAATAATATTTCTCAGGAGCTTAATGCAACCAAAACATTATCCACTATTTATTGATTGCGTGATTTATTTGGAGTGATTTGAATGGGTGCCCCCGGTGCGGCAGGTTATGCTCACCTTTTTCTTTGAGCACGGGGTATCATCATATTTGGTAGTGATTCATAAATACATGCATATGATAAAGTCGGAATCGCACAATCGATCATTGAAAGGGTTTTGTTGTTTTTATTAACTCCGCTTTCTTCACTATTATTCAGTTATATCACTTAATGTTGACGAAGGTCCAGACTGACAGAGGCCGCAGACGTTTATAACTTGTGTGAAGCACACGATACGTGACATTGTATTGACGCACCAATTATGCTGATTAATCAAGAATAGAACCCAGTATCAGCGGATCCTGCCAACTAAGGGACGTAGCTCTACACGATAAATTGTTACGTCTCAGAGCATTGGCCAGCCCTGTCACCAAGTGAAAGCCTTGTCATCATCAACATCATCATAATCATCATTATCATCACCATCATCATCATCATCATTACAGATTAAAATAAAAAATGCAGCAAAGACGGTTTGGGTGATCCTGGCACAGTCAGGCTGGGTAGGCTCATCATCACCTCAGGGCCCTTGCCCCCTCTACACGCAGCCCAGACGGCGAATGGCAAACCCACTCAGAACTTTTCAGAGAATGTGAAGACTCCCGAACACTGCAGCCTTCTGCATTACCCAGATTGTCAGAAGGGCTGTATTCCCGGTAGCAAACCCGGGTACTCTCCCAATGCCAGTCAACAGATTGGGAGGTACCAAACCTAAGGCACTGGGGGAGTCGGACAACTTGGAACTTCGGATGCAAGCGTGACATTTCGAAAGCCAGGTCCGCATATTTGTCATGTTTTTCCTCAATCTTGTCAATCACATTAGTGTCAAAGGGGACAGAAAATTCAATGATATAAATGATTTCATTGGATTTATCAAAAAGGACAAGAGCAGGTTTGTTGACCTGGATGCGTCTTAGGCTGTAAACGGGCCTATTCCAAAGAATTTTGTATTCATCATTTTCCATGACGCCCTCTACATATTCCGGGTCGTACCATGGGTGGACCTCTGTGTCAAAACCACAAGCATGACGAAGACGGTAATAAAATGATCGAGCTACACCATCATGTCGTTTGAGATACTGTGTTTGTGTCAAAGCTGGGCATCCACTGACAATGTGTTGGACAGTCTCATTGTCGTCAATTAGGATTGTGTTCAATCAAATTGGCAAATTATAAACGTGGTGCAGTGCTTAGACGGATTGCCCTTTGATGAGGTGAAATTGGGTTTAACGTCGCGTCCAAGATTATTGCACTTATATAGCGACGTGCATGTACGTGTGTGTGTTTGTGTGGCTGTTTGTACTAGTCCGGACTGATGCCGATTTATAGTGCTAGCTCACTGAGATACCATGCCGCAGTTTAACATGAATACCCCACTCAGACACAGTATACTGATTCCGAGCCGACCAGTCCTTGTTTTACCCCCTTAATGCCGAGCGCCAGACAGGGTAACAACAAGTACCATCTTTTAACGTCTTTTGTATGAAGCGGCCGGGGATCGAACCCCGGAACCTTCCGCTCTCCGGGCGGACGCTCTACCACAAGACCACGGAGGCGGTCCCCTTTGATGATACTCACTGGCATGGCTTCAAGGCCTCAGTAAAACCTTCTAAAACTTTTACGGTAGACATGTGGAGGACAAAATGTTATCAGGTGACCACTTGATTTGCCTTTGAATGTGTTTGTGACGGATGACACAGGTGGTGCAATATACGCTCACCTTTTCGCGAACACCTGGTAGCATTACTATTTGATAGTGATTCTTGAACACTTGTTTATGATATGGTCGGAATCTTACAATCGACTCTGTTTTCGGCATAGATTTCTGATGGATATGAACACTGTTTTGTCGCTTTTATTTGGTACTGACAAACCCGGGATCATAAAGGGCGAATCTGGAATTCGACGCTGCGATTATAGGATCCTGGCACGCCAGAGGGACGCAACTCTGTTCAGTGAATTGCGGCTCCTAAGAAGACTTTGCCACATATGCCCCTAAGTATAACTGCAAGTTATGACGGTAACACTACACAAACTGCACTCTTGTAGATATCACCTCATACATGTATGATTTTTTTATTTGACATTTTTATTTGACCTTTGCCCCCGAAACATACATCATTTTATCTCATGTGCAACAAGTGTATACACATACCAGATGTGCCTGTTTCAATGAGTCAAACTTTGTCTTAGGATTTATGTGAAGTGTATAAATACAATATTGTAGTAAATAGTCCTCAGGTGACAGGAACATCGACTGATCTGACAGAGAGGTGAAATGAACACCTGTTACTATATTTCGTTGCTAGTAAATACACGAAAGGGAAAACGCGCTTGTCAATTCTTTTTTATTTTTCAACTTCATGGATATAGATTCGTACAGACTTATCGAGGCCATCGCGTTTGTGTCGTTGACGAATTGTGCCCAATTAAAAATAGGTTTAAATAGATAGCCTTGCTACCAGAAACATTTTATTTTATTTGAGGTGTACTTGTACGAATATCGTACATCACAATATAAAGTTTGAATTTTAAACATGAAATCTGCACGTACCTGTCATGGTGAACTTTTGTGAAGGTAATTTTCACTTCGTTGTGTCCTCCCTTCATTTCGACTGTATTATCTCGACATTTACTCGACAAACAGTAAGAAGCCACAGAGAAAATATAATCCACGTATTCACCGTCAGCGTTTTAAGAACATATTTCTTGCTCCAAATCGATAATTGAATTTATGTTTATGTATATTCACGTAATGATTGAATACCGCTCCCTATAATACAGTAAAACACCAACACAGTAGAGCACAAACCATAAACACAACTACGACTGATCGACTTAACGACGACTGTTTTCAACAAAAAGAATATTTCATAGCTAATATAAATCATCTACACATAAAAGAATTATTAGTGTGAGGCAAATAAGAAGATAATATCAAATCGCCCGGACACACTAGCATTTTGTTATTAGGCTCCTTGCAGTACTTGGGAATGTTTACCGTCCTATCCTATGTTGAACGAGGGGTTAGTCAAGGAGGCTTGCTCTGCTTTTGAGTGTTTGGCTTTTGATAACCGCGAGAGTGTTATTTGATATATATCGGTATATCTTGTCTAAAATACAGACGGGACTTTTAATGCTTGTGGTTGTTGATACAGGTAATTCGTCTAGCTCCCGTTGTAAGAGACGTGTCAAGATTTGACGGGGAATGTAAATACACTTTTCCATTTAATCTGGCAAATCGCGGAATGGGTTTAATACTAAATGGTTGAGTCACTGTGTGGTTTCATTTACGAGAGTCTGTTCGTAGTGACGATTATGACGTAATGATAAGAAGACGGTAAACATGAGCTCCCAGTGTATGGCCCAGTACTGAGTAGACAGGGTCTAGCTAGCGTTTCTGTCTAGTGTTTGTAATATATATCACTCGTTAAGACATTCACGTTCAGCATTATTCACAGAATTCTGTAGACGTACTGTAGGGACGGTAATTGTGGTTTAAACAACATTTGTTTTCTTCAAAATGAGCAATGCCTTTTTGAAGACCTCCTAGTTATTAGTCCTAGTTATAATGCTCTTGTCGTAATAAAGTGGATCTTGGTTATGATAAGTTAAGACCGGGCTATGCTGGTGCGTCTTCGTACCCCGATGGTGGGAATCGGTGTTCACACTATCGACCACTGGGTGTCTGTTCCCATCGTGACTCAGTCAAAAGTCGTTGCGGTAATATAACGTGACTACGTCTAAATTTACTCCAATAATATACTCTTCCAAAAGTAGACTGGATACTCGGAAATAATTTATATTTCCAACATGGTAAGACATGTTAATTTTTGGTAATAGTTGGTAAAAGTCTAGTAATGATAATAATGAACGAACTGGGAACACGTTACAACAGGTAATGGTAAATTGGCAATTTTGGATTAGTTGTGCGTAATACTGCCACGATTTGTCAAACATTCATTCACTCGACGAGGCATACTGTGTATGAGTCCCGCAATGGCAATATGAAGTCGTCTATCCTACTCCTCTTGCAGCGCCTAGCTAAGTTCAGCCAACGTTGTCAGCGGCCAATGACGTTGACGCACACGTCTCCCTATCATGTCCCAGACGTCTTGAATGGGGAAAAGGTCTAGGTTGAGTGCTGGCATGGCATTCTGTGGATGTTGTGCTGCTTGAGGTGAGCAATGACGATTCGTGTACGGTGTGTCGACCCACACGCATTGCAAACGGACAACAAGTCAGTATGTTGTCGCGATAGTCTGGTGATTCTTCCTTGCACAATAAGGAGTAGGGTTCACAGTCATAGTCATGTCACCCCACAACATAACGGGTCCACTTACAAATATGTCATTAAGTCTAAGGTTGTCATTGGCTTGATGTTCATTTGGACGTCGCCAGGCAAGCGCAACGTGAATACGGACACATGAAAACATATGACCAGCGACAATTACCCCAGTTTTGACGTTGTGTACGCTATAGACCTCTGTTGGCAATGTGACGATTTGTAAGGGGCGGCACAACAATGGAGATGAACAAATCGTCCGACCCGTAACTCGATCCCAGTTGCCGGATGAACGTTTGCAGCAAATCTGTGTCGCCGTTTGAGAGCCGGCTTTCGGATTAATTGATCCTGTGATCTTGTTGTTGACCTGGGACGCCCTGAACGAGGTCGATGGTCAACATTTTCGATTTGATGGTACCTATGCCATAGTCTGCCAATCAGAGACTGTGAAACGTAATGGCCAGTTCTCAGCATACCAATAGCCTGTAGACGTTCCGCGCATGGAAGAGGCGACATCCCCAGTTCATGCAGTGAATGAAATCAAGTAAATTGCATCTGTATGATGAGCAGAGGCAATAAATGAGGCATAAATACTGGACCACAGAGATTTATCAACCTTCCTTGAAAGTGTCAAAATCAGGCATGACACATAACGCATGTGCAAACTAGTATAGGACGTGTTTTGGTGTTAAGGTTTACAGACATAAACGTTCTATCACATGACGTTTGTCGTCAACACTTATCTTTGTTGAAAGTGTCAAAATCAGGAATGACACACAACGCACGTGTGTGGCGCTACTGCGTAATGCACGTGCAAACTAGGATGTGTTTTGGTGTTAAGGTTAACATACATAAACGTTCTATCACATGACGTTTGCCGTCAACACTTATCTTTGTTCTAATACTTGGCATTAACATGTATATTTCATGATCCCCTACTTTTTAAAAGAGTATATTTGCACACTATTATAGAAATCTTGAACAGGGGAAAGATCCTCGCACGCTGTACTCAAGTGGTTAATATCTATATCTCTTACCCATATGGTGAAGAGACATGTTGTGAGATACGTGTGTCGTACAAGGTTGACCTCGTTTTATTCGGTTTTACTCGCTGAGGACATACTGTGGCTACACTGTCGGGCAAAAGAAAATATTCCCCAAAGTTCGGTGGCTAAAACGGAAACAAACAAGACATGGTTATTCGATGGTGATGTATTTGAATCAGGTATCACGTAAGGCGATAGAAAAAATTGTCCTGCAATATATTTTCGTTCATAGAAATAGTGACGAGATTTCTTCAAGATTGACACTATATTAATCAAAATAGGTACGTCTATTACTTCAAATTCGCTTTCGATTCTACATCAATTATGCCCAGATGAATAACTGACAATTTGCAATCGAGCTATATCCATAGGTCACGTACATATAGACTAAAGATAGGTGAGGTGAGGTGAAATTGGGTTTAACGTCTCGTCCAAGATTATCGCACTTATATAGTGACGTGCATGCACGTGTATGTGTGTGTAGCTGCTTGGACTAGTCCATACTGATGCCGATTTATAGTGCTAGCTCACTGAGATACCATGCCGCAGTTTAACATGAATACCCCACTCAGACGCAGTATACTGACTCCGAGCCGACCAATCCTTCTTTTAGACCCTTAATGCCGAGCACCAGACAGGGTAACAACAAGTACCATCTTTTAACGTCTTTTGTATGAAGCGGCCGGGGATCGAACCCCGGAACCTTCCGCTCTCCGGGCGGACGCTCTACCAGTAGACCACGGAGGCTGTCTAGACAACAGATACAGCGGGTTGTCGTGATCAAAGCACTTATGAGCGTGATGCACCCAGCAACTTGTAACTTTGATATAATGTAAACACTCAACGTGGCGAAATAAACCAATATAATATTTGGAACGATATCTAAATTCGGCGGCAAAAGAAAGTATAGGTCGAGTTCCATGATCGATAAAAAAATAACAAGAAGAGGTTTTGTTGTGAATTATAAAATAATCTAGGTAGGGGTAACAAATGGTTGATCAACCACAGTTTGAATGAAATTGTGCAATCACAGGTAATGTAAGCTCAAGGTAAACAATGGTGGGGTAAGAAATTTCATTTTCAAAAGTTGTCTGAAATGTCACCAAAAAATTATCAGACTACAAGTTAATTGTCGACACAGTTGCCTTCAATAGCGTGTATGACCTCCAGCTGCCTCAATGCATGCTGTGGAACGCCGCCTCATCGATGACGTCAGTCTTCTGATGACGTGGACTGAAATCCGTTGCCACTCGTCTCTCAGGGTCTGCTGCAATTCTTGTCTGTTGACGGGAGGCTGATGGCGTGCTCTAATCTGTCTGTCAAGATGGTCCCACAGATGTTCAATAGGATTCATATCGGGTGAGTGGGCAGGCCAGGGCAAAACGTCAACGTTCTGCAGGTTTAGAAAGTTCCGAGTCAGTCTTGCAGTATGGGGCCTGGCATTGTCGTGTTGAAACAATGTCCCCTGCTGTTGGTTTTGTAAGAACGGAAGCACAACTGGCTGCAACACTTAGTCTCTGTACTGAACAGCGTTCAGGTTTCCCTGTATAATCACCAAATCAGTCTTCTCATCTCCACAAGTATCGCCCCACACCATGACATCTCCCCCGCCGAATGGATGGACCTCTCGAATACACGCCGGAGCCAAACGCTCCCCTCTGCGTCGATAAACTCGTTCTTTGCCGTCATTTCGAAACAAGTTAAACCGGCTTTCATCAGTAAACAGCACTCGACGCCAATTTCTCACTTGCCAGCGTCGAACCTGCCTCGCCGATCGCAGTCTGAGGCGTCGATGTTGAGCAGTCAGTACCATTCCTCGGAAAGGACGATACGCTCGGATTCCAGCAGCATGAAGTCTTCGTAGAACTGTACGTTGGGTAATGGGATGTCCCAACGCTGTTGCTGCCGTCGCCGTCGCCGTTACGAATCTGTTTCGCAGGTGAATGAGCCGTATCTGACCGTCTTCCAGTGGTGTTGTCACTCGGGGTCGTCCCTGTCTGCCTGTACCGTTGAATCAGCCTGGCTACTGTCAATGGTGTACAACCAAACCTTCTGGCAATTTGGACCTGTGTTGCCCCCATTTCGGCCATACCGATGGCTCTCTCTCTCTGCTCCTGTGACAGTCGTGGCATGTCTTTTGTGTGCCTTCATCACGTGTGGTAATACCCTGCAGACGAACGCATTTATACAGCTAACATGCACGTGCAGTTTATGCCATAGGCGGAGAACCTGTTTCACCATTTTGTTGTCACCGCACGAGCGCCGTCGAATGTGGCGCGTTCGGGTGAGGTGTTTTTGGTACCTGTTCCTGGGCAGTCATATTCCGAATACCCACTTTCCACTTGTTATCGCTGTTTTTAGGAAAATTACAAATTGCCAACCTATACTTTCTTTTGCCACTTAGTTTAGATATACGTCGATTGTCAGGACTGAGCCACCAGTGTCCCGTTTAAAACATGTCTTGTGGTATAAGATATAACTGTTCTCATTCCGACCTTGCCCTTCGTGTGAAGCCGTCACTGTAACAATAAGCAGCCTCGAGTTACACTTCTTTAGTAAACCAAGGGTGGTATAGTGTGAAACGTGAGGGGTATAGGGTGGTATAGGGTGATACAATGGTGCTATAGGATTAGTGAGTGAGTGAGTGAGTTGGGTTTAACGCCGCTTTTAACAGTAGTCTAATGATAGCGCGGCGTGCTTCTATAATGTTGGAGGAAATCCCGAAGTGATGCATGTCTCAGACGTTTACCACTTCAGTGAAACCCACGAGCACGTGTATGGTGCTGACAAACCTTGAAACATAATCGGGGCGAACCGGGATTCGAACCCACAACTATATCATACGTCCAAGGGACGCAACTCTGCACAGCGAATCGCGGCGCCTAATACGCCTGGGCCACCCGTGCCCCCTTACTGTAGGATGAATAATCGTTATTTCAAAACGGTAACGATGGGATTTATATTAAACGGATGCAGTCAGGAATCTACATATGCATATATTTTCTTACATATCTTCTGCGTACTATCAACAATTTGTTTGAATTTCCATTAGTGAGTGAACGAGTATAGCAATATCACCTCGGGGGATACCAGAAATGGGCTTCCCAAAATGTACCAATGTCGGGAATCGAACCCGGGTCTTCGGCGTGACGAAACAGCCTACCCGAGCGCCCGAATTACCATTAGGATTCTTAAATAAAGATGTTTATCGTATTACTGACCAACACGAAAGGAACTTTTTATTTATGCGTTTGCGTGCTAAGTAGAAATGTCAGTAAAGCCCATCTGCGTGACCGTTCCGGAACATTTAATACACAGCGTTTCAATAGTGCATTGACAAATACAAGTGACCAGAATACCTGCTTCACACCACTCTGACCTCCATTGTGTTTCTTCGTGTGAATACCGGTTCGTCCTGATTATGTTTCTAGCCTTGTCAGCACCATATCCGTGTCGTGGGTTTAACCAAAGTGGTACACGTATATGACCTTCACCACTTAGGCTCCCCTCGCATCACACTGACATACCGTGATATAACTGAAATAATGTTCAAAGCTGTGATATAAAAAAGCTACGCGCTAAAACGCAAAGAACAATGAAGTGCGAAGCGTGGTTTATCTCATGATAAAACATTGTTCTATGATGACGTCATTTCTGGATATTCGAACATGCCCTCGCAAACTGATGACGTCGTAAATTAGACGATGCTATCTTTGAGAGGAACGTATCTTGTGAGTTGTATACCCCTTAGTTGTAGCTGGACAACGTAGATAAACGCAATTGGCTGTATACTGTCATTTGTACTGAACATTTATGTGACGACGCGAGAGTGAGCTAGTGAGTAAGTTGGGTTTAACATAATCGGGGCGAACCGGGTTTCGAACCCAAAATCACAAGTTTCTGGCATGCCCAAAGGACGCAACACGACTGCCACCTACTCCACACACACACACACACACACACACACACACACACACACACACACAGAGACACACACAGAGTTAGGGTGTCGTCTGATCTTGTAGTTTTTAAGTAGTAGCTAGTGACAAAAAGGTATACGACATTATTACCTACCGAACCTGAAATACGTAGTACTTAAGTGTTTCGTTTGAATGTATTCCGTCCCGTCAAATAGTCCACCTGGTCACATTGGACTTAAGAGATTTTACGACAGCTTTAATCGTCGAAGACATTGTCACAAGGGACGTAACACGATTCTAGTAGACATTGAAAAGTTCGCATTATTTGTCAAGATAGGAGGACATTTACCCTTTTATGCCACAAATAGCACAAACGTGAAATCAGTTCACGTTGCAAGGCAGTAAGTACATACGTGTTTTGCCAAGCAAACATACATTATTGACAAAGAGGCGGATCGGACATACACCATTATTACAAGTTATAAACGTACAGAACCATTCAATTGAACCAAATTGAATTCATGTACAACAGGTGCAGGAAGAGGATGGGAACGATGTTCATTATAACACCGTACATCAAATATTACAAACAAATATTTCAAAGTTTAGATCATAGAATAAATTAAATGTTACACCCTTCCCGGGTTCCGCTTCGGTGGCTATTCATTGCCGTTGGTCGTGTTTTGTGTGAAACAGACATACGGTTTATTTATTAAGCGAGACTTATCCTGAATCACCATGTATCTTCCTGGTTATTCAACATGGCGGACGCGAGGAGTCTAATGTACGGTGTCGTGATGTCAGGATGCATACAGCTAATACTTGGTGAGATACATCTTACATACACGTGCCCTTCAGCTTAGGCAATCTTAGGAGGACATTATGATCTGTAGTTGATAAAACTGCGATATCTTGCATTAGGATGAGCAGGGATGTAAAGAAACTTCTTAACAGTTAAAATAATGTGAAAACCGTGTGTGCATTTGTCAGCGTTTATATATACCTGCTATTATACTTCTGCAACAACAATTTGGACATTTGTCAGTGTTTAATTAACGTGGGCTTTATCATGATCATGCTCGAGAGGTAAATTTGGAGATTATGTTTGTACTTTTGTCAATGCTTAATTACCGTATTCGACGTAATAAGCGCCTCGCTCTAATAAGCGCCCACGGCGATATTTCCGGATATATTAGAAGTGAACAATCCCAATTAGCAGCCCTTACGATTGATCAATGTACACAAGACTTATTTATTCGTGTATAATGCGCACTCGTGTGTTATATGCACCCTTAATTAAAGGTAATTAATTTTTGGAAAATGTATCTGTCGTGTAAAATACGCACAGACTTTTATTTTGTTTCATTTCAGGCTGTTAGCATAAATCATGAAATTTACGATCTTTCACCAAAATTATATTTTAATGAGACCCCTATTTCTAACTTTGAGAGCGCCATGGGCGCTTATTACGTCGAATACTTCTCCCCAGGTACATGCTCACCGGGAACTTTTGGTGATTCCTGCTTCTACTCCTGTCACTGTGGAGACTCCTGTGACCAGACAACAGGAGTTTGTGGAGGTGACTGTGATGCTGGTTGGGTGGGAGGAAGAGGAGAAAACTGTCAGAAAGGTATAGTCGCTTGCACACGGAGTTCGCAATATAGCCACGTTTGATGACAACTTCACAGGCGTGGACCTGTCATAATATTTTGACATGCATTGTGATGGAACGAACATAGAGAAATTCGTCAAATACCGACCTGTTGAATCACCAATCTGAACATGAATGCTTGCTGTTATGAATCTGTATGGCCTGAGGCTTGGGAAAACACATTACCGTTACAGGGTCTATTGTCATGGGATACACTGGGGTTTTCATTTGTTTCAATGGAATTGGAAACAACATATAAGATTACAAATTCCAAAAATATAAAATTAAGTAGCTGAAATCAATGGTTAATTGTCATGGAAACCGGCACAAATAAACATTTCCAAAACTGCTAAATAACAAAAGTCATCGTTCATGGCCAGACTGAGATCTTTGAAAATGTTAATCAGGAAGTATTGAACGGTCTTTCAGTTATGGATGGAAGAACGGACAGACGCACAAATTCCCATACCCCCTCCTGCTTCGTGACGGGGGATAATAACTCCTTTGCATAAGAGCTGAACAAAGAAGAAACATTTCCGCCATACCCAAAATAACATTCAAACGTAACACAGAGTTCATCAATAATCAATAGTACATGTATCTTATGCTTTTGGTTCTGTGTTGAGTTGGACATTGCAGAGTGAACTGTAGGTTATAATTGCAGGTTTCAAGAGGCAAGCATGTTATCCCTGTAACTCAAATTGCAAATTTTAAGGATGCATTAACACTGAATACTGTCTAGAATGAGTGAGTGATAATGGTCATAGGTCGCTATTAGCAATATTCCAGAATGTCAGAATATTAGGTGTGGTTGGCATCCATTTGCCTCATTCCTACGGTCCTCTCTCTGTGTTGTGCAGTTAAACGTGGCATATCTTTTGTGCCTTTGCCTGTGATGTTGTGGCAACTATTCATTGCATTTTGTGCCAGTCCTGCACATGCATCATCTTGGCTGTTTTCTGATATCATTTGGATTTATTTCGTCAAATCCAATTTTCAAGTGCATACTTTCTTTTACTCGGCAGTTTTATCAGGATCATCACATATCAGAATTAGACTACGCGTGACAGCAAGCATAAATGTTCACACCAAAAACTGTTGAAGTATGCATTATTAATATACTCTTCAAAAGAAGAAAAGCACAGGTAGATTTTTAGTTGATTTATTTTACCTAATAAAGTCGATATATTTAATCTAATATCATAGATACAAATATGAAATTTTGGAGCTCGATAGTCACATGTTGTCGTTGTACAAAGGCATTGAAAACTGTTCATTGTTCATCACATAAGGCCACAAGGTTGCGCTGAACTCAGTATCTCGTGTGACCGCCCCGGGCAGCAATCACGGCTTCGCATCTCCTCGGCACTGACTGGATAAGTGTACGAATTCTGTCCTGCGGAAATCTGCGCCATTCTGCTTATAACGCGTTGGCCAGATGTGGGAGTGCCTGCGGCGTGTACTGACGCTGACGTACACGTCGATCGAGTTCCACCTAGAGGTGTTCGATTGGGTTGAGATCTGGAGATCTCGACGGCCAGGGCAAGGCGTTGATGTTGGCATTATGAAGGTTGTCTACCGTGTTACGAGCTGTGTGCTGTGGAGCGTTGTCCTGTTGAAACAGCTCCCTCTGGCGGGAAGGAGGTGAGGTTGAAGAATTTGATTCATGTAGCGATTTGCTGTCATATTTCCCTGAACCACAACCAAGTCAGATCTCGTGGTATAGGATATGGCCCCCCAAACCATGACACTACCGCCACCGAATTTGCCGAATTTACGTACACAATGTGGGGCAAAACGCGCATTTCGTCGACGATAAACACGTTGTCTTCCATCTCTAAGGTGAAGAAGAAATCGTGATTCATCGCTAAACCACACTCATCTCCAGTTCCAATTCCAAGGCTGTCAGGTAAAGCACCAACGCAAGCGTCGCTGTCGATGGATCTGTTGCAAAACAGGGACGATCTTCTGGGTCGGATTCCCCTCGCGAAGATGGTTCCTGACAGTCTGGTCCGATATCCTCCTGAAACCAGGGATGCGTCCTGCAGTCTCCATAGCTGTTGCATTGCAATGACGTAGGTGGAACAGTCGAATGTAGGGTCCTATGCAGGGGAGGTAACTCTTGGTCGGACGGTTCTCGGACGGTCTGCAGTGGAATTGATATGTGTGTATCGGTCACAAAGGCACAATGGTGCTGTGGTTGACGTCAGGTCACCAACATTTTCCAATAGCATATATCCAATTCATATACCGGATTTTTTGTGAAGTCAGGTTGAACAACATACTACATGTGCGTTTCTTTTTTTGAAGAGTGTAATTTATAGGCACAATATCGACTTTAAGAAGACAAATGGCGGCCATCTTGAATTTTCGGTGGCTTACGATTTGTCTTCTTAGTTACCCAACGGCGACCAACCATACATCATTTATCATCATTTCACACCGCTCCACTATATAACAATTATTAAAAATAGGTTAAAATTAGAAGTGATTGCTCTTTTCATGCAGAAAACGTAGCCTACAATAAAAACGCAACATCTCCTTATCGACTGTTCCCAAGTGACCCTCCCTGGTCTGCAGACAACGCTGTAGATGGGAACAGGGACCAGGATGTGCAGGGAAACTCCTGCTTCCACTCTGCTGACAGCGTTCAAGCTGTGTGGACAGTGGACCTGGGACAGCAATACAGGATACATGACGTCAGGATATACAACCGGGCAGGATGTCAGTATTATACCCAATTTCATTGATTTTCGTATCTTCTTTTGTTACATGTACGTACATGAAAGATGGAGCAAACTTTTAATGGGGTAACTATTACTTGTAATTATCTATTAACATTTAGCTCTTCAACAGCGTTGACGTGAAGGTACAATTGTAATTGTTATCTGAGACACACATATATGCATGTGACACCAAAGATCATCTCTGGACTTTTGTATTTTATCTACCTCTATCTATATCTGTATACCATACATACCTACATCTAAATGCAGGAATATCGGGTAGACGTCGGGAAGGATTTTAATATACTGTAGGTACCTATGAAGGCAGAGTGTATAAAAGATTTTATTACCCACCACATGATTGAAACTTTTGTAGAACATGTTCCTTGGGAGGTCAATGTCTGACATATTTAAAGTAAAAACCTGCCGAACTCAAGAAATATATTTTTTGGCGTATGTCATACTTAACTGCACATTGTCATACACCCTAGGCGACTCATCTGAAATTTGGTTGGAGATACTGCTTAAATAATTATAGAAAGGTAGGCGCATCCTGCCCTACCGGTGGTGCAAGCGCGGGTGTTTACAAACACATGCATAGGCAAGTCAAGTGTTCTCCTGAACAAACAAAGGAACATATGGTACAAGTTAAAATATGGAAGTTCATCGGACATCCTTTTGGACAAATTTAGATATGTCCTCCACATGTCTAGAATAAAACGGGCCTTGAATGATGTAAACCTGATTAAACAACTTGTGAACCCCTTGAAATCAACTTTGAAAGAGCATACAATTACTGTTATGAAACGAGGAATCGTACAATATAACACTTTGTTTAGACATCCAGCATGTCATATGACATGTCAACTCAATGGAATTTTCCAAAACTAGTCCCAGCGTCCCCGAACCACTCCCCAACTCTAGAAGATCTAGAAGATCGTCCTTCAAATAATTGAAATTTAAGAGACACTGCTATTCTCTATATTAACTTTAAAAGCACGAATAGGAATATAAAGCCTGATATTAACCACCCCATTTGTGATATAGTTAAGGACTGACTGTGTATTTCTTTCGGTAGATTGAGGCATGAATAAAACCGATGCCCAAACTGAGAGAATCCGTGTCTCGATAACGTGCCGGCTAGCAATGAACTCCCAAGACATGAAATGTGGGGCCTGGAACCCAGTCTAGCGGGAAAAAACAGGCGAGCAAGCCTGCACGTTTTCTGTTTCATTCCTTCTCGGCCTTCGGCCTCAAAGGGTAGTTTTGACAATACATTTGCATGAATTTCGCTAAATGTCATGTGCGTGTTGATAAACGGGAGCAGAAAGGGAATTATCTTGACAGTAATATTGGGATTCCCCGACATCCCATAGTAATAAAAGTAGTCCGCCTTGTTGGGCGTGGCTTATTTTTTTACTTTCATTGGGAAATAATTGCAATAACACGTGACCAATTCATCTTATGAGAGTGCAGGAATTACAATGAACACAACGAAAATTTAATTATTGCCAAATGATGGGTGTTTACATAAAAACTCATATTTCGGAAAACCATTAACTAAAGATTTAGTGAACGTTTTGCAATAGTGTTTGTGCACCTAACACCACGTCTGTGTATAAAGCCTAATAAAAGTAGTCCCTGCTTGGTAAACTCATTTGCATATATACTGGATCGTGATTATTGGACTGGTTCATCGCATCGCTAACACTAACCATACATGCCCTAACAATACGGGAGCCAGAACAGGTTATACATTGTATGTTGAAAATAGAGATTATCATAAGAGCATGTTTGTGTGTCATGGTTATTTTAGGAAACGAGTGTCAGAATTCTTGTATTTCCCGAGCGAAAGCGAGGGTAATAAAATTTCGTTATTGCCCAATATGTCTAAATCCGTTAGAGGCCACCTCCAGAAAAATGCACTGATCAGGATTGGCGTCTTAGAAAACAGGAATTGTCTAATGACGTCAAGAATCTTCAGCTATGACGTCGTTTCTAGTGTGACGTCATTCCGACCTTACATCACAATAAGATTCGCAAAACGTCAACAATTCCGTCCGGATGACGTTAACAATAGACTGGTGCGCGTGAATTGATATTTGCACACATGCACATTCGATGTTTATGAACCCGATTATTTGTATCTCTATGGGGAACCAACTGGAACAGTGTTAAACAAATATCACATCATCATGATCTTACAGAAGGAACACACATATTTTTGTTTTTCCCTGACAGATGTCACGAGGATCCAGGAGGCTGTCCTGTCTTTGAGTAACATCAGCTCCACACACGACACCACCTGCTACACCTTCCCATCCAACATCACAGAAGGCAACTCAGTCTTTGACGTGAAGTGTGACGGGAGGGCTAGATATTTGACCATAACACACAATACAACGACCCTCAATTTGTGCGAGGTTGAGATATATGGTAGGATCACACACGTTATATTTGGAGGTTAAATGTGTTTTAGGTTAAATGGAATATGAGTAATGCCTTTTCATATAAGTGTTAATGAATACATATATGTAAGTGTAATTTGCTGTAATAAATATATTTATAACGACTTAATATCATTTACTTAAAAAATAGGGGGCACGGGTGGCCCAGTCGAATAAGGCGCCGCGATTCGCTGTGCAGAGTTGCGTCCCTTGGGAGCGCCAGAAACCTATGATTGTGGGTTCGAATCCCGGTTCGCCCCGATTATGTTTCTAGGTTTGTCAGCACCATACCCGTGCTCGTGGGTTTCACCGAAGTGGTAAACATCTGAGACCTGCATCACTCCTAACTTTTCTCCCACATTAAGCTGACACGCCGTGATATAACTGGAATAATGTTAAAAGCGGCGTTAAACCCAACTCACTCACTCACTAAAGAAATAAAACCTTGGATTGATGAAATGGGAAAGGCAAATGGATTCAGGTACATTCTCAGTAAATATGAACATTTCTTTGAAGTGATAAAACTAATACTTTATTACTCCCGCTATCGTGACATTCATTCAAGATATAACAAAAGCAGCATTTGTTCGGCCATACATGACATGCTGTTAATCATACTTCTTTAAGTTTGCAGTCCAGGCGTTTTCGGTGAAAACTGCAGTAATTTCTGCCATTGTTCCAATGAGCCCTGTCACCCAGTCAGTGGTGTGTGTCCTGCAGACTGTAGACCAGGGTGGCAGGGAGACAGGTGTGATACAGGTGAGGAGATTCAGTCAGTGGTGTGTGTCCTGCAGACTGTAGACCAGGGTGGCAGGGAGACAGGTGTGATACAGGTGAGGAGGTTCAGTCAGTGGTGTGTGTCCTGCAGACTGTAGACCAGGGTGGCAGGGAGACAGGTGTGATACAGGTGAGGAGATTCAGTCAGTGGTGTGTGTCCTGCAGACTGTAGACCAGGGTGGCAGGGAGACAGGTGTGATACAGGTGAGGAGGTTCAGTCATTGGTGTGTGTCCTGCAGACTGTAGACCAGGTAGGCAGGGAGACAGGTGTGATACAGGTGAGGAGATTCAGTCAGTGGTGTGTGTCCTGCAGACTGTAGACCAGGGTTGCAGGGAGACAGGTGTGATACAGGTGAGGAGATTCAGTCAGTGGTGTGTGTCCTGCAGACTGTAGACCAGGGTGGCAGGGAGACAGGTGTGATACAGGTGAGGAGATTCAGTCAGTGGTGTGTGTCCTGCAGACTGTAGACCAGGTAGGCAGGGAGGCAGGTGTGATACAGGTGAGGAGGTTCAGTCAGTGGTGTGTGTCCTGCAGACTGTAGACCAGGTAGGCAGGGAGACAGGTGTGATACAGGTGAGGAGGTTCAGTCAGTGGTGTGTGTCCTGCAGACTGTAGACCAGGGTGGCAGGGAGACAGGTGTGATACAGGTGAGGAGGTTCAGTCAGTGGTGTGTGTCCTGCAAACTGTAGACCAGGTAGGCAGGGAGACAGGTGTGATACAGGTGAGGAGGTTCAGTCAGTGGTGTGTGTCCTGCAGACTGTAGACCAGGGTGGCAGGGAGACAGGTGTGATACAGGTGAGGAGGTTCAGTCAGTGGTGTGTGTCCTGAAGACTGTAGACCAGGGTGGCAGGGAGACAGGTGTGATACAGGTGAGGAGGTTCAGTCAGTGGTGTGTGTCCTGCAGACTGTAGACCAGGTAGGCAGGGAGACAAGTGTGATACAGGTGAGGAGGTTCAGTCAGTGGTGTGTGTCCTGTATACTGTAGACCAGGGTGGCAGGGAGACAGGTGTGATACAGATGAGGAGATTCAGTCAGTGGTGTGTGTCCTGCAGACTGTAGATCAGGGTGGCAGGGAGACAGGTGTGATACAGGTGAGGAGGTTCAGTCAGTGGTGTGTGTCCTGTATACTGTAGACCAGGGTGGCAGGGAGACAGGTGTGATACAGGTGAGGAGGTTCAGTCAGTGGTGTGTGTCCTGCAGACTGTAGACCAGGGTGGCAGGGAGACAGGTGTGATACAGGTGAGGAGGTTCAGTCAGTGGTGTGTGTCCTGCAGACTGTAGACCAGGTAGGCAGGGAGACAGGTGTGATACAGGTGAGGAGGTTCAGTCAGTGGTGTGTGTCCTGCAGACTGTAGACCAGGTAGGCAGGGAGACAGGTGTGATACAGGTGAGGAGATTCAGTCAGTGGTGTGTGTCCTGCAGACTGTAGGCAGGGATACAGATGTGATACATCTAAACAGAGCATTACAATTACTGCATCGTTGATGATTAAGATTTCTCCCCCTGTTAGTTTGTTCATTAACATGTTTATGTTGTGTTGTGTTTTGTTGCTGACCAAATCAAAACCTTGTATTTTCAGTGTGTGCTGAGAACCATTACGGTGTCAGCTGTAAAGACGTTTGCTCCAACCGGAGATGTTTAGATCCGTCGTCGTCATGTGACCGCTACACGGGGACGTGTGACAGTGGGTGTACTTCCGGTTGGACTAATGTTGACTGTGCTCAAAGTAGGAATTTGCTTTTGTTAAATACTATACATGTATCGTATCGTTTTATTACAGGCGCACGGCTGCATACGGTTGAAAACAAAGATAGTGTTTACTGAGCCTGAGACCTTTGTCCTGATACGCATTGTAGTACACTTTACTTGCAAAATCGATTGTTGATTTACAGGTTTTAAATAATATTTATTTTCATATGAAGATGACTTATATTAAACGTTATGCATTTGACATCACTGCTTCAGAATAGACGACACTGGTCACATTCATATTCAAATATTTACCATGCAAAGTAATTGTATTCCAATTTTGATTATCCTATATATGAATGTAATCTGGTTCACTCGGCATGAACAAGGTTTAGATATCCATATATGTTATCGATAAACAACCAACTTGTTGATATAGTTCCACTGTAAGCTTTTCATACTCGTATTTGAACAGGGTGTTCTGGGTCGTATGGGCAAAACTGCAGGGAACCCTGTTCTACCAGGAAATGCAAGGGTAGCTCACCTTGTGACCACGTTACGGGGACGTGCGTTTCCGGATGTCAGGAGGGATGGAAGGGTAAAGATTGTAAAGAAGGTAATTCCCAGATGGAAAACAGTTCAAGTAATAGGTCTAGGTAAATAAAGCAAATTAAAACTCTGTCCCAAAGCTTCTCACAGTTCTGAAAAAAATACAGTTTCAGCAACATGTAGAGGTTGACACGTTGCATATATGAGCCGTTAATGCTTTATAACCATGTCGTAAATATTGTAGGATCAATATAGTGACGTTGCCAAAAAATGGTTTCACATATTGTTTTCACATAATTTTATGGATAACGTGAAAATGATGGAATATATGTATAATTATCGCTTTAATAAAAAACATTTATTGCAAAATTCCGATACTCACACTTGTTAATGTATTGCCATATCTCAAATAGATACAGAGTTGAGGTTAATACTTCATGCCAGATTTCTTAAATATTTCAGCCTGTGACAGTCAACATTATGGGTCTAACTGTGACAAGACCTGTGCCTCTAGACACTGTGTGGGGAACTCTTCCTGTAACTCAACAGGGGACTGTGACAGGGGATGTGAGACAGGGTGGACACTGGGCGACTGTACAGGTGAGGATGGCATAAAGGAGATAAGAATGGAAACAATTGAGCGCGAGTATAGACCAGGGCGACGGTCATGAGGGGCGGGGTGTGGGGGTGCGGTGGTGTGTGTGTGTGTGTGTGTTTGTGTGTGTGTGTTTGTGTGTGTGTGTGTGTGGATTTGGGGGGGGGGGGTATAGACCAGGGCGACGGTTATGAGGGGTGGGGTGTGTGGTGTGGTGTGGTGTGGTGTGGTGTGGTGTGGTGTGGTGTGGTGTGGTGTGGTGTGGTGTGGTGTGGTGTGTGTGTGGGGGGGGGGGGGGGTTGGGGGTTGGGATGTTGGGGTGGGGGGTTGCAGTTTGGCGATAGGGTTGACACAGGATGACGGTCCACGAACTATCTTTAGTTGTGGTAAAATCGAGGTAACATTGCTTTACCATCGAAACACTTTATCATGATAAAAGTAGCTTCACAGGGAAACGGGAAAATGTGTGAAAAGAAGTAAACATTTTTTTTATAGTAACAAAGACACATAGCTTCATATTACACTTCAATGCAATAAATTGTTTGATAGGCTTTACTTAGAAGTTGACGGATGACAAGATAGACACAATTTTAATGGATAACAACTTCTTTAATAATGTGAAAAGCGACGTTTCGGTATATATCCTTATACCGTTGTCAAGCAAGGAACGTCGCTTTTCACAGTATTAAAGAAGTTGTTATCCATAAAAATTGTGTCTAGCTTCAATGCAATATACACGTACGGCATGCCGATATCCATAGTATCATATATATGTACCATAAGACAAGGAAGTCAAATGACATTCTATATCGGAGGAAAAGATCACTCAGCCATTTTGTCAAACAACGACTGAGACAAAATATCATTATGTTTGCCTACATTGTAAATCTTCACTCAGGTACCTGCCCACGAGGGACGTTTGGAGAGTTTTGTAATTTCACCTGTCATTGTGGAGAGACCTGTAACAGAACAACAGGGGTTTGTGAAGGTGACTGTGACCCCGGTTGGCTCGACGGAAATGGAAAACTCTGCCAGAAAGGTTTGCTGTATACTCAGAGTGAGTGAGTGAGTGAGTATGATTTTACGCCGCTTTTAGCAATATTCCAGAAATATCCTTGCGGAGGACACCAGAAATGGGCTTCACAGATTGAACCCATGTCGGGAATCGAACCCGGGTCTTCGGCGTGACGAGAGAACGCTTCAACCACTTGGCTACCCGACCGCCCCCTGTATACTCAGATAAGCACACAAGTGTCGCTGTTGTTAGACAACAGTGGTATTGTTACATTTCAGCATTGTGTTGGGGCATGTACACCCCGAGACCGACAACCGCTAGTCGAAAGAATTTATCATTGCACAAGTACAGAGATTTATTTTCTATGAAATACGTTTGTGTGACAATACCATATCTGCCTAAGGACCACCCGTGGGTACGGTATGGTAACTCTACATGTGAACAGGGTCAATTATGACGTAATAAGGGGACGACGTCATATGAAACACTATGACGTCAGGATGTCAGCACAGGCGACGACTGTCAGAAAGCTGGACTTTCTTACGAGTGGCGATTGTAATACTTTTACAAAACATTGCTACAAAACACGTAAGTTAGTAGTCCACAATGTGCATGTAATGGCGCTACTCGATAAAATAGCTCTTATTTACAGAAAACGTTGCCTTCAAGAAACCAGCTGCAACTCTTGGTGCACTATATAATGCACACTGGTCGGCAGACAAAGCTGTAGATGGGAACCGTGACCAGGATGTGTTCCACAACTCCTGTTTCCACTCTGCTGCTAAATTTCCAAGCGTGTGGACTGTAGACCTTGGACAGGAGTACAGGGTACATGACGTCAGGATATACAACCGAGTAAACTGTATGTATATCTTTCGAGAGTAGTCAGTAATATCTCGCTGAATATATGACTGAAATAATGCCGTTTCTTTTTTGTACAATGTTAACTCACTTAGTTTAGTATATGTGACGTTTTTTAGTGCCAAGTCCTCGGCCAAAAGGCACACGCATTGCAAAGTGAACGATGCACATTTTACGAAACAAACCATTATCATATATACATGTTTACCAGAAACGTTTGTCTGACCTATGGGCAGAACTATTTTTGATGAATTAAGACGTTTATAGCAATGCTGTAAATATCGTTCTTTGTTGTCGTTCGTATTCTCCAAATCTGTTTGAATACACTACATAGATCTACCCTGAAGCAAGAATGAACAGCTTGAGATCATTTCAAGATGCAATGGGCTCTCTTCAACTCAGCACTTCCCATTTTACTGGGGATACTATGGTCATCTTCTTCATACCCTGAATATTTCAGGAAATGGCTTCATATGGTGGAGTTTATGACATTTGTTTTCATTAACACTGGAGACTTGGACATTGTTCTTGTACACTGCACCCCCACACACTGTAGGATCTCGCCCATAGCTATTCATAAGTCACCGATTCTTAGAAGTGCTTCTCCATAGTTCTTGGACATTCACTTTTCACAGACATTTTAGGAAATGACAATTTATACATTAAATATTGTAGGAAAAGGTTTCTCATAAACTGAAGATTCTAGCACAACATTCTTCATATAACGGAGATTCTACTTTATTTAAAATTTCGTTCCTCTTCGACATGATTATTTCATGCTTATAGACATTGTTCTTCAAAATATATGACATTGAATAGGTTATTCATACAGTAGTAAGAAGAGATTCTTAGACATGGTTTATCGTCGACTGGAGATTCTAAGGCATGGCTCATTATCCACTGGATATTCTAAGATAAGGATCACCATCCACTGGAGGTTCTAAGACATGGTTCATTATCCACTGGATATTCTAAGATAAGGATCACCATCCACTGGAGATTCTAAGAAATGGCTCATTATCCACTTGAGTCGAAGACATTGATCATTGCAGTATCCACTCCCATGGCTGATTTTACGTACCCTTCTAATAATTCTATGTTGGGGGTACAAATGGCACAATAGATTGATTGTACGTGTGCTAAATGTTAACACACCGGAAAATGTGTAATGTGTCCACAATATGTAACTATTTACTATTGAATTTGTTCCACTGTTTATTAATTAATTTTAGAAATGTTTCCGTAACTAACAAATGTACTTGTGAATTGAATCATTTAAGTCCAGCTTGTGCGTGTTCAAGCTGTTCAACTCTGAAAATATAACAAACTATACAGTTTACAGAAATAAATCCTTTATCATTTATTCCCTACATAAAAGTACAAGAATTGTTTTTTAGGAACCATGAGTAAAAAGTCTGATCATCAGAGTTAGAGAGATTCTTGGCTAGCTTCAAACGGAATGGGAATAGTTGATAGTTGAACAGATAGTGAGGCTGAACAAAGAGAAGGTTGGGGGGCTTTTACAAGAATGGAAAATATGGTCAGGAAGCTCACCCCAGACCAGAGTTCTGATGATAGTGACAAAATGATGATGAGAATTTAAAAGAATTATGGCAGCTTATCTGGCAAGATTGAACATTAACTAGTGTTGCGGGAGGACACAGAGATAATAGAAAGTATAAATACTTACACCATAAGCATAGATAACAGGTATCAGACGTTAAAGGCAGATGTTCAAATTTGGTTTAATGATCACGTGAAGCCGAAAAGTTCAGCGAGTTCAAGGCCTAATCTGGAGGCGAAAAAGGCAGCATTGATTGTGCGATCAGCTGCTCTGAAACAGTCAGACCTCATTTAAGAGGAAGCTTCCACTGGAGATTTTAAGATGTGATTCGTTATCCACTGGAGATTCTAAGGCATGTATCCGCATCAACTGGGGATTCTAAGATATGGTTCATTATCCACTGGAGATTCTAAGGCATGTATCCGAATCCACTGGGGATTCTAAGATATGGTTCATTATCCGCTGGAGATTCTAAGATATTGTTCATTATCCACTAGAGATTCTAAGGCATGTATCCTCATCCACTGGAGATTCTAAGGCATGTATCCTCATTTACTGGGGATTCTAAGACATGTATCCTCATCCACTGGGGATTCTAAGACATGTATCCTCACCCACTGGGGATTCCAAGATATGGTTCATTATCCGCTGGAGATTCTAAGATATGGTTCATTATCCACTAGAGATTCTAAGGCATGTATGCTCATCCTCTGGAGATTCTAAGACACGGTTCATTATCCAATGGAGATACTAAGATATGGATCCTCATCCAATGGAGCAGTGGAGATTCTAAGACATGGGTCATCATCCACTGGAGATTCAAAGATATGGTTCATTATTCACTTGAGATTCTAAGGCATGTATTCTCGTCCACTGGAGATTCTAAAACATGGATCCTCATCCTCTGGAGAGTCTAAAACATGGATCCTCATCCACTGGATATACTAAGATATGGTTCATTATATACTAGAGATTCTGAGGCATGTATGCTCATCCACTGGAGATTCTAAGACACAGCTCATTATCCACTGGAGATACTAAGATATGGATCCTCATCCACTGGAGTTTCTAAGACATGAGTCATCATCCACTGGAGATTCAAAGATATGGTTCATTATCCACTAAAGATTCTAAGGCATGTATCCTCGTCCACTGGAGATTCTAAGACATGGATCCTCATCCACTGGAGATTCTAAGACATGGATCCTCATCCACTGGAGATTCTAAGACATGGATCCTCATCCACTGGAGAGTCTAAAACATGGATCCTCATCCACTGGAGATTCTAAGATATGGTTCATTATCCACTGGAGAGTCTAAAACATGGATCCTCATCCACTGGAGATTCTAAGACATGGATCCTCATCCACTGGAGAGTCTAAAGCATGGATCTTCATCCACTGGAGATTCTAAGATATGGTTCATTATCCACTGGAGAGTCTAAAACATGGATCCTCATCCACTGGAGATTCTAAGACATGGATCCTCATCCACTGGAGAGTCTAAAACATGGATCCTCATCCACTGGAGATTCTAAGACATGGACCATTATCCACTGGAGATTCCGAGGCATGTATCCACATCCACTAGAGATTCTAAGGCATGGTTCATTATCCACTGGAAATCTGGAGATTCTTAGACCTAGATCACCATCCATTGAAGATTCTAAGGCATGTATCCACATCCACTGGAGATTCTATGGCATGGCACATTATCCACTGGAGATACTAAGACATGGATCCCCATCCACTGGAGATTCTAAGACATGAGTCATCATCCACTGGAGATTCTAAGACATTGATCATTATTCATTGGAGATTCTAAGATAAAAAATAAACTTTGGGTTATCTTACGTTTGAAAATATTTATTTCCAAGTTTGAGGCGGCCCTTAGGGTACTTTTTGCTCTTCCGTCTAGGAATATGTTGTCAAGATCAGACTCTGCAACTTGTGCGAAATGTTTCGTCGCTGTCTTGTCGACACCACTAGGCCTCGCCACCTGAGCATGTGTTGTAAATTATTCATAAAAAATATGTATGTCCAGCAAACCGATTTTATTTTAAAGCATCTCCCCCAAAATGTATTTAAATGTCTTTTTATTTTGACAAATTAAATATTACCTAGATCTAGGCTGATTTTGTCCGAGCATTCGGGTACTTCATAAGGGGGGCGCTCGGCGGCAAGCTTTTGCCTTTTAGGCGGCGTGTCCTTCACGCCTGTCAATAAAGACAATGCTATCTTTTACAATTTCATCTTAATTTCTTTTTTGGTATGTGTTTACGTCATAATATGATAGCTAGAGCAGCAGACGACAAATGTCGTTTACGTGTTTGTTCAACTGATTTTTTCAAAACATATTTCTGAAGATGTTTGTGTTATTATAGTCACCAGAATTTTCCAGATTGGAGAGTATAATGTCAAAATCATCGTCACTCCATTCATTTGCAGGATGTAGATAGACTTTAGCAAAACTTCCTAGATCAAAAGTTCCAACTGACACGGAATTCGTGAGCTCCGCCATCTTTATGGGCAAGCACAAAGTGCACATGCATATCCTTACGCGGTAAAGAGGCCGTTAAGCCAGCTGTTTTAATCAGAGGGGGTTTATTGTGATTTAATAGCCTCTGACTGACCAATCTGAATTGTTATTGTGATTAAATAGCCTCTGATTGACCAATCTGAATCGAGTAAATTCCAAATTCATGGTAGAATTTTAGATAGAGCATGCTCGATTGCACGTCTCAAGTTGTAAATGTAGAAACCAAATGTTGGAACCGCGGGAATATTGCTTGACATAAAGGGAAAGGGGACTATTTGAAAGTTGAAGTCACCCCTCTTTACATACATTCTTGTAGACAGTTTTTACTGCTCTGAACATTTATGCAAGGGAATTGGTTCTTGACCTTTATTGGACGATGTCAAATACTTGATATTCCTGAAACTTAACTTAGGCTTCTCTGCAAAATCCTCGTGTTTTGATTTTGCCAGTAAAAGGAGATATTCTGCTTCATGTACATAAGGAACAGATGAGCAGAGAGGGGAGCACAAATGTTTCCCATGGGGATGCCTACTTTCTACCTAATCGTTCTATCCCCAAATTGCACAAAATTGATGTTATCAGTGAAGAAGTCCAGCATTTCACAGTTCGTCTCTCAATTTCATTACAGCTGTGGTAACAACGTTTCGTAACAAATACCTAAATGGATCAACACTTGTTTGGTTCGTTTCTGAGAGTGAAAAAAAGCAAGAACATCCATTGAGTTTTAGATAATCCACAGGGTATTAATTCTACTTGACCCAAATACTTTCTGTGAATCTAAAAAGGTCATTCCTTGATTGATTTATAGATCATGGGTAGTCTTTGAAACAGGGATTTGTGGTACATTTGCTGGACCCTGCACTTTACTATCTGTGTGCGGATGTGTAGGAGCTTTGAACTCCATCACAACAGAGGACTGGATATGCCTTTAGGTTTTAGTTTCACACTAAAATGTGACAGTATTGTTTCGTAGTTTTGGCAGATATATATCCTCATTTACATACTGGTCTTATATGAAGCATTACTTGCTATGTCACTTACACCAAGTTCGGTGATCAAACAATAAATATTGAGATACTTTCATATAATTATAATGGTTATGTTACTTCCGGCCTTGGGAGTGGGAATAACTTCAAGCTGGCGCGGACAGAACGAGTTTGTTCAAGTTCTGTTGCCTATGTTTCCTTTTCGGTGTGTACTTTCTACCAGCAACATCTCACACTGACTTAACCCACTTCGAAAGACATTCAACGGGTTCATCTTATCTATTGGGCCATTTCGGGAACGTTAGGAAACAAACTGCCTGAAGAAATAATTATATGTCTTTAGAATGTGGTCTTTCAGATGTCAGCAGACTTCGTGAAGCTTTCCTCTCTCTAAGTAATACCAATTCGACCTCCAACATTACCTGCTACGTATTCCCCCCGGACACCCCAGAAACATCGAACAGCGTCTACGATGTGTCATGTGAAGGGCGAGGAAGATTCCTAACTATCACACAGAACACAAGCTTTCTCAATCTCTGTGAGGTCGAGACATATGGTAGCAAAGATGTTTTCTGTTTTCTTATAGTTTTGTTTTAAGACCTCCATTAGGATGCTTCCATTATCACAATTTATGCATGTTTCAAGCACAAACGTAAAAACCAATTATAATACGCTATCAATTAAACATGTAATCGGTAAATAATCATTTCATTCGTAAGATTCCATAGTTTAGAGACATAGCATGGAGAGATGTGCCATGTATCAATGCCCAACACCTTTATCGTGGAAATAAATCTCAAGCACAACGATCTATGATTTGGTTGTGCACATTGTTTTTTCACAAAAAGATGCAACTCAAATGTTCAGTCTTAACTATATTTGTTTTTAGTTTGCAGTCATTGGTATTTTGGTGATTGTCACCGAGTCTGTCACTGTTTGAATAGACCTTGCGATCCAGTCAGTGGTGTGTGTCCTGGAGACTGCAGACCAGGGTGGCAGGGAGACAGGTGTGATACAGGTGAGGCGATTCAGTCAGTGGTGTTTGTACTGAAGACTGTAGACCAGGGTGGCAGGGAGACAGGCGTGATACAGGTGAGGAGATTCAGTCAGTGGTGTTTGTCCTGGAGACTGTAGCCAAGGAGGGCGGGGAGACAGGTGTGATACAGGTGAGGAGATTCAGTCAGTTGTGTTTGTTCTGGAGACTGTAGCCAAGGAGGGTGGGGAGACAGGCGTGATACAGGTGAGGAGATTCAGTCAGTGGTGTTTGTTCTGAAGACTGTAGCCAAGGAGGGTGGGGAGACAGGCGTGATACAGGTGAGGAGATTCAGTCAGTTGTGTTTGTTCTGGAGACTGTAGCCAAGGAGGGTGGGGAGACAGGCGTGATACAGGTGAGGAGATTCAGTCAGTGGTGTTTGTTCTGAAGACTGTAGCCAAGGAGGGCGGGGAGACAGGCGTGATACAGGTGAGGAGATTCAGTCAGTGGAGTTTGTTCTGGAGACTGTAGCCAAGGAGGGCGGGGAGACAGGTGTGATACAGGTGAGGAGATTCAGTCAGTTGTGTTTGTTCTGGAGACTGTAGCCTATGAGGGCGGGGAGACAGGCGTGATACAGGTAAGGAGAATTCAGTCAGTGGTGTGTGTCCTTGAGACTGTACACATGGTGTTTTACAGAAGAGAAAGAGGTTTCTTTAGGGGTTAAGAAGTCACAAGAGACTTGAAATCAGAATGTCCGAAGCTAAACTGATTTTCTTCAACTTCCCTTGACAAAGGCCTTTTTAACTTAACCATTGGTCACGAATGTAACCCGGTATACCCAATCACTCTTACATCGGACACGTGTTATTTGATAACATATCTATGCATATTCCCGCCTTAGTGTGTTCGAATGGCACATATGGACAGAACTGCCGCAGCTATTGCTCAAACAGGAGATGTGCGGGAAGCTCGTCATGTCATCACGTGACAGGGTCATGTGCTTCCGGATGTCAAGCTGGGTGGATCGATGCTGAGTGTACACAAGGTGAATGTCATTGTCAAATGTACAGACAGTCAAAAACATTTAGGGCAGGGGGGTTATGTTTGAACACTGTTTAATATTCTGACAATTGAACACTTGGATAACAATTCAGAATATCATGGGAACGAGCATACTTTGAATGGTTAACAATAAGGTTATTAGTTTCGATGAATAGTTAAAAGAAGTAGGACATTGTATAAAAGATCACTTGTTTTTAATCTTTTTGAAAAAGCATACATCGAAACACATTTATGCGCTAAAGTTAATTTTTATATAGGATACCGCCAACCTGTACAGCAGAATCGTGTATATCGTATGTTGGCGTTCCAATGACTTCACTTATGTCTAATCGAAAATTGCTTTCTGGTCCACATTACGAAATGATTTGTGTGTGGATATGTTTCACATTTAGCTGTTAATATGGACATTACTTTGTTAGCCTACTCGCAATACGGAGAGGGAGACGAAGACGGAGGCGAAGACGGAACAGTAGTTGCAGCATCAATATCTGTGGCAGTCTTCACTGTCCTTGTGGCTGTGCCCACGTTCATCGGTGTTGTGGTATGGAGGAGGAGGCAAAGGTAGAGAGAACGAGAGATAGATAGAGAGAGAGAGAGAGAGAGAGAGAGAGAGAGAGAGACAGAGAGAGACAGAGAGAGAGAGAGAGAGAAGAGAGAGAGAGAGAGAGATTATTATGTATTGGGTTCTTCTGAAAAATTGTTCACTGCTGAAAAACGGTATCTGTTTTTATTACCTACGAGGGCAAACATGTCGGGGTTCAGAATCATAAATCATATGTGCCCTTGGGTCATATCACGTCACAAGAAAACAGTGTATAGTTTACGTTATCCGGACGGCATTGTTGGTCATTCTCATCTTATTCGAGGTCGGAATGACGTCACACTAGAAACGCCGTCATAGCTGTAGATTGTTGACGTCATTCAACAAATTTAGGTTCCGCTGCTGTGGCGACCTTGGGCGCATTGCAAGCCACGAATCGCTTAGAGAAAGCAAATTAATCGCTCATCCCGGGGTCTGCAACAGTTCGAAGCGCTTGCGCACTCTTCCAAAATGGCGGCGCAACTACCGCTTGGTTGCCTTGACGTAATGAAGAACGTAATAGAAGAGGCTCGATGACGAGCTGATGAAATTTATGACTACTTTGAAGATGTTGAGCAGACTGGGGATGATGGGGTGTTAGCTGCCTTTGCTCATTTCCTCGTTGATCCAGTCAAGAATTTCTTTCTTGTTCCGCTGTCAAAGTCAGCAACCACTTTGGTTTGAGAACAAAGCGACCTCAGCCTGCGATTGTTTCGCTTGGAAGCGACTGAAAGTTATCGCTCTGTTGTAAGGCGAATCGCTGTACTTCGCTTGAAAGCGATTCGCGCTTTGCAAGGCACCCTTGGAAATACCGGAATGTAGGCACGAGTGTCGTAAACATGGTATGTGTACATTGTGTTTGTCGGTGTTTTACAGACATCCACAAGAGGACTGTCCAGCTGATTCCCATCACTACTACAATACAACTCCTGCAGACACAGACAGAGCAGGAGAGTCTCAGGTCGCTGCTGAAGATCCAGCCGACGAAAGAGGCTACGAAGGTCTCGACGTCATGTCACGTGACAACAACCTGAACGGGAGGACGTACTGCTCAATCGAGACCAGTAAAATAGAGAATTCCTTGTGTGTTTTTACATCTGATGACGTCGAATCACGTGACGTTTATGTTTCCACAGCAACTGACATATATGAGACAATCGATATACCCGAAAGCACACCACGTGACACAGCTGAAGGATATGTCAACATAGGGAGTATATAACCGTCAAACACGATATTCCAAACAGAGGGCCGTTGTTTCCTTTACGGATAATTTGAAGCTAGACCCAATATACAGTATGTAGAATGTCACTAGTTCTTACCATTGAGTAAGTGAGTGAGTTGTGTTTAACACCGCTTTAAACAGTATTCGAGTCATATCAGCTTAATGTGGGAGTAAAGACTGAAGTGGTGCAGGTCTTAGACGTTTACCACTTCGGTGAAACCCACGAGCACGGATATGGTGCTGACAAACCTAGAAACATAATCGGGGCGAACCGGGATTAAAACCCACAATCACAGGTTTCTGGCGTGCCCAAGGGACGCAACTCTGCACAGCGAATTGCGGCGCCTTAGACGACTGGGCCACCCGTGACCCCTATTTTTTAAGTAAGTGATATTAAGTCGCTATAAATATATTTATTACAGTAAATTACGCTTACATGTATGTATTCATTAACACTTATATGAAAAGGCATTACTCATATTACATTTAACTAAAACACATTTAACCTACAAATATAACATAACGTGTGTGATCCTACCATATATCTCAACCTCGCACAAATTGAGGGTCGCTGTGTTGTGTGTGATGGTCAAGTAGCTAGCCCTCCCGTCATAGGTTTCTGGCGTGCCAAAGGGACGCAACTCTGCACAGCTAATCTTACCATGGATAGCCTTTCGTGTGGAACACATTGTGTTATCTGACAATACTCTGTATAACCTTAAACGCCATGTTAATATCACTCATGGGAGTTTATATGGACTAGCTACCCAACACCTCTAGTCTGTGGGGGCGGTCGGGTAGCCTAGCGGTTAAAGCGTTCGCTCGTCACGCCGAAGACCCGGGTTCGATTCCCGACATGGGTACAATGTGTGAAGCCCATTTCTGGTGTCCCCCGCCGTGATATTGCTGGAATATTGCTTATAGCGGCGTAAAATCAAACTCAGTCTAGTCTGTGTGGTATGTACCTACATCGTGACCCTAATGTGACATTAAGTTTGCGAGTGATTTAGTGGGGTTTGATAGTATTTCAGATGTATAACGGTGCTATCTTGAAGTTTGAGGAAACCCCAAAATGTTCAGTCAATCTGTAATCAAGCAGTCAAAGGGCAATATATTACTTGTAAAACAGAGGGGTAAAACAATTTTAACCGTTATTTAGAAATTCGTTTACAGATTTGTAAATATACATGGTTCTTTTTTTATATAATTAACCTATTTTTACTATTTAACAGACATTGGGATATAATATTTGGGTAATTAATGTATTACACAGGTATATATGTGCCCCTCATACTGAATGAACAGTATCACGGCATGTCAGCTTAACATTGTATGTGGGAGGATGGCCCAAACAAAGTGATGCAGGTCTTAGACGTTCACCACTTTATGAAACCCATAAGTCGGGTATGGTGCTGACAAACCTAGAAATATAATCGGGGAGAAACGGGATTCAAACCCACGCTCATAGGTTTCTATCGTGCCCAAGGGACCGCAACTGTGCACAGTGAATTGTGGCGACTTAGACGCCAGGACCACCCAGGAACTAAAGGAAAGTGTATAATATAGGTATAAATTGGAATTCGTTCTCGATAGCGTGAATATTACATAACCTTTATCAACCTGAGAGGAACATCTTGCCAATGAATTCCTAAGTTTCCTTATATTTGTATCAGATAGAAAAGGTATATATCTTTTTATCTGTACCAAAGAACTTATGAAGACACTTTCAGATTTTTGTTCATGTCAAACATTTCCAAAACCACTATTTGTCAAATCAGAACCCAGTTATTCCTTCTATTCATGTCATAGCCATCTATTCACATCATGTTGTAACATTTCTTGGTGTATCTCGATCAAGTCATTTTAAACAGTTTCAACCAGTAGCTAATTGTTTTGAGTTGTATATATGGAAATAGACGAAATGTACCACATTCCCGGTAAACCATTGGGACACGAATCGCCGTGGTCGGCTCAAGCAGTGGCTCTCCAGTTCGAACCTTGTTTTTTTCCAGTGAAGTTCCTATAAACTATTGCTCCTTATATGCAACCATAACATCACATGTCAACGCCAGAGAATAACCAGTCCCGATTATCCGACGAAACAGACTCCACGGGACCAAACAGCGGTGAAAAATATATCATTAATTTACATAAAGAAGTATGTATTTGTGCCTGACGCCGCACAGCACTACTCCTGCCATGCAACGGTGGCGTCTAATCCTTTCTTTTCTGTCTGCACGTAACATTGTATATTTCTAATGTTATTGTAATTCTCCAAAGACAGTGACTATGCTAATATTTTCTAAATCTATTCAATGCTCCTCACCTATCTTTTTTCAACTGTTGACATTCTGTGTAAAAACAAACAGTTTAGTATTTGCTTCTTCCTTCAAATAGTGATGATACCAGGTGTTCGCGAGAACGGGTATGTTGCTGACAAAACTAGAAACATAATCAGGCCGAACAAGGATTCAAACTCACGGTCACATGTTTCCAGCACGCCTAAGGGACGCAACTCTGCACAGCGAACTGCTGCTGCTGTCTTTTAATTGTATTTGTCTGAATATTTCAGTTGGCTGTTGTAGTCAGTTGTCGAAGTCGATATCAGTGTACGTGTAGCATAAAGGTGTTGTGTGTGACGGATATGGGTCGGCTATTACCTTTAAACTGATAATTCGGTACACAACCTAATCCTTATTTTGAAAAAGGCAAATTCGCGGAGAAGACTCAATATTGTCGGGACTATATAATTCGCTGTAATTCACGTTAAACTCAGTATACAACCTAATCCTTATTTTGTGAAATCCAAATTCGCAGAGAAGACTCAATATTGTCGTGACTATATAATTCGCGTTAAACTCGGTATACAACCTAATCCTTATTTTGTGAAATCCAAATTCGCAGAGAAGACTCAATATTGTCGGGACTATATAATTCGCTGTAATTCACGTTAAACTCGGTATACAACCTAATCCTTATTTTGTGAAATCAAAATTCGCAGAGAAGACTCAATATTGTCGTGACTATATAATTCGCTGTAATTCGCGTTAAACGATTTCCATGCATGACAAACAATGATTACAGACAAAACCGGGAAAGTTACACTGCATGGAATGTTAGTAGGGCGAGATAATTGATGCAATGTACAAGGAAAAGTAAACCGCTTAATATTGTTCCTCTATTCAGACTGAATGTGTAATGGTGGTGATATACATCCGTCATCGTATTAGAGCAGTGAGACGTTTCACATAAAAACCGAAAATATTCCACTTCTAAAGGATATATTACTGAGCGCCCCGGGGCAGATCTGTGGATGGAAGATTTCTAAATAACGCTTCCTAATTGTTTTACAATCAAACCAATCTCTCACATATGCCTGCTTATAGGTCATTGTAGTGTTTTCATTTCCCCTTTGTTTTGTGAAATATATGCCCTGTAAATAAGGATGTGTACACCTTTTCCCCAGCTTCATATCGAGGTATTCTCATTATCACAGTAAACAGGGTATAATAAGGAAAAGAGAGCAGTTCCTGTAACATCCTTGTCAAAAGTGTCCAATCGACAGCTCGTAGCCACAACTGTAATCTTCAAGCCTGTTGTTTCAAATAACTAAAATCATTGTTATAATTGACACAGTATACTAGTATTGATAATAGTATGTATTTTGATGCAAGGCTTGTATGTAATGAGACTGGAAACAGAGTAAAATATAGGCGGAATGTGGTGAATTTCATATCACTATTGCTCTCGCACAGGGATAGCTGTATGTATGAAATATGGGAATTTCCGTCATAAACTAGGCACTTGGTTAATTCATACCTATAAGTACGACAATCGTGCCTCCAATGCAGCTTTATAAAACGGGGTCAAGGCTGTCATCGACATTCTACATGGATATTCTCTCATCTGCGTGAATCTTTCAATGATTTTAATATTGTTTATATTGTACTTGTGTGTTTTCCATCATGACAGGAGGCGGTTGGGTAGCCTTGTGGTTAAAGCGTTCGCTCGTCACGCCGAAGACCCGGGTTCGATTCCCGACATGGGTACAATGTGTGAAGCCCATTTCTGGTGTCCCCCGCCGTGATATTGCTGGAATATTGCTAAAAGCGGCGTAAAACCGTATACTCACTCACTCACTCACCCACTCATCATGACAGACAGTACATTTGTGACACGAGATAAAATATCGTCAGTGTTTACCTTTAAGGCGTGGCAGGGCTACCGTTTCCCTAATGGACCGGAAACAAACTACATAAGCTTGAAGTCCATGTCCTGAACCAGTGGGTTTACATGGTGCGTGTTCAGTCCTCCGTGGGTCGTATTTATTTACATTTTTCAGCATCGTCTCTAAAAATACAAGACCTATGAATTGAAATTTTGTATGACGTCCCTAAAACGTGCTCCAATGGGCACCAATTGTGCTCCCCTTCTTGGTGATCTAATTCGTTATGCATATGAGTCGGATTTTCTACTCGGACAAACTCAAAACAAGGTAATTTGGCCAAGAAGTAACTTAAGCTTCAGTTATATCAATGATCAGACATAGCTCAAATAGCCAATTCCCTTCAAATGATTTACCCACCTGAACTAGAAATACAGGAGACCAGTGAGACCGCCTCATCTGTTTCATATATAGATCTATGCATAAAACGAGAGTATCAAAACACTCTCCGCAAGACTATGTGACAAGAGAGATGATTCCAATAATCTTTCCCATTATTCCTGCAGCTCCAGCTCTTGGTGTGTACATTTCACAACCTTTGTGCTACAATGGAGCATACTCCTGGTACAATGGAGCATGCTCGAAGCATGCTCGACTCTTGCTCAGAAGTTGTTTGATCAAGGTTACAACATTCAAGGCCTACGTCAAGCTTTCAAAACGCTTTATGGTACACAATTGGAGTACATTTCCAATGTTGACAAGAATGAGATGCAATTCCCTTTTTTTACTTGTACCTTACGTTTCCCTGTTCTTTTTTCAGGTGAACAATTGACCTTTGCATGTGTTTGTGATGGGTGCCACTGGTGAGACAGGATAAGCTCACCTTTGCGCGAACACCTGGTATCATCGCTATTTGATTGTGATTCCTTAACACATGCTCATGATATTGTCGCATTCGTACAATCAACCTTTGGCAGAGATTTCATGTGAATATCGAAAAGGGTTTGTCTCTTTTATTCACAAAATTCTGATCCGATTTTAAACATGGCTGCCATTGTTATCATTTTGAATTTGTCCTTTTTGCCATTTAATCAGTTATTTATGCATGTGATGTATGCATGCTTTTGAAAAACCTGATACGCTCAAGTGTGTAGTAGACGAAATAACAAATAACATGTTTTCAACCTTTTCGATTTTCCACCTTTGGCTTTACGAAGCTTACACTTGCATGGATAAGATGGTTTTGCTGTAAATAATCCGTACGCGTCACAACTTCCTGGCGGAATGGAGGAAGTTATCACAGATCCCACAGACATTTCTACAACTTCACGTAAATATGTGAACCTACAGTTCACAACGCATTATGTAACTATTTATATATTGATAGTAGATATTTAACATAAAAAAATATTAAATGTATGGCTAGAGACTGAATTGAAACTGTGTGATTGAATGAAGAAAAGCTGACTTTAACTTTCTTTCAGAATAGAAATGTCAGATGTTACGTCAATATTACGTACATGCTTTATTTGGATTACGTTCTGTGTTCCTCGTGGATCTTGCGATAGACATTATTTGCGTCCATTCAAATTTGTATGCGTATTGGACGCACTTTTTGTCGACAAACCCTTCTTAGGGTAGTATGCCTCACCAGTTTCAGTCTCTGTAATGCTTTTGACGTGTAAAATAGTGAGTGAGTGAGTATGGTTTTACACCGCTTTTAGCAATATTCCAGTAATATCACGGGGGACACCAGAAATGGTCTTCACACATTGTACCCCTGTCGGGAATCGAACCCGGGTCTTTGGCGTGACGAGCGAACGCTTTAACCACTAGGCTACCAGACCGTCCCCCGTGTAAAATAACAGGGAAATCCGATACATCACATCTCTGCTGGGATAGCGAGGAAATCATTCATCCCTGTTTAACTACCGCCTCCTTGTATCACAGTTCAACTGAATTGATAATATGTTTTGTAAGGCCTGCCGGGTTATACCACGTCCTTGTTGTCCAATATGGCGGGTGTGAGGACACTGTTAGTATGGATAGTTGTGGCAGAGTGTTGGATACAGCTCATAAAAGGTGAGTTGATAGTTTAACCAGGTACTTAATGATAAGGATATCAACACAAACAGTACACAGTAATCGTATCTGGATAAATAAAGGCGTTATTAACGGTTTGATTGGCATTATTACCTCACTCGCTGAGATTATCTGTTGTTGATAACTACCATGCATGTTGAGTCAACACGGTGTTCATATCCTGGTAAATAAACTAATGCTTTGGCCCCTTTACTGGATAAACACTTTCTCTATCTGGGTACATAAAGCCGTTATAACCTCAACTCCTGGCTGCCTTCTGGGTTATATCACGACCTTGTTGTCCAATATGGCTGATGTGAGGGTACTGCATGTATGGACGGTTGTGGTAGAGAGTTGGATACTGTTTAATGATACGTGAATAAGAAAAGGAAAACGTACAACTAAATAAAGGGTATGGATACCAACTTCTGGTTTATTGCATACAGCGACGTTTTGATGTAGATTCCTACATCCGTACCAAGCTGGAGTGCCTACAACCAAGTGATTGCAGGTATATATACTTGCTATACAACAACAGGTAATAGATAGCAAGTAACCGAAGAACACTGACAACAAATAGCACATAGGTTATGAACACAGGGGTAGTGAAGGGTATGTACAGTCAGGATAAGGATTAAAAGTACAAAAAAGTTGACAAGCTGACTGGATACTAATTAAAAAAAGGCGATATGTTATACTCTTGATCTCTGTTGATCAAAGGTTTATGACAGCAGATTACTTTAGCTTCTGAGTGTTTTCTTTTTGTGAATATCTGATGTTTGGTTGAGAGGATTTGGACTTTGTCAAACTGAACTTGATGGCCAGGGAGTATTTGCTGGTGATCTGAGAGCTTTGATTTGCACTCTGCTTTGGCTGTTGAAGTCTTATGTTCTTTGATGCGGGTATCTACTGGGCGGGAGGTTTCAGTATACGAGTCACCACAGTCACAATTAATTTGATTGATCACTCCTTTGGGAGGCTGTTTGTTGGTGGGAGGGTTGCGGCCATTAGGTTGGAGGATGGTACTGAGGGATTGTGAGGCAGTGAAGATGATATCGATGACGGTTTGGCGCTTAAGTAATCTACTGATTTGATGGATGAGAAGTCTTGCCAAATGGACGCAGGAGTGTTCCCGAAGGAGCGGATTCAATTTCTGATCTGGTCGGTTTGGATTAGATATTTCTGATATATCACTTTTCAAAATGTCCCCACACTCTTCAGCATCAAAAGCCTATGTTTGATCACACTTCCTCGTGAGTGAATGGATATGGATTTTGTCGTATAGCAGTAGTTTTGCTGGGTGCGGCTTCAGACAACAAACAAACGATTGCTTGAATGGCAGGTAGAAAAGAGTATGAGTTCCCTTATCGTGAAAACCTCATGTCATAACTCATCCATTCATATTATCTTCACCACGATTATGCTTTTTACGCCCAATTGAATGTGTTTCGGCGGTTAATAGAGATTGATTATTCTCTGGCTTTGACGTTTGAATTACACCGTCAGCATAGCGTATCTAGCTAGACCTCAATAGACAACAGATTCCGTTACTGATCCTGTTTGTCTGTTTAATATTTACATCCACACAAATATGCTTTTATGTTTTATCTTTTATTTTTTCATATTTTACATAAATTGGTGAAATATCGCATATGTTAGTGTGTGTTTATGACTATATGGGGACCTGGGTAAGAATAAATCCACAGCACTCTGTTGCTCAGTGTAAGAGTCGACTTGGAGTCAGGTTCTCGATCCCGACGAATCTCAATTATCAACATTTGGTAGGTCTGTTCAAGACTCGATTATTTACCAGTCATTGTGGTATAGTTGTAATAATGCTGATTGTGGTGTAAACAAAGAACAAACCGAATCTGTATGACTAAACTCAGAACACACTAAAAAAAACATGGGGCAGGGGGTTATCACTGTACAACTAATAATTATTATCATTCATTCATTTATTCATTCATTATTGTTTTTTTAGCGTTGTTTCACTTAGTGTAACCTTTTGTCTTGAGAATGGTGCGCAGTCTTTTAAAGAATAAGGTTGGGTAGATATAGATACACACTTACAATGAGTTTTGATGTACATGTATATCCCCAACGCAAAGGATTCACTCACATACGCACACCAAAGACACACACAGACACACACGTACATATATATGTAACGTGCTCACATATACATACCTACCGTGAGCACGTCAGACTGGGAATACCATGTCAACAATTCCTTAACTGAAGTTCGCAAGCATTACACTATTCTATTCTAAAGGTGCTCCCACACAATTCAACTCCTACAACATACGTTTGTAGTTGAACAAAGACATCATATATTTATTTACAATACTGAGCGTAGCATGTTGGTATATTGTCGGATCCATTATTTTACACGGAACAGTTTGACGAGTCACCGTTTGAAGGTTCTGCGAACTTGCTTTCGAAAGCAATAGGTTGACATTTCATAGTCAAACTGCAACAACCATGGTAGCACCTTTAGAATACAGTACCACAACTTCTCGCGAGGACGATCTCTGCCGTAGGTCACATGTCTCAAGACAAGCAACCAGTTTTAGTGAGAATCCGTCGGACGCAAACCCGCGACCTTCGGATTGTTAGCCTGACAGCTAACCGACTGAGCTACGCCCACACTGTTAAATTTACCTAGTCATGCCTATGACGTTACGGAACTGAACGAAAAGGGTTGAATAGGTGACGGACTCTTACCAAGGTTACGGGTAGGCATGGTGTCTCGTGACTTTAGTATACGGACACTTACGAATGATCCCGATGCCATTTGGCACACTCGTCCCATTCCATAATCTACAAACGGTGACTCGTCAAACTGTTCCGTGTAAAATGGATCCGACAATATACCAACATGCTACGCTCAGTATTTTAAATAAACATATGATGTCTTTGTTCAACTACAAACGTATGTTGTAGGAGTTGAATTGTGTGTATTTAGATTGAAGCTCCAGATTGTTAATCAGACGGCCAGTGACAACTCGACATTCGGAGGACATTTCTAAATTTGACACAACAGTGACGAAAAATATGTCGGATGCAATTTACTATTTTGTCTTAATACGAGGACTGGTAAAAAGGTTCAAAGCCTGACTAACTTTCAACGATGGGCCATTACAAAGTGAACTAGTCAATGTAGTACATTGTTTGAGTAGTTCATTGCAAGTGTATTAAGTCTGTTGAGGCCGTTTGTATATTAGTGACAGACAGTTTAAAGTGCCCTGAGGTACACAGAAATGGAAAAGAACGAGTACCTAGAAGTCATCTAGGTTTTTAAGAATAGTTCTCCCCAAGAAATTCTCCCCGTGACCGCATGTCACGAGTGTATGGGGATAGGTGCCCTAGTTATTCCACTGTTTAACGTCTTGCAGCTATGTTAAAGGCTGTGAGAACAAGTCTTGCTGATGACCCTAGCTTGGACGTCCCTCAACTTCCTTCCACCAATGAAGATAGAAAAACTTATCCTGTCAGATAGACGTATTGCCATTGCGGCACTTGAGGAATACACAGGTCCATGGAACCATTTAAACTATTAATAATGAATATTTACAGATGAATAGGCTCGATGGGTGCCAAAGTTTCCAAAAAACTGACATAGCCAGAGAAAGGTTTGAGCTAATTGAGGAGGATTTCGTCAAATTTCGTGATCTACCATTATGATCCCGAGTTCAAAGGTCAATCCGTGGAATGGCACCATTCCACTTCTCCGGCACCAAAGAAACGCAAGTCTTCAAGATCAGTGCGTTATCGTCTGTAATATTTTATCAAAGAAAAAACGGCGAAGAAACTGACTGCTGGAGTTTCACTATTTCATGACAATACCTTTTCTGACACCTCTCGACTTGCAAAGGCTGCTGTGCTACAATGTGGCTTACTCACCCTTAATACTCGCAAGACCTGGCACCTTCGTGGGCAGCGCTATGACGACAACGATGACCTCAAAGCTGCCGTGAATGGGTTTTTCAGGGTGGCTTCAGGAAACTTCTTCCTGACTATAATTGAGTGAGTGAGTATGGTTTTACGCCGATTTTAGCAATATTCCAGCAATATCACGGCGGGGGACACCAGAAATGGGCTTCACACATTGTACCCATGTCGGGAACCGAACCTGGGTCTTCGGCGTGACGAGCGAACGCTTTAACCACTAGGCTACCCGACCGCCCCCCTGACTATAATTGAAAGGCTTCACTATCGATATGAGAATTGTATTGAAAAGCAGGGAGATTATGTCGAAAATAAAATTTAAAAAACTTTCACAATTGTTGGTTTTGTTTGTAAGGCTGGAAATTTTTTGTACCTCGTACCACTTAACCACTTGATCCCGTGTTTTTTCCGGTGAACAAATGTGTTTGTGCCACCGGTGATGCAGGATACCCTCACCTCTGCACAACACCTGGTATAATCACCTGATTGTGATTCATAAACATATGCTAAGTTTGTGACTTTATTTGAGCATTTGTTAAACATACAATTCATAACCATTGATTTTCCATTTTATTCAAGCGAACCTTTATATATTTCCAAAAGTAAGAAACTATTTCGACAACCAAATCATCCTCCTAAATATACCTGCTTGATTGTTAAGGTATGTACTTGAACTACCACTTTTATGATGATCATGCCTTTATGCCTTTCTCAGGGTCCTGTCCAGCAGGGAAATTTGGAGACCTGTGTAGCTACTTTTGTCACTGTGGAAACGACTGTAACCGGACAACTGGGGTTTGTAGCAAGGTCTGTGATAAAGGCTGGGTGGGAGGACATGGAAAAACCTGTCAAAAAGGTATAGTGTTACAAATACATTTGATAAGCATGCGTTATTGAACTGGAAAATAATAAAGACAAATGATTAAAAGATTAGGCACATTATTTCAAAAACAGTGTTCAGCAGTTTCTCAGTAATAGTTCACCTCCATGCATGCCAGGACAGCGACAGTTTGACCATAGATCAAACATACCCAACGTGGCTAGGGGTTATGGAACGGTATTATTTACACGATATAACGTAGTACTGAGTTGAATAATGATAAATGGCATATTCAGACAACAACAAGCCGACAAAGAGCCTGTGGGTGCCTAGTGATGAACAAGCTAGTCGGCTCGTCTTGGCGACGGCCGGATCCAAATCACCACATCAGTCAGATGTGTAAAGCTGTGTTGGACAACACATTATTAGCGATCGTATTCGTGTCAAAATATCAAAACACAATTAATTGCAACCAACATAAAAAAACAGGGAAGACTACGGGTAATTCAACTTTAATTTCCAACTAGTGATATTGTGTGTAGATTGCACATGTCATTCTCGACACTGACCTTCTTCGTAAACATCACTAACAAACAGTGTCAAGTAATTTATACCTGAATATATGCATGTGTCCCATATAATCCCGATAACGCATATCACAGTTGTATTTCTCAAAGGATTTATAATTATTGTATGAAGTATGAACATCGAACAAACATTGTCTTTATTATGCATAACATGGGCCTACAACAGAAAGATTCTTCTCCTTCTGGACAGTATCAACCATTCTGGTAAGGTCTAGTCTTTGTATGACATGTCTTTGAAAAAATATTGAAACAGGAAACATCGTGAAAGGAAAATCAGCAACATCTCCTTCTGGAGTGTGGGATGCTGCATGGACTCCAGACAAAGCTGTAGATGGCAACCGGGACCAGGATGTGCTCAACTCCTGCTTCCACTCTCTTTGGAATCAGACTCATGACAGCAACACCGTTCCACTATATAACAAATATAAGAAATAGGTTAAATTGAGAAGTGTTTGCTCTTTTCATGCAGAAAACGTGGCCTACAATAAAAACGCAACGACTCCTTCTGGACTGTACCACCATGACCCACCCTGGTCTGCAGACAAAGCTGTAGATGGGAACCGGGACCAGGATGTATTCCACAACTCCTGTTTCCACGCTGGTCGGTATCCGAGTGTGTGGAAAGTGGACCTGGGACAGCCGTACAAGATACATGACGTCAGGATATACAACCGGGCAAAATGTATGTGTACGAGACAAAAGGCTGCACTCATTTCTTAACAATGGGGTCGCATGGTTAGTCTAGTGGTTTGATCTTCACGCCGAAAGATCCAGGTTCGATTCCCCGCATGGGTACAATGTGTGAAGCCCATATCTGGTGCCCCCGCCGTGATATTGCTGGAATATTGCTAAAAACTGCGTAAAACTATATTCACTCACCCATATAACAATACAATAATATTTATATTACCACATGTCATTAAAATATTTAGGAAGCAAACAAAACAGTCTTTCAAAGCTAACAAGCTGCTCATTGTCTTTTCAATGGAGCTTTGACTGGTAAAGATTAGTATTTGGTTCATCGAATACAAACTATGAATTGGCGTTACAGAATGTGACAAATCTTTCCATTGACGGATGAATAGGTGGAAATGATTCGTCAAGTATCAATTATTCCATGCACACCGATGAATGAATCCGTTATTTGGCATGTGTAATAACGCGAGTTCTCCTCGGAAAGGATGTTCATTCAACGCATTTGTTCTCCTGAAACCAATGGTATTGCAACATGTTTTATTTTAATAATATATGGTGAACATACGTATTCCGATACAGGCCATGTGATGTATATAGAGAGCTCTAAAGTTCATAGAACTTGTTACATGATTTATTTGATACAATATGCAAGGATAAATCTTGATGCAATGTAAAGTGGATATTAAGGCAACTTCAACTAAAGTGAAACATCGCCGTTGACACGTATAAGTGATCAAAATAAGGCTTGAAAAAACCCATATATCCTCCATCTCATACCTATCTTTAAAATGATCATACATCGATCACGATTTTAGATATTTTGAGAATCCGAACCGCTGCTCTATCTGTGAGTAACACAAGAAGCACCACGTCCATCGTCCCCTGCTACACCTTCCCCTCCAACACTACAAAAGGCAACTCTGTCTACGACGTGACCTGTGATGCGATTGGACAATACGTCACCATCAAACACGGAACAGAGACACTAAATCTGTGCGAGGTGGAGATCTATGGTATGGGTTTATTGGTTTGACTTTATTCAGCTTACAACACATGTATGACGTCACTCGTCCGTGTAAAAAATCATTATTTGTTTCAGTTGTTTGCCAATTATTCCTGACTACGATATATTGACAAAAACATTTCTGCTTCGGTGACTTATGACAGTAGGTTTTGTAATTGGGTATTAAATATTATAAACAGTTGCATAATCATTCAAGGTTAACAAAATAGTGTGTATCATTAACACAACCAATAACGAGATCAATGTTAAAGTGATTAACCATTTGGTGCAAAAAACAAATAATTCCTACTGATTCCTATAACCAGAGTCAGCACATTCTCAAAACTTTACAAGTGTGCACCATGTCCACGCACACCGTATTATACTCACACCGTATGAATACAGAGTTTCCGGTTTATTATTCAAATATATCTCTACAAAATAATGTTTTGTCCATGATTTATGGTTGAGATGTATTTCAAGTTTGAGTAAATGGGGATGTTTTAAGTTAGACACCATACTCGTATCTGGCAGCTCCAGAAACATTCTTACTCAGGGACCGACAGTTACTTGTATGTTCGTCATAACATTATGACAACTGTCAGGTGCATTGAGCTCATTATATTTTCTTATAAAAGACACTGCTTATAACATGCATCCATAACTGTATTTTTGAGTGAGTGTTCTTGGTGTCCTGGAGGTCATGGTGCCGAAACCCGCTATGCAGAATTCCCCTTTGGTATATGGTAATGCTTGTTGTTTTGACAAATGACTTAACATGTTTCACCAATACTGACCCGTTTTCTGGAGGAAATGCCCATTTCACAGCGAATCATAAAAGTTCAGTAGAGTGAAGTTAAAACTGCATTTGACAAGCTCAGTATATATATTTGTATTTTCATGTTTGGAAAAGTATATTATTGCCCTTGGTTTAAAAATCTGGAAAATAAAGGAACCCAACTCGAGGGGATGCAAAAGATGAGGACGGGACTAAAAACATAACGTTCACACTTATTCAACGCCAGTCAACCAGAAGCTTTTACTGCTGTGACACCGAGTTCCCTGAGACTCTTGTGTGATAGATGAAGCCAACATAAATTAAGAAAAAATATTTGCGTGTAATACATCTTTGCCACCACATGTAATACACCATTTGAAGGTCTAATCCTACTTTTCATAGATATGAAAGATAAGTTTATCACATAATTTAAATAATGCATTAATGAAGTTCATTGTAAATAGAAAATTGTAAGCTTACACATTTATAACGTGCAGATTATGGACCAAGGAAGCGAAAATTTAACGATTTGCAGCAAATATAAGATTTCATAAAATCCACTTACCCATTTCGTTTTTATTTTCATTGTTTACGTAATCGGTAATATATTTAAAAAGAATTATAAATCGTATCTGTACAGTATCACCCTTGTCCCGATAACAGCGGCTGTCCGCTCAGTAACATCAAGAAATACCTCCGTTTTCACAGCTTCCTATGAATAACACGTCCGTCGAAGACTGCCATGTGACACATCATTAGAAAGCTTATTTTTGTCATCCATTCGATAGTAGCCTCACCCGGAGTCTTTTCGTTACTGTAACCTGCGATTTGATGGATAAACTTTTGTTTCTAATGATGCTTTCTTGCCGAAATCGTGATTGGTCAAATTTGAGCACGTGACCCAAGGCGGCCAATAAAATTACAGCAATGTATGAATTTCAGATTTTGACGAATGTTATTTGTTAAATCGTGTCATTCTGAACGTTTTAAGCAGGGAATCGCGCTATATAATAAAAATATTGAATTTCATCGATGTATCGTTCTAAGTTACGACATGTGACAAAGATTTTTTATGCATATATTTTGGCATTGAACATCGTGAGCCCAAAAATCGAGGCGACGAAAGCCGAGATGTCATTTGACTTATATTACACGCGATCGCGGGAGAAGATGAAATTAATAACTTAGATGTAAGTTTGACAACTTTTAGATATATTTTATATGTAATATATGTAATATGTATATATGTATGTATACCTTTGTATAGTTTATTTAAAGATATGTTTGACACGTCTTTATTTTGTTCTTTGACATGTGCGATGTGGACCCGTTATAGAAGTGTGTGTCCAAGAAAATTATTTTCAATAACATTGTGGAAAATAGTGAATAATTGTTTAACTTATCAATAAAAAATATTAATTGAAATGGAATACGTATTTCAAACAGTGAAATGTGAGAGATTTAATAAATGAATGAAATGACAGGTTAGTTCATAAAATCCTATACTATTTTGGCGTGACTACGGCATGGGCATTCCATCGGCCTACGGGGTCTGGAGCCTCGAGGCTTCTTGGCCGGTGTACCTGCTTACTGTGTTGAAAGATTTAAAGCTGACATCTTGCGGTGTGACTCACTCCAAATTTGTACTTCCAATCCGTGGTGCAAACACGAATTTCTGTATTTCTTTGTAGCAAGTAATATTAATGTTTTACATGTACGCGAGGAAGCGGAATGAACTCTTTACTTTTATTTTCTATTTTTAGTCTGCAGTCAAGGAACTTTTGGCGCAGATTGTAACAATTTCTGTCATTGTTCTGTTGGACCCTGTGACCGAGTCAGTGGATTTTGTACTGGTAACTGTAGACCAGGGTGGCAGGGACAAAGCTGTTCTGTTGGTAAGGAAATAGTATAACTACTGTTGACATGCAACAATACTTTATGAGAATACGATTTGATACATCCTTGAATGAAAATAAACTTTTATCCCATGCTAGGTATTAATCTTAATATTTTATCAAGCCAAATAAGAAACGAATTCCTATGCCTTTCTTTATAAGGTTCTACCCGTGAAGATCCGGGGTAGCATAGATTTTCAGCAACCCATGCTTGCCGACTAACGGGATCGGGTGGTCAGGGTCGCGGACTTGGTTTACGCATGTCATCGAACCCAATTGCATGGATCAATGTTCATGATGTCAATCACTGGATTTTCTGGTCCAGACTCGATCATTTACAGACCGCCGTCATATAGCTAGAAAATTTGCTGAGTGCGGCGTAAAACAACAAACCAAACCAAAACGTTATAAGGTTCAAAGCTATTTTCCCCTTTACGCCAAATTTTAATCTGTTTCAGCGGATGATCTAGACTGGTTATTCTTTTGCACTGACAATCTATATTTCACAGAGTGTGATCGGGACCATTACGGAGTCAACTGTGACGAGACGTGTGGGAACAGGAAATGTGCTGCTGATACACCGTCACAGATTGACTTAAAACTAGTTGTAGAACACTAAACAATTCTGAGTATTAAGGTACGACAAAATATAAAAATGGGGCTATAGATCGCCAGCAACAAGGGTAAGATCACCATACTGGGGACCAAGGGGACTTACGGTACCTCTGCTACCTGCATGGTTCCCCAGCAGGATTTACACTTCCCCGAGTTACTGGTGATTATTGCGAGTTTAGCCAGATATTAAAAGTTAACAAATATTCTGCAGTTAAAATAGAGGTAGATATAAATATACTTTGAAAGAGGTGGTCTTACATACCCTCTCAGGGGGACAATAATTTTACGCTGCTTCAACCCCCGTCGAGGGTATAGCCACGAACAGTCTCAGATACTAATTATACACTACCGATTTATAAAATACATAACTTTTTACATCAAAATTTGTGAATGAGATCTATATCTTTTAAAAAGTTAATGATTAAATGTGAATTAACATTGCTAAAAAGGTCCTTCACTGTTTTGACAGTAAAATATTTATCCCTTGTGATGGAAAAATCAATACAGTCAAGCAGGACATGCTTGACTGTGATTATCTCATCACAAGGGATACAAAACGGAGGATCCTCACCTTTTAATAAATATTCATTAGTATATCTACTATGGCCAATACGACATCGTCGTAAAATGACCTCCTCAAATCTGGACTGACAACCCAAGTAGGTGTAACCGATATTTGGTTTAATTTGATGTAATTTATTGAGACCTACATGAGTGTCCCACTTCATCTGCATTAGATCTCTGATGTAAGATCTAATGAGAGGTTTAAAATCACTGTATGGGATAAGAAGTGGTGTCACAAATTTGTTGAGTGCTGCTTTTGCAGCAGCATCAGCCATTGTGTTACCTTTTATGCCCATATGACTGGGTAACCAACAAAAGACGATGTCGAATTGGCCAGTTGAAAGATCATTGTAAAGTTCTATAATATCTAAAATCAGTGGATGAGTCGAAGACACATTATTTAGTGCCTGAAGGCAAGAAAGAGAATCAGAAAAGATGATATATTGTTTACATGCAGACTGTTGTTGAATGTATATCAATGCTGTAAGAATAGCATTGGCCTCAGCAGTGAAAATAGAGCTATTGTCTGGTATTTTGAGGATATTATTTTTGATCCACCGACAGTGGCACTGTCTACTTTGCCACCATCCTTGGACCCATCAGTATAGATTGAATGGTGAGTGTCATATTTATTTCTTAATTGTAAATATTCCTGTTGATAGAATAGCTGGTTAGTGTCAGATTTAAGATAACGTGTGAGGGAAATGTCTACTTCTGGCCTCACCAACTGCCAGGGAGGAGAAGGCAAAAGTCGGTAAGGAGAGATGATGTCCAGATCTAGATTTGCAGCAGTAATATGAGATTTGAGCCGAATTCCAAGTGGAGGAACCATCTTTGGTTTCTTCTGAAACAATTCTTCATATAGGGGATTAAAAACGGAGTCATTAGCAGGATTTGAGGGATTGGAACGTAATTTAGTAATATACTGGAGAGACAATTTAATACGGCGTTGTTTTAAAGAGGGTTCATCAGCCTCGATACACAGGCTGTCAACCGGGGAAGTCCGAAAAGCACCAAGACAAAGTCTTAATCCTTGATGGTGGATTGAATCCAGTTTTTTTAAATTACTCTTGCAAGCTCCAGCATACACAATGGAGCCATAGTCCAGCTTAGAGCGAATTAGAGATCTGTATAAGTGAAGAAGGGTTTTCTGATCCCCTCCCCACTTTGAGTTTGATACGACTTTTAGCAAATCTAAGGCCTTCAGGCATTTTGCCTTTAGATATTTAATATGTGGCAAAAAAGTTAGATGATGGTCGAAAATTAATCCTAAAAAATTGGCTTCTTTTACAATCTTGATTGGGGTGCCATCTAAAAAGAGTTCAGGAACTTTATGAGGTTTTTATTTCCGACAAAAATGGATACAATTGGTCTTGGTGTGTGAAAACTTAAAGCCATTTTCAAGACACCATTTATGAATTTTATTAAGACACAACTGTAATTGGCCATGGCGTTCAATAGTGCGCATATTTTTACCACGACATGAGATATTAAAATCATCCACAAACAATGACCCATCAATTGAGTCATTTTGATAGACTATTTATTTTTATACTGAACAATGTAACAGACAAGATACTGCCCTGTGGAACTCCCTGATCCTGATTATAATGATCAGACAAGGTTGATCCAACACGAACTTGAAATTGTCTGTCCGTTAAAAACTGCGATATAAAATGAGGCAAACGGCCTCTTAAACCGAAGTCGTGTAAATCTTTTAAAATACCATGTTTCCATGTTGTATCATAAGCTTTTTCAAGATAAAAAAAGATTGATACAGCATGCTGGCTATTTACAATGGAATTTTTAATGAATGATTCTAAACGAACCAGATGGTCAATAGTACTTCGATTTTTGCGGAAACCACATTGAATATTGGTAATAAGATTATTGGTTTCTAAAAACCATACTAATCGGTTATTGACCATGCGTTCCATGGTTTTACCAACGCAGCTAGTTAACGAAATAGGTCGATAATTAGATGGATCAGTATGATCCCGGCCAGGTTTTGGTATAGGGATAACAATGGCATTGTGCCAGGAAGGAGGAAAGTGTCCAGTTGTCCAAATATTATCAAAAATATTTAGAAGTGTTTCTAGACATGGATTGGGTAAATGTTTAAGGAGCTGATAGTGGATATTATCAGCTCCTGTTGCGGTGTCATGAGCTTGCGCTAGGGCAGTATTGAGCTCATGTAGTGAAAATACTTCATTGTAGTCTTCACCGTTATCTGAATTAAAATTAATAGTTTTCTTTTCTTGTAATTTTTATATTTCTGAAATTTGGGATTATAATTGGCTGATGAAGAGCGTTTTGCTAAAGTTTCACCCAACTTATTTGCGATGTCTACTTTGTCAGTTAGTAGACCATGATCATCTTTAAGATGATGAACGCCAGAATTTGAACCCTTCGCTTTGATTCTTTGTACCATGTTCCACACCTTTGTCATTGGTGTACGGGAATTAATCTTTGATACAAAGTTTCTCCAAGACTGTCGCCGATTTTGTTTGAACGTACGTCGAGCCTTGGCACTATTTATCTTTACATTATTTAAATTGTGTACTGTAGGGTGACGGCGAAAGTATTTTTCAGCCTTCCTCCTACTCTTCCTAGCCTGTTTGCAATCATCTGTAAACCGTGGTTTACGATTGCGAATATGTTGGTTAACAGAGGACTTTGGAATAGTTATATCAGCAATATTATTCAGATTGTCCGTGAACAACTGAATAGGGTCAGGGACATTGATAAAAATATCAGATTTTAATTTGTCGGTACAAAGTGTTTGAAATAATGGCCAATTGGCCTTAGTAAAATTCCACCTTGTCGCAGGTGGATCATCAGTTGGGTTAATAGCTGAAAGAATTGTGGGGAAATGGTCACTGCCACATAGGTCATCATGGACAGACCAATCAAATTCGTTATAAATGTTTGAATCTGTGAGTGACAGATCAAGTGCAGAAAAAGTTCCTGTAGCGGGATGTAAATATGTGTCGGAACCATCATTAAAGATGCATAAATTATTATTTGAAAGAAGTTTCCCTTTAGCATTGAAGTCTGTACTTCCCCATAGAGGGTTAAGCCCATTCAGATCTCCCATAATGATACAGGGTTTTGGAAGTTGGTCAAACACATTTTGAAGGTCAGACTGCTGAAGGGAGGAAGACGGAGAAATGTACAAGGAGCACAATGTGAAGGTTATATGCAAAGAAAGTCTAACTGCAACAGCTTGAAGGTTGCATTTAAGAGAGAGAGGGCTATGGATGATACCCTGCCTCACTAAAATAGAGGCATCGCCAGTGGCTTTATCTCCTGGAGGTGAAAAGCAATGATATGAAGTGTACCGACGAAGATCAAATTTATCTGTATTTTTTAGATATGTCTCTTGTAAACTAAAAGCTGATGGTTGTAAATCTTGTGTCAATAATTGAAGATCACTAAAATTGTTCCTAAGTCCTCTGCAATTCCATTGTATTAAATTGATAGACTGGCTCATGGAGGTTCAACTGGGGACCGTGGTCGTGTGGATGTGCCACTTTCAGGTACTGAATGAGAAGGAGCAACGTCCATGTCAAGTGGTTCAAACGAATTTTGAACCGTAACAGGAGCTGCCAAAGGAGATGACACCTCCAAATGTTGAAGAGCTTTGGTCCTTTTCTTTAGCTGTTTCTTTTGTGTTTTTGTGAGGTGAACAACACCCTGGACTATTTCACGAGAAGAATCAGTATCTAGGGTTGTTTCTGGTTGTGGCTCCTCAGTCTGGCTGGCTGAAGAACGTTGACAATGTTGTGAAATTTGTATGTTTTCATCTAAGTTTATCTGGGCTTCATTAATCCAAGATATCACTGTTTGGTAGGAAGTCGAGACTGATGTAGATTTAGTAGGAGTGACTGGAGAAGAAGAAGAAATTGCAGCTGAATATGTTAGACTAGTGGTAGGTGCTGATTGTGCAGGAACTAATTTCTTTGCTTCAAAATAAGAGATGTTATTTTTGCATTTGAGTGTGATAATTTTGGTCTCATGTACAAAATTCGGACAGGATTTAGAAGATGCCACATGCTCACCACTGCAGTTGGCACACTTCATGTCATTTGTGCATTCGGAGCTCTCATGAGTTCCACTGCAGCGTGAGCATCTTGCTTTGTTAGTGCAAGACCTTGCACCATGTCCAAACCTTTGACACGTATAACATCGGAGTGGATTTGGTACATAGATTTCCACACCGATGTTACAATAACCTGCTTTAATGGATTTGGGAAGTGTTGTCAGTCCAAAAGTAAAAAGATATGTGTTTGTTTTGATAATGTTTGAATCCAGTTTCCTTGTAAAACGATTTACAGAGGATACTCCTTGTTCTTGTAACTCAGATACAATGTCTTCTTCTGTCATGTCTGAAAGACAACGCGACTAGTCTCTGACAATACCTCTACACGTATTCAGTGTCTTGTGTGCTGAAACAACAACCCGGGTGTTTACAAACTGCTGTAGACCCAGCAGATTGAGCGATTGTTGCCTCTTCATACATTCTACTAAAAGTGAACCGCTCCGGAGGCGAGTAACATTTTTAACGTCTCCGCAGACACCTTGGATGCCCTTTGATACAGCAAAAGGATTAAGTTTTAATGGACTACCATCTGCAGCTTCTATGACCAAGAACCTTGGCCAAGAATCCTTTCCTAAAGTAGATACTTCTTCATCATCATCAGAAGAAGATAAATGTCTTCTCTTATTTTCTTTGGATGAACCAGATTGTGAGTGTTGAGCCATGGTATGAGAATAAGTTTCAGCAACCTTGCTCCCCACCCACCATCGAGTGTCAACAAGGACGATGTTGCAGTGGAAGCCAGACAGCAACACCAGGGTTACAATGATGTTATACTCCAGAAATACAGACATAAATAGCCAAGAATTCCAAAAGAAGAAATGTCTGACTGGTTCGGCCCATGACAATATTCCCAAGAAACTCGGAATTCAGAGGTCTATATCACCAGATTGGCCCATGAGCCACCGCCTTCTAGCATAGGACTCTAGGCAAAAGTAACAATACAACAGTTTTGAAAATAAAGTTACAGTTTAACATTGGACATGTGATTCAAAATAAGAGATTGTCCATGCGCAGGGCATGACATGACCAGCCGATTGTTAGAATCGGGCCCATTCTATCACCCGTCTAGGTGAAGTAAGGGTCGAAGTGGTGTGTTGGGCAAAAGGAACACTGTTCCTGGCTCCAGTGCCCTCAACCACCAGAATCCCGTCCTCCACCGACACAGGGGCGCAACCCACGGCAAACGGGTTGCCCAATTCGGTCGCCTCGTACGACCAGCAATGGGGTGCTGTGGACAAATTCTACCCCGAGTCCACACGGGGGAAGAGCTATTAGCGTTACCCAGCACTCACCACGAGGAGGTTGCTCTTCACGAGTGCCCACACTTCCATGGATATATCCCCATAAATATTCACGATCCCTATTTGTTTGTTGTATAGATCTACATATCCTCCACACCCGTCACCCTCGGCAATTAAACCATTTCATTTGGCCCCTCTTAAGAAGGTGTCATATTGTCTCTCACTGGTCATTGAGCCTTAGGTAACATCTCTCAACAGCATGCTATAGTACTTCAGGGATAATTTCGTTTATTTCTTATAGACATGCTGGTGTACTTTCTTGACCACTGGGTATCTATTCCGGTGCAATATAAAATTAGATAAATAGTGTATGTACAAGTTGATCAGTACGTCAGTATGTACGTGCTACAATTACAATAACAGAGCTATAATGTTATTGTCAGGGAACGTTTTATATGTGCCCAATATTGGGTATATCTTTACAGAATGTTCCCTTGGGACCTATGGACAAAACTGCAGCAAGCAATGTACTCAGAGGAATTGTGCAGGAAACTCGTCATGTGATCACGTTACAGGAACATGTGTTGCCGGATGTAAAGCAGGTTGGATGGGCAAAGACTGTGTGGAGGGTAAGGGCTTAAATACCATCTGTATGTAAAAGAACTTTGTGTTGTAAAGGCTCTATACAATGCGGGAACGCCGTTTCCAGAACTTTACATACCACACTAGTATCTAAATAAAGTAACTTCCTGATGACTGGTAGATTAAATAGTACTACGTCCCTGACAACTAATCACTGCCCAAATACAATGCAGGGAGCGTCTACCGAATCTTTCCAGAAATAATATAACACAGTTATTATCATTGTTAAACAATAAAATACACTGCCATGAAACAGAACGTCAAAATGTGCATGCCATAATCACAGTAACAGAGCTATAGTGTTATTGTCGCGGTGCGTTTTATATGTGTCCAATAACGACTTTATTTTAACAGAATGTTCCCTTGTGACCTATGGACAAAACTGCAGCAAGCAATGTACTCAGAGGAACTGTGCAGGAAACTCGTCATGTGATCACGTTACAGGAACATGTGTTGCCGGATGTAAACCAGGCTGGAGGGGCAAAGACTGTGTGGAGGGTGACGGCTTAAAGTCCATCAATTAGTGCATTATGTCATCAAAATGTATTTTATTCCGGTTCAATATAAAAGTAGTTAGTGTATGTAAACGTTGTCAAGTACTGTTGGATCTACATGTCCACTACACCTGTCACCCTCGGCAATTAAACCATTTCATTAGGCCCCTCTTAAGAAGGTGTAACATTGTCTCTCACAGGTCATTGAACCTTAAGTAACATCTCTCATCAGTATGCTATAGTACTTCAGGGATAATTTCGTTTATTTCTTATAGACATGCTGGTGTACTTTCTTGACCACTGGGTATCTATTCCGGTGCAATATAAAATTAGATAAATAGTGTATGTACAAGTTGATCAGTACGTCAATATGTACGTGCTACAATTACAATAACAGAGCTATAATGTTATTGTCAGGGAACGTTTTATATGTGCCCAATATTGGGTATATCTTTACAGAATGTTCCCTTGGGACCTATGGACAAAACTGCAGCAAGCAATGTACTCAGAGGAACTGTGCAGGAAACTCGTCATGTGATCACGTTACAGGAACATGTGTTGCCGGATGTAAAGCAGGTTGGATGGGCGAAGACTGTGTAGACGGTAAGGGCTTTAAGTCCATCGATTAGTGCATTATGTCTTCGAAATGTATTTTATTCCGGTTCAGTATAAAAGTAGATAGTGTGTGTAAACGTTGTCCAGTACTGTTACGTGTTGATTCCCAAAATGTAACATTATGTTCATCCAGAATCTGTATGTAAAAAAACTTTGTGTTGTAAGGATCTATACAATGCGGGAACGCCGTTTCCAGAACTTTACACAACACACTAGTATCTAAATATAGTAACTTCTTGATGACTGGTAGATTAAATAGTACTAGTTCCCTGACAACTAATCACTGCCCAAATACAATGCAGGGAGCGTCTACCGAATCTTTCCAGAAATAATATAACACAGTTATTATCATTGTTAAACAATAAAATACACTGCCATGAAACAGAACGTCAAAATGTGCATGCCATAATCACAGTAACAGAGCTATAGTGTTATTGTCGCGGTGCGTTTTATATGTGTCCAATAACGACTTTATTTTAACAGAATGTTCCCTTGTGACCTATGGACAAAACTGCAGCAAGCAATGTACTCAGAGGAACTGTGCAGGAAACTCGTCATGTGATCACGTTACAGGAACATGTGTTGCGGGATGTAAAGCAGGCTGGATGGGCAAAGACTGTGTAGATGGTAAGGGCTTAAATACCATTGATTAGTGAATTCTATTTTCGAAATGTATTTTATGTTTTAGGTACCAGTTCAAAATACTGATTTTTTTACATTTTATATCATGTTACAACTATGGTCGAAACTGTTCCAAGACTTGAACCACCACACATTGCGTGGGGAATCTCAACAGGGCATTGTGTCACCGGGTGTCTTCCTTGGTGGACAGCGGTGGACTGTACAAAGGGTACACATTAATAATGAAATTATAACAATTGTTGAATCCAGATATGTTTGTGTGATGCTATGCCATATAGATAATAGTATACAGAATGTTGGACGTGTATTATACCGAACCAAAAACGTTAAGGCTCATGAATGTTTTTGGGATATGTTTTGTAGTGCAGACTGAGCACACACATTCATAGATATATCCCCCAAAATATTCACGATCCCTATTTGTTTGTTCACTAAAGATCTACATATCCACTACACCCGTCACCCTCGGCAATTACACCATTTCATTTGGCCCCTCTTAAGAAGGTGTAACATTGTCTCTCACAGGTCATTGAGCCTTAGGTAACATCTCTCAACAGCATGCTATAGTACTGCAGGGAGAATTTCGAGTATTTCTTACAGACATGCTGGTGTACTTTCTTGACCACTGGGTATCTATTCCGGTGCAATATTAAAGATATATAGTGTATGTACACGTTAACCAGTACGTCAATATGTACGTGCTACAATAACAATAAAAAGGTTATGGTGTTATTGTCGGGGCACGTTTTATATGTGCCCAATATTGGGTATATCTTTTCAGAATGTTCCCCTGGGACCTATGGACAAAACTGCAGCAAACAATGTACTGACAGGAACTGTGCAGGAAACTCGTCATGTGATCATGTTACAGGAACATGTGTTTCCGGATGTAAAGCAGGCTGGATGGGCAAAGACTGTGTGGAGGGTAAGGGCTGAAATTAAAGTCTATCAATTAGTGCATTATTTCTTCAAAATGTATTTTATGTTCTTGGTACCAGTTCAGAATAATGATATTATTACATTTTATATCATGTTTCAGCTTGCAAAGCCCATCGCTATGGTCGAAACTGTGTTAGGACTTGCGCCACCAGACATTGTGCTGGGAACTCATCTTGTAACTCCACAGGGAACTGTGACAGCGGGTGTGAGACAGGGTGGACACTGGACGATTGTACAGGTAATGGTTCTGCATGTCACCTCCAAGAGGATTCGGTCTGTTGGGAAGATGACAGTGGAGTTACACACGGTTGATGAAGTCCAACTTCAATGCAAAGCGGGATGTATTTCTTTGCAGCTTGCAACAGTCAACATTATGGAGCAAAGTGCACCAAGCTCTGTGTCTCGAGATACTGTGTGGGGAATTCATCCTGTAACTCTACAGGGCACTGTGACAGTGGGTGTGAGAGAGGGTGGACACAGTCAGACTGTACAGGTATGCACTTGTAATCTCCTTCTGTAAGGGTAATTCGGGTAGTAAACAGCAGTCAGGAGAAATAAGGCAGTAACTATTCTCAGCATTGTTAATATATCATGAACGGAGCTTTCTTTTGGTTTCAATACTCTGTCATAATATAACCAAACATAACATATAACCTTACCATCTCTATTATCATATATCTTTGTTGATGACAATATCTTCACAGAGTCCTCAGCAAGAATATGTCATGGTGTGTGCATCAATACTGTCACAAGCAGGCTAAAATTATCCATGCATTCATAATTCCTCCGAAAGGTGGAATTCCTTACATTACTGTTAACTTACGGGTTTTTAAAGTGTTACTATTATCATCACTATTTACAAGAAAATGATAATGCATTCCCTCTTGTTTTGCTTTAAATAGGTATTTTAAATTGCTGTTATGGAATTGTTATGTATTTGTGGAGTATGTGGATAATTTGTTTGTGGCTTATGAAATCTTAAGTCTTTCAAGAGGCCGTGAAATCAGATCCTGATGACTCTGTACTAACATATGTTGGGGCTGCGGTGGGTGTTTTCCTGTTTGTCCTTGTGCTGGTTCTCATCCTTTCCCTCATCAGGTGAGTACCAGTGATATTGCTTTATCTTTATTTGATCTGCTTGAATTTGTTCAATAAAGAGGTAAGTGATCTTGCATCAATTCGGGAAATATATAAAAATACATTTTACATTTTATAGACGAAGGAGAATCTCGGAAAGAAAGCATTGTGATGTTGGACTGGTCTCGAAGACTCGAGAGAACTCTCAAGATGAAGGTAGAGCAGATGATAATAAGTATTATTATGTTTTTGGCCGTTCACTGTTTGAAATAAAACAATCCTTTTTAGCATGATCATTCAATAAAAAGAAAAACAGGTTTAAATGAAGCTCCCAAGTTCTATGTCTGTAAAACACAGGATGTATATATTAAAAACATATTTTTAATCTTAAATGCAGGGAATGTCTATATGAATGTTGGATATGACGGAGAGAAGCAGTCTGTATTGCTTTCAAAGAAGAGAATTACACAGGCCCAACCTAAGGACTCGGATGGAGCAGACAAATGTGAGGAAGAGGAGGAGGAAGAGGAGGAGAGGGAGGAGGACTATGACTGCACAATACAAGAGGAGCCAGCACCGGAAAACCCTGACAGAACTTACTACAACCTGGATGAGGCTGGCATTGGTCAGGTGATATCTGTGTCTTCACTGGAAGCAAGGGTGGGCAAATTCGAAGAATTGAAGGAAAGGGCAGAAGAGGAATTTAAGGTTATACTTGCCATATAACATCAAGTACAAATGTACCATAAAACATAAGCATGAAAGATGATGATATTAAAGTTAAGTTTTCTTTCACAGCGTCTTCCAGATGGCTTCATTCATTCTTACTGGGAATCACAGCTGCCAAACAACAATGGGAAGAACAGATTCAAAGGATATTATCCATGTAAGCTGAACATCAAAACGAGTTGGTAGCTACTTTTCTATTGACCATACCTACACTGTAAATCTGTATCAACATTATGCTTACGGTTTATAATCTGCGCCCACAGATGACTACAACCGTGTCTTACTACAGGATGCTAGTGATGGCGGAGATTACATCAACGCCAGCTATCTGGATGTGAGTTAAATAAAAAAAACACATTATTATAAACGACTGTTTGGAAAAGTATGTATCTCTTTCTCTGAAGAGGAGTAAAATAGTGAAACTAATGACAGTGAGTGTGAGAGTAACTGGGTTTAAATTTACTGTGTTTTGAATTTGAAGTCGTCAGTGTCATCTTAGACAGCTGCTTTTGACTATCAGTTCATACCACGAAGTGTCAGCTCAATATGCGATAGAAATTTATAAGGGTCTTAGATCTATGTACTATTTTCGAGCAAACATATGGTGACAAAGTAGAGATAATTAATGGAAAACAACTTCTTTATTTACTGACGTTTCGGTATAGATCCTTGTGCTGTTGTCAAGCAAGGCTGAATAATAAGGATGGTACAGAATATATATAGTCGGTGGAGGATTAACAGATAAACAGTTTCTAAGTAATGCCTTTTAAATAATTCAAACATATGGTACTGACAAATCAAGGTTAATAATCAGTTTACTTATCTGAGATTCAAATCCCCGATCATTTGATTCTATCAATCCCAAGGGACACAATTCCGCACATCTAAGTACGGTGTATTAGATGAGTGAGCAACCCATACTCCCTATAATTATTGATATGATTAATAACAATCAAATGTTATCAATAAAAAGTGTTTATCTGGAGTAATATGTTCCTAAACTTCTCATACCATGTATCTAAAATGGGCAGCAAATTTGAAAGGTATGAAAGGGAAAGGAGGGAAGGTTGGGGAAGCCTCCAAAGACAATACTATGCTTCATTTTCATATTTGTTTCTGTCAGGGCTACAAGAGAGACAAGCGCTATATTGCAGCACAAGGTAACTACAACAACTGAGTGTACAGTCACAATAGTATTGCAATAAATGTCCTTAACTTGTGCAATACACGTTGAACATCAAGCACATATTTATGATGTTACCTTCTTGGTATAATTGTCTGCTCCAGGTCCCTACAACTCTCAAGTGGTGGTCGACTTCTGGAGAATGATCTGGAAAGAGGAATGTAGAACTGTTGTCATGGTAACCGGCCTCGTTGAGGAAGGCAAGGTAAACATATCTGGACGCTGAAATAGTCGCATTGTAAAAATGTAAAGGAGGAGACAGGACATATATCAAATGGTTTTCTTAGTTATTATTGGCTAAACAACTCATGGACTGAACTGTTGCATATATGTGTATTCGTGTTTTAGGTGAAGTGTCTTCGGTACTGGCCTGAGAAAGGCACCAAGACGTTTGGAGATGTTATGGTGACAATGGTTTCGGAAACACGACTGTCAAACTACACAATCACAAAGATGTCTGTTGAGAATGAAAAGGTGAAATGGGTCGTTTAGCCTGATATATATATATATATATATATATATATATATAGAAGGACATTATTATTTAATCTGTTTTGTAAAATTATTCCACGAAAATGAAAAAAAAAACGGGAAACGGCAAGAAACGGGATGTCCACCACCTTCACTTTACTAGCTGGCCAGACCACAGTGTGCCGGACGCTGCTGCCCTGCTGGACTTCATGTGGAGGGTCAAGGTCATTACTGAACAACAAACACAACCCATCATAGTCCATTGCAGGTATAATCCACTTTATAATTTTCTACTTTATGATTCAGGAATAGAGGAGGCCCCCAGTAGTTGGTTGGTTTGTTGTTTAACGCCGCACTCAGCAATATTCCAACTATATGACGGCGGTCTGTAAATAATCGAGTCTGGACCAGACAATCCAGTGATTAATATCATGAGCATCGATCCAAGCAATTGGGATCGATGACATGCATCAACCAAGTCAGCGAGCCTGACCACCCGATCCCGTTAGTCGCCTTTTACGACAAGCAGAGTCACCTTTTATAGCAAGAATGGGTTGCTGAAGACCTATTCTACCCCGGAATCTTCACGGGTGAGGCCCCCAGTAGCCTTTGCTTGTCGTTAGAGGCGACACGATGGATATATTATTTAAAGACCGCTTGCATATAGATGAAGTATTGCTGAGTGAAGCATCAAGAATATACAAACAAGTCATGCGTCTTTTGAAATACAATATAATGTATATTAATGATTTTGTTCATCAAGTTATGCTGTCATGTAAACCTTAGTCGTAAAGTGAAATTCTAAAACTGATACCAAACTTGTTTTAATCTAAACCGTTCCATATACGTGGCTTTCATAAAACTGCTCGTATCAAACAGATAAATATTTTATGAAACTATATACTTTCGTTAGTGCTGGAATTGGTCGAACAGGGACGTACATCGCTATCGAGAGTCTTGTGGAACAGGCAAAGTCAGAGGGCGTTGTGAACGTCGTCAGCTTCGTCTCCAACATGAGAGGGCAGAGGAAGAACATGATTCAGACAAAGGTATTTACGATTGGTTAAATTTTAGTGAATGTCTAGTAGTCTCCTGGGGATATTCGTGAGATGGGTAATTATATATATATAATAAACGATACACGATTGTGTGGTGATAATACATTAATCAGTAGTTTAATAGTTTATAGTAAGTGAGTGAGGTTTTACGCCGGTTTTAGCAATATTCAAGCAATATCACTGCGGGGGACACCAGAAATGGTACACATTGTACCCATATCGGGAGTCGAACCCGGGTCTTCGGCTTGACGAGCGAACGCGAACTAGGCTACCCGACCGCCCCTAATATAGTTCATAAATGGTAGCGTTGGATAGTGTCTGGCCTATGCATGTTTGTCTTCTTATGTATCCAGGAGCAGTACATGTTCGTGTACAAGGCGGTGGCGAGGGCGGTGGCAGAGGGTGACACGTCACTGGACGCTGAAGTCATCAGGCAGATGGACCTAGATCACGTGTCTGATATCAACTTTGGGAACAAGACTGTACGACAACATCTGGAGGTGTTTGACATTGCTGTATATTTATGTAACCAGATTTAGAAATAGGGCTTTTGCGACTGTCACATTTCGTAAACGAGCATGTGATCGGTATAACTGTAGCACAGTAATCCTCAAAGTATACTAGGCACATAAAGAAACTGTGCACGGAGAAAATATAGATATAAGGGCACACCGTCCATATATGAAAGATAGGTTTGAACACAGCAATTATGGGAGACATTCAAACGCTCATGCACGTGCCATGCGATATGACGTCATTGATGGGGGCCTATGGACGTGCAATGTGTTACTGCACGTGCATCCTGTGCAGCTGTACACAGCATGTGCAACTCAAAATTCGCTGTCACTTTGGAAAGCATGATCTGTGGTCATTCAAAAATTTAAAACTTCTCAGGCGCAGACACAAGCATATCACAAGCAAATCATGCCAAGATTGACAGCTGCACAGCGTCATGAAGCCATTGGAATGATCCGAGCGGGAATGAGGCAACAACAGGTGGCAACTCATTTCCAATGCCATCGTAACACGATATCGGCATTGGTGAGGCGTTTTCAGAACACAAATGACGTTACCGACCACCCACGTTCAGGACGTCCCCGAGTAACGACGCCAAGACAGGACCGATGGATTCGAGTTACACATCTCCGACACAGGTTCCAAACGGCAGTAACGACGTCCCAGACAATTCCTGGACTGCGCCGTATCCATCCCAACACTGTCAGGAATCGTTTACATCAGTACGGGATTCGACCACGACGCCCTGCCATACGTCCCATCCTGACACACCGTCATCGAGTCAACCGTCTAAGATGGTGTCGAAATCATGTTCGCCAACCTCGAATATGGTGGAGAAATGTTGTCTTTACAGATGAATCGAGGTTCAACATTTCCCACAGTGACGGGCGCCAACGTCTACCGGCGTTTGGGAGAACGTTATGCACGCAACTGTATTGTGGAGAGGAATCGTTTTGGAGGTGGCTCTGTGATGATTTGGGGTGGGATAACAGCACGGCACCGAACCCCTTTGGTGGTTGTTCAGGGCAATCTCACCGGTGTTGATCAGAGATCAGATTCTGAGGCCTGTGGTCATTCCTTTCCTGCAACGTCATGGCCCGGGATTGACATTTCAACAGGACAACGCTCGTCCTCACACGGCTAGGGTCGCAATGGATTTCCTTCACCATAACAATGTCATGTTACTGCCGTGGTCTGCAATTTCTCAAGATATCTCCCCAATAGAGCATGTGTGGGATGAAATGGAGCGCCGTCTGCGTCGTCTTCCACATCCTCCGGATAACATCCGTGACTTGGCACAGGATTTGAGGAGGATATGGCAGGCCATTCCCCAGGCCTTCCATGCCCATTTGGTGGACTCCATGCGTCGCCGATGTACTGCTGTGATTCACGCACAGGGTGGTCATACCCGTTATTGACTTTGTGACTTTGTCGTTTGACCCCCTACTCCATTTTGATCTTCTGACGTCATCGTAACAGATGTTGTTCAGGTCCCGTTGACATTTTCTTATGGTCCGATCATTCAGCTGCTACAGCGTCTGCATCATTTTGTTCTTGCTGTGTTGTATTTCAATCCAGAATATATTTTCTCCGTGCACAGTTTCTTTATGTGGCTAGTATACATCGTCGAAAGTGGAACAGACAGAGATATTGAGGCAAAATAATACGACACTGTCTTGAACTCACCAAAGCAAACTATTGGTACTTCTATGATGTCAGTCATCCAAACACTTGGAGATCATTATTATTTAGTCATTAACTTGAGGCTGTTTTACGAGTCACACCAAATAATATGTTTATCTCATCCAGTGACCTGAAGCTGGGATCTGGGATTTTATTGAAGGTTATTTTGCTTCCTGCCCTTGAACAGCAAATTGTCTGCAACAAAGATTACATTGTTTCATTGTATTTGTATATGTGAGAAAAAAATAGTTTGGCTTATAATTTTAAATATAAACAAATAAATATTTAGCATACAGCAAATTTTCGCTCGATTGAAAGATTGATTTTGTATTTCACATTTGTATTGATTGCATTAATAATTAACTGTGTTCCAGGCGTTGAGGAATGTACATCGAGGTGAGTACCTGCCGGATAATGAACTTCCTATATTGGATTCCTGATTAGACCCTAACGGACACGCAAATCTTAATAATAAAATAAAAAAAATAAAAATGACAAAACCCTTTCTATAATAACATGTCAACTCCTATTCCGTTGCCATTGTTTTAACGTACTGTAAAAAGTCATTGTCACTTTGCGTAATCATGTTGATATTTTACTCTGGTCTGGACTTGTAGTTTGCAGGTAGAAGCATAATGTTTGCGCACTGGTTTATATGTTACATTATCTTCCGCAAAAGGTACAGACTGTGAAGATATGTAATATTTTATGATATTTTTCGAGCAATAGGTTTTCAGGAAACTCCGAGAGCGTCAATGTAAGGAGCGTTCACGTAAGTAGGAAGATGCACGCCGAAAATGTACCGTTGTATAATGTCTTTAGTTTATCTTTATAATTTTATCATAATGTACATGTACCTAATGTTGGATATTCAGCGTATAGAAAGAACAATGAAAATTACGCTTTTTAATCCCTCTGAATGTGCACGACTACATGATTAATGTTCCTCTTATTTGTCTACAGTCTTACACAAAGCGTAATGGCTTCTTCATAATGACGTCACATCCAGACAAGGAGGAAGTTTGGAATCAGGTTTACAACAGTGACTCGCACTGCCTGCTCACGTTTGCTGTCGGTGATCTGGTTGGTTTTCCTCTCTCATGAAGCGACCTTAGCTAAACATTTTGCATCAGATGAGTGAGTGAGTGAGTGAGCGAGTGATTGATTTTTTTAACAATATCACTGTTATATCAAAGTTCTTCATGCCTGGTCAAAACTTTGTTATTGTGTTTTTAAAACATTGTTCGACATATTCAATATCTTTCTAGAGTTATCTACCATCAGTTGATAGTCCCATTACAACAAAGCAGTTTGCAGTGACCATGCGCAGTTCAACACCACTGTCTAATGACTTTCTGTTGAATACAATTGACATCATTTCAAAGGTACGTCTGTGAAAAAAAGGTCCAACTTTGTTCAGTGTATAGCTGTGCTTTGTCCCCAGTAACCCTTTGTCTAGATATGTATTGGTGAAGTGGCAGCCTAGTGGTTAAAACGGTCTATGTTGGAACATATTCAGTTATGACAACACACAGATGGTGAGGGGTAGATTCAGTGTTATCGGTGTGTTTGAAAGAGCAACTGACTTTTTCATTATGAATTAATCAATGACATAATGATGATTTACTGTAAATTAATCAAAAAAATAACTCCATGCGTACCTTGTGATTTTAAAATCCATAATAAATTTCATTAATCTAAAGTGCTCAGGCAGTATTATTTTGCCAGTATTCTGTGAGCAGCCCTTTGAAACACCATTGCTGGGGTCACCCAGGCACATTTTCAGCTTCACAAACCCAAAGATTTCAGAAACTTCGCAGCTTCGTAAATCTGTAATTATGGGGGTAAATGTTAAAGTCAGAGGCCCCAGCAGGGTCAAAACTACAAATACATCAAAACCACCACTGAGATAAAAGTCAATACATGTTTAGGAGTGTGTTTCAATCCTAAACAGTATACAAATTTAGGGTCTAAACACATGAAATGAGCCAAAACACATAATCCCCATGATCCAAACATGTCAAGAATTTAAACACCTTTAAACATGTTTTAAAAGTGCATATCATCATATAAAAGTCAAATATGGATGAGATGTATAATATAAATTGAATTTAGATTTGCAATTCAGATTCACAGGCCCTTGCATGACAAATACCACCAGGACTTACAACGAACCTGGGGTAATATTTAATTAAAAATGTACAAATAAACCAAGCAAATGGTGACTCGGAGAATTGACAACTCTAACGACATTCTCAGTAGCTCAGGTAGAGTGACGGATTACAAATTACAAATTAAAAGATTGCAGGTTCGAATCCCACCGAGGGACGGTCGGGTAGCCTAGTGGTCAAAGTGTTCACTCGCCAAGCCGAAGACCCGGGTTCGATTCCCGACGTGGGTGCTTTGTGTGAAGTCCATCTCTGGAATATTGCTAAAAGTGGCGTAAAACTATGCTCACTCACTCGCGAATCCCACCGAAGTTCAAAATTCTTTGTTTCCACCAATGTGTTGTTATATGTTTAATAGTATTTCACTCATACAGGAAACTGACAATGAAAATATATTTGATTACAGCTTCACCTTTCGTTGTTAGTGGCGACAGGCAACATAGTAAAATACATTGATTGATTTGTAAATTTTACTAACATGTTGGTGTCTGAGTGGACAATGAAATTCAGTTAGTAAAGCTTACAAACTATTTCTGTAAGTGATGCTATATTACATATATTTAACATATATTACACACGTTATCACATACTAGAACCCGTCAAACTTAATGTCTACATGGCCATTTTATAAATCGGATCAGAATTTTGTGAGTACAATTTAGAAACGTCGTGGAGCCGTCCATGCAATGTTTCAGCATCACTTTCAATGTGGATGCTGAAAATGTAAACTTTTACAACGGACGTGGCAGGCACTATGTAAACGTATTTAAATTATTGGTTCAGACAAGCTAAAATGAAATTGGGGTACATGAATGAAACGCTTGCGCTGCCACGTCTATCGGGTCAATCTATTTTTTCATGTTTTAATTCCGCTTGTAAAGTTACTTCAAACGATGTTACATACGGATATGCTCTGTAGTTTTGTTAAAATATTCATGAGCAATTTTGTTCACTTAGAAATCTTTGTACGTTTGTTTTATTTGAATCAGTGTAAATTATTATAGAAGAAACGCAACCACCAAAGAGAATGATTTTTAAGAAATATCGAGTAATCGGGAGAAAGATTTGCTTCAAGTGTTCTCCATAAAAGTTCAGATATCCAATCCCATATCTTCGCATCTCAAAATAATCTTCGTCGTTACGAAAATCACCACTTCTGATCGTTTCAAGGAGATTTCACCATTCCACGCCAAAGGGAAAATGACAGATGGTAAGCCATTGGAATGCTGCAATCCGATACCTCGCAGATATCCATATAAACACCATTATGGCGACATTTTCAACAGAACAGCGACGTCAGAGACAATCCCCATAGTAGCCGCCCATCAGACAGCAATGCCCACAGCTAGTATCATCATCACTGGCAACAGATGCTCATTTCCGAGGAAAGACCGAAGACATCTGCGAATCTTCGGCAACAATGCGTGGCGCCCACCCAGAAGGCAAATCCCGACGGTAGAACGTCAACGTTGGTGGTGCCTGCAACACTTGGTATTCAGTTGACAGCTCGTCAGTGGAGGAGGCCCCTCTTCACTGGTGAGTCCGTTTCCATCCTCGCCGATCCATTTGCAGCACATGTGTCTACAGGCGTCGAGGTGAACGTAACCTCACGCAAAAGGCTTTTGAAGGCAATCAATTTAGTGGGATGGTGTATGAGGTGGAATAACGACTGTTACTCAAAGTACTTAAATGATTGTAATTGTTGGAAATTTGATAGCTGGTAGATAACGAGGATAATATTTTGCAAACGGCCGTTTTATCGTACTTGCAACAGAAGGGCAATATAGGGACATTGTAGCATGACAACGCCCAACAACAGTTAGCTACAGTTATGCAGCAGTATCTGACCCAGAAAACAATGTTAATGTGTTACATTAGCCTTATAATCCCCCAATCTATCACAAAAGCATCGTATTAAAAATACTTATAAACCGACCAGAAATGAGAAATAGTTCTTTGAAGGTGAAACGTTTGAAAAACGTCAAATGTCTGTGTTCATTTCAATTATAAGCAGCTCAAATGGTCAAAAAACAACAGAAGCTTCAGTTCAAGCCAAAAATAATTTATTTGGAATAACGAAGAATATACAGTCTGTAGGTGATATTGATTACAAAACTTTTAAACATTTGATGGTAAAAAACTGAGGTATGGGGATTGAAACACTTCCACGTAATATTAAAGTGTGGCTTGTATTTATGTAAAATATCATTGTGTAACAATTAACACAACCCTTGCTATAAGTAGTAACAGGATCACTCGGGGTACATGTGGTTTAATGCGTCCCTCGTTAGGTTTTATGCCGAGCACGAGTGATCCTGCTACAACGAATTTTTTTTACCGACATGTTTTAATACGGCATTGTAAAAGAATTAAAACAAATTGAAAATTTATAGAAAACATCTGTTCGATTGAGCTAAGGTTAACTTGTGCCATGTCACGTGACTTTCATTGACTTGGAAAAAGCGTGTGGCGTTTTGCTTCGAAGCGGGGACTAAAGAAGTGGTGATTTTCGTAACGACGAAGATTATTCTGCCTCTCAGAAATCCACGTGCAGCCTGTCTTGTTCGTGGCATGGGTATAAGGTATTTTTATTCTCCCATTTATAAATTTGTTTCCCCCCAAGGCGTGATACATGATATGTTATCAAGATCACGTGGACCAATCAGATCTCATCATGCTGACATGGAGGTATGATAAAATGGTTGAAAGGGGATATCGTAAATTTCTCTGATTTCCCTTCACGTGTGCCACATGTTGTTGACTTTGATGTAGAAGCTTTATACCCTGCAACGCGTGTCAGGAAGACAGACCCGGATGGAATCCGTAAACAAGCTACTCGGATGATCGCCATAAGCAACAGGTCACTGCGTTCCGTACGTGTTTGGGACAATGTTGCAGTTCCCGTCTCGCAGTTTGATAGGAGCAAGGGTGACCCGCCAAAATGTATTTATCGTAGTCATTGACATAGACAATGCAATGCACAGAATAGGAACTCATAAGGGAACAACAAATGGGAGACAAGCAAGAAATCATTTTGAGTAAGATATTCTGGACTGAAACCTGCCTGAAACAACATTATCTGAAAATGACATCTAGAGAGCACAGAGTGTTTGTGGCGGACAGGGTTACCGCAGGTGCCAGTGCTGAAACAACTGCTTGACAAACATGTGCTCCTGTTTGAAATCGGGGTTGAGATGCAATAGTGCCTGCCATAGCCGCAAATCCTGTGCAAACTGTGACTGAACTGAGCGGCAATGTGATTCAGAGACTCATTATTTGCAGATAACACTGCTTGATATGTGTTTCTATTTAGAAAATACAGTTTCTTGATATTTGTTTGGTTGTTATTTATTACAGTTAAGTCACTTAATAATAGAGTTTACTTCATCAAAAGCAAAACATGTAAAACAACATCAATTTCATTTGCGTCAATTACCTGTCCATTGCGTGAAATAAGAAAGCTGGTTGCCCATATTGTGAAATATGGAGAATTATTTTTCATTCACAACTATTGTCCATTGTATGTAATGAGCAGATAATTGCTTGCACATTGCGTGCGTTGGGCAAGCTGCCGTTTGCCGTTTGCTGTTGCACGTATTTGGCTGTTGCACAGACTGGGTGTAACATATATATTCAAAGCTGAAAGCAATTAAGTACTAGTTAAAACTCCTTACAATTACTTTATCGAGGTACACAGATGCACAGAAATGTTACAACACGATGCTGTTATACGACTTGAGTAGAAGGAATATAGGGAACATAAAATGTCCTCTATGAGATGAAACGTGTATTTGCATCTCAGGATTTTCAACCAGACAAGTTCTACCTTATTTATCCAATATCCGTGGTCAGTATGTAACCCTAAATCCTGTGCAATATAATCATAACTATGTAACTTCGGGGGCAACTATTTGGATTTACAACATGTTGAGAGGGGCGGTCGGGTAGCCTAGTGGTTAAAGCGTTCGCTCGTCACGCCGAAGACCCGGGTTCGATTCCCGACATGGGTACAATGGGTGATGCCCATTTCTGGTGTCCCCCGCCGTGATATTGCTGGAATATTGCTAAAAGCGGCGTAAAACCATACTCACTCACTACAACATGTTGAGAAGACGTTCGGTTATATTACTGTGAGGAAGTATCACGTGAATTGAACTTTATAATACCACAATAGGTCCAGAGTCATAAGTATGACAACTCAGACGATTTCCACTGTGCTTTCGTAGCATATGTGGTAATTTGGTACACAAACATATCATAGTGTAACATCCACCAGTATATACAACATGTGCTAATAATTATATGAATGGTTCACAGTCCACACGTTTTCTCCACAGCCATGTGTGTATGGGTGAAACTGTAATGTCACATGAAGCGATGTTCAGTTTTGGAAGCTGTCAGAAGTTGGCGTAAACATTACTTGACACAAGCCGCCGCTGGGCAGACTCAAGGCAGAACGTCACGTCAGCCTGAAATCGTAGAACAGTTATAGCGTAGCAATGATTCCCCGATCATAAAATGTTTTATATACCAACTCTCTTCATCACAGTTGTTTCTATAGTTCCTTTTCTACTCATAATATAAAATGTCCCAATGGGATTCATAATTAGATATCACGGATAATCAGTTGGACAAGAGGCCGGTCACAACTGACGTTCATGACGTTGAACGAGAATCTGTTCTAGAAATGACTCCATAAAATGAATGAATTCTGACCGTTATTGATGATCGCTTTGACACTTTAAGTTTTACTCAGTTTCAAAACTTGTAATACATTCCCTTTGTAGATTTCTATCGTATTTTCTGCACGAAATAACTTACCACACATCCTTTTAATATCATAGTAACCGCAACTTTGCACATTGTAGCCTATAATTGTACATATAATTATTTATATACGCCTACCTTTAATGACTTTAAAAGAAGTAGTATTCTAAAAATGTTATCTTCCGCGGTGATGCGTTCGTCAAATCGGCTGTTTCACTCAGGGGGTTTATTGTGATTGAAAACCTCTGATTGACCAATTAAAATCGTGTTTTTTAAATTTCATGGTAGAATGTACAAATATACAAAATCAACCTACAAGGATACATACTCTTCTACAAACTTAATTAATTAACTAATTAATCATATTTTGTGTGCGGTACAATCGGGCGTAATATGAATGGTCGTACAGACATAATGTCACTCGCACAATTCTAAAATATAAGTAACTGGTATCATTTCTTATATAAATGCTAAGTAATGTTTTTGCAGTTTGCATTTTTCCGGAGCTGACTAAATATCGCCCCAAAACAGGAATGTTTGAGCAGCTGAATAATGTACGACCGACCGACGATATAACATTTGTGTATTGCAAATATTCCGAATAAAATTGCATGCAGAAGGAATAGCACAGTGTATGACAGTATCTTTTCATGAAAACAGCACATGTTCCAATATCCACATATTGTGATGCATAATGGTTGTGTTATTCCGCTCATGTGAACTTAGCAGATAGTTGTGCACTGTATATATATTTTCTACCTCAGTGAATGGCGGTCCTCCAAGACGTGTGTACAGTTGTCGCATGTTGTTGATGACGTCCACCCTACCATCGTCCTGCAGTCTGCTGGCGATGTTCAGCAATAGTACCAGGAGGCGACAGTCGGTCACAGAGCTGGGGTAAGGAAACACTTTTTATGACAGAAACAACACCGATTCGACTCCAATTCACTGATGCTTTGGACTTTTGCCCTGGGCGTGTCTGGATTTGCTTTGGTGCCGCCCATCTGAACTATGAAGTGATTAGACCCAATGTACAAGAATAGTTCTCCCGCATTTTCGTCTAACAAACAATCGATTTGTATTGATTGTTTCATATTAAATTTTGCTAAGGTTAACAAAAGGAAAGGCTGATCTCAGATAAATTGGCAACAATTCTTCCTTACACATCTTTATAACATCAGTTTTCAGTGATGATATTTTGTCTTATTTAACAGGGGGCACGGGTGGCCCAATCGTCTTAGGCGCCGCGATTTGCTGTGCAGAGTTGCGACCCCTTGACACGCCAGAAACCTATGATTGTGGGTTCGAATCCCGGTTCGCCCCGATTATGTTTCTAGGTTTGTCAGCACCATACCCGTGCTCCTGGGTTTCACCGAAGTGGTAAACGTCTGAGGCCTGCATCACTTCGGACTTTCCTCCCACATTAAGTTGACACGCCGCAATATAACTGGAATATTGTTAAAAGCGGCGTTAAACCCAACTCACTCACTCACTTATTCAACACATTAAGGATGTGATAAGGACTGATGTACTTACTCAGAAACGATAGTGCTGGAACTTCGTGGTGGATCACTAGTCCATGTAAGGAAACTGTCAATCAGCCAGCTGATATTCGGGTCTCGTGTCCATTTTATGGAGTCATTTCTAGAACAGATTCTCGTTCAACGTCATGAACGTCAGTTGTGACCGGCCTCTTGTCCAACTGATTATCCGTGATATCTAATTATGAATCCCATTGGGACATTTTATATTATGAGTAGAAAAGGAACTATAGAAACAACTGTGATGAAGAGAGTTGGTATATAAAACATTTTATGATCGGGGAATCATTGCTACGCTATAACTGTTCTACGATTTCAGGCTGACGTGACGTTCTGCCTTGAGTCTGCCCAGCGGCGGCTTGTGTCAAGTAATGTTTACGCCAACTTCTGACAGCTTCCAAAACTGAACATCGCTTCATGTGACATTACAGTTTCACCCATACACACATGGCTGTGGAGAAAACGTGTGGACTGTGAACCATTCATATAATTATTAGCACATGTTGTATATACTGGTGGATGTTACACTATGATATGTTTGTGTACCAAATTACCACATATGCTACGAAAGCACAGTGGAAATCGTCTGAGTTGTCATACTTATGACTCTGGACCTATTGTGGTATTATAAAGTTCAATTCACGTGATACTTCCTCACAGTAATATAACCGAACGTCTTCTCAACATGTTGTAGTGAGTGAGTATGGTTTTACGCCGCTTTTAGCAATATTCCAGCAATATCACGGCGGGGGACACCAGAAATGGGCATCACCCATTGTACCCATGTCGGGAATCGAACCCGGGTCTTCGGCGTGACGAGCGAACGCTTTAACCACTAGGCTACCCGACCGCCCCTCTCAACATGTTGTAAATCCAAATAGTTGCCCCCGAAGTTACATAGTTATGATTATATTGCACAGGATTTAGGGTTACATACTGACCACGGATATTGGATAAATAAGGTAGAACTTGTCTGGTTGAAAATCCTGAGATGCAAATACACGTTTCATCTCATAGAGGACATTTTATGTTCCCTATATTCCTTCTACTCAAGTCGTATAACAGCATCGTGTTGTAACATTTCTGTGCATCTGTGTACCTCGATAAAGTAATTGTAAGGAGTTTTAACTAGTACTTAATTGCTTTCAGCTTTGAATATATATGTTACACCCAGTCTGTGCAACAGCCAAATACGTGCAACAGCAAACGGCAAACGGCAGCTTGCCCAACGCACGCAATGTGCAAGCAATTATCTGCTCATTACATACAATGGACAATAGTTGTGAATGAAAAATAATTCTCCATATTTCACAATATGGGCAACCAGCTTTCTTATTTCACGCAATGGACAGGTAATTGACGCAAATGAAATTGATGTTGTTTTACATGTTTTGCTTTTGATGAAGTAAACTCTATTATTAAGTGACTTAACTGTAATAAATAACAACCAAACAAATATCAAGAAACTGTATTTTCTAAATAGAAACACATATCAAGCAGTGTTATCTGCAAATAATGAGTCTCTGAATCACATTGCCGCTCAGTTCAGTCACAGTTTGCACAGGATTTGCGGCTATGGCAGGCACTATTGCATCTCAACCCCGATTTCAAACAGGAGCACATGTTTGTCAAGCAGTTGTTTCAGCACTGGCACCTGCGGTAACCCTGTCCGCCACAAACACTCTGTGCTCTCTAGATGTCATTTTCAGATAATGTTGTTTCAGGCAGGTTTCAGTCCAGAATATCTTACTCAAAATGATTTCTTGCTTGTCTCCCATTTGTTGTTCCCTTATGAGTTCCTATTCTGTGCATTGCATTGTCTATGTCAATGACTACGATAAATACATTTTGGCGGGTCACCCTTGCTCCTATCAAACTGCGAGACGGGAACTGCAACATTGTCCCAAACACGTACGGAACGCAGTGACCTGTTGCTTATGGCGATCATCCGAGTAGCTTGTTTACGGATTCCATCCGGGTCTGTCTTCCTGACACGCGTTGCAGGGTATAAAGCTTCTACATCAAAGTCAACAACATGTGGCACACGTGAAGGGAAATCAGAGAAATTTACGATATCCCCTTTCAACCATTTTATCATACCTCCATGTCAGCATGATGAGATCTGATTGGTCCACGTGATCTTGATAACATATCATGTATCACGCCTTGGGGGGAAACAAATTTATAAATGGGAGAATAAAAATACCTTATACCCATGCCACGAACAAGACAGGCTGCACGTGGATTTCTGAGAGGCAGAATAATCTTCGTCGTTACGAAAATCACCACTTCTTTAGTCCCCGCTTCGAAGCAAAACGCCACACGCTTTTTCCAAGTCAATGAAAGTCACGTGACATGGCACAAGTTAACCTTAGCTCAATCGAACAGATGTTTTCTATAAATTTTCAATTTGTTTTAATTCTTTTACAATGCCGTATTAAAACATGTCGGTAAAAAAAATTCGTTGTAGCAGGATCACTCGTGCTCGGCATAAAACCTAACGAGGGACGCATTAAACCACATGTACCCCGAGTGATCCTGTTACTACTTATAGCAAGGGTTGTGTTAATTGTTACACAATGATATTTTACATAAATACAAGCCACACTTTAATATTACGTGGAAGTGTTTCAATCCCCATACCTCAGTTTTTTACCATCAAATGTTTAAAAGTTTTGTAATCAATATCACCTACAGACTGTATATTCTTCGTTATTCCAAATAAATTATTTTTGGCTTGAACTGAAGCTTCTGTTGTTTTTTGACCATTTGAGCTGCTTATAATTGAAATGAACACAGACATTTGACGTTTTTCAAACGTTTCACCTTCAAAGAACTATTTCTCATTTCTGGTCGGTTTATAAGTATTTTTAATACGATGCTTTTGTGATAGATTGGGGGATTATAAGGCTAATGTAACACATTAACATTGTTTTCTGGGTCAGATACTGCTGCATAACTGTAGCTAACTGTTGTTGGGCGTTGTCATGCTACAATGTCCCTATATTGCCCTTCTGTTGCAAGTACGATAAAACGGCCGTTTGCAAAATATTATCCTCGTTATCTACCAGCTATCAAATTTCCAACAATTACAATCATTTAAGTACTTTGAGTAACAGTCGTTATTCCACCTCATACACCATCCCACTAAATTGATTGCCTTCAAAAGCCTTTTGCGTGAGGTTACGTTCACCTCGACGCCTGTAGACACATGTGCTGCAAATGGATCGGCGAGGATGGAAACGGACTCACCAGTGAAGAGGGGCCTCCTCCACTGACGAGCTGTCAACTGAATACCAAGTGTTGCAGGCACCACCAACGTTGACGTTCTACCGTCGGGATTTGCCTTCTGGGTGGGCGCCACGCATTGTTGCCGAAGATTCGCAGATGTCTTCGGTCTTTCCTCGGAAATGAGCATCTGTTGCCAGTGATGATGATACTAGCTGTGGGCATTGCTGTCTGATGGGCGGCTACTATGGGGATTGTCTCTGACGTCGCTGTTCTGTTGAAAATGTCGCCATAATGGTGTTTATATGGATATCTGCGAGGTATCGGATTGCAGCATTCCAATGGCTTACCATCTGTCATTTTCCCTTTGGCGTGGAATGGTGAAATCTCCTTGAAACGATCAGAAGTGGTGATTTTCGTAACGACGAAGATTATTTTGAGATGCGAAGATATGGGATTGGATATCTGAACTTTTATGGAGAACACTTGAAGCAAATCTTTCTCCCGATTACTCGATATTTCTTAAAAATCATTCTCTTTGGTGGTTGCGTTTCTTCTATAATAATTTACACTGATTCAAATAAAACAAACGTACAAAGATTTCTAAGTGAACAAAATTGCTCATGAATATTTTAACAAAACTACAGAGCATATCCGTATGTAACATCGTTTGAAGTAACTTTACAAGCGGAATTAAAACATGAAAAAATAGATTGACCCGATAGACGTGGCAGCGCAAGCGTTTCATTCATGTACCCCAATTTCATTTTAGCTTGTCTGAACCAATAATTTAAATACGTTTACATAGTGCCTGCCACGTCCGTTGTAAAAGTTTACATTTTCAGCATCCACATTGAAAGTGATGCTGAAACATTGCATGGACGGCTCCACGACGTTTCTAAATTGTACTCACAAAATTCTGATCCGATTTATAAAATGGCCATGTAGACATTAAGTTTGACGGGTTCTAGTATGTGATAACGTGTGTAATATATGTTAAATATATGTAATATAGCATCACTTACAGAAATAGTTTGTAAGCTTTACTAACTGAATTTCATTGTCCACTCGGACACCAACATGTTAGTAAAATTTACAAATCAATCAATGTATTTTACTATGTTGCCTGTCGCCACTAACAACGAAAGGTGAAGCTGTAATCAAATATATTTTCATTGTCAGTTTCCTGTATGAGTGAAATACTATTAAACATATAACAACACATTGGTGGAAACAAAGAATTTTGAACTTCGGTGGGATTCGCGAGTGAGTGAGCATAGTTTTACGCCACTTTTAGCAATATTCCAGAGATGGACTTCACACAAAGCACCCACATCGGGAATCGAACCCGGGTCTTCGGCTTGGCGAGTGAACACTTTGACCACTAGGCTACCCGACCGTCCCTCGGTGGGATTCGAACCTGCAATCTTTTAATTTGTAATTTGTAATCCGTCACTCTACCTGAGCTACTGAGAATGTCGTTAGAGTTGTCAATTCTCCGAGTCACCATTTGCTTGGTTTATTTGTACATTTTTAATTAAATATTACCCCAGGTTCGTTGTAAGTCCTGGTGGTATTTGTCATGCAAGGGCCTGTGAATCTGAATTGCAAATCTAAATTCAATTTATATTATACATCTCATCCATATTTGACTTTTATATGATGATATGCACTTTTAAAACATGTTTAAAGGTGTTTAAATTCTTGACATGTTTGGATCATGGGGATTATGTGTTTTGGCTCATTTCATGTGTTTAGACCCTAAATTTGTATACTGTTTAGGATTGAAACACACTCCTAAACATGTATTGACTTTTATCTCAGTGGTGGTTTTGATGTATTTGTAGTTTTGACCCTGCTGGGGCCTCTGACTTTAACATTTACCCCCATAATTACAGATTTACGAAGCTGCGAAGTTTCTGAAATCTTTGGGTTTGTGAAGCTGAAAATGTGCCTGGGTGACCCCAGCAATGGTGTTTCAAAGGGCTGCTCACAGAATACTGGCAAAATAATACTGCCTGAGCACTTTAGATTAATGAAATTTATTATGGATTTTAAAATCACAAGGTACGCATGGAGTTATTTTTTTGATTAATTTACAGTAAATCATCATTATGTCATTGATTAATTCATAATGAAAAAGTCAGTTGCTCTTTCAAACACACCGATAACACTGAATCTACCCCTCACCATCTGTGTGTTGTCATAACTGAATATGTTCCAACATAGACCGTTTTAACCACTAGGCTGCCACTTCACCAATACATATCTAGACAAAGGGTTACTGGGGACAAAGCACAGCTATACACTGAACAAAGTTGGACCTTTTACCCTTTCCTGAGTCTGATGATTGTTGTTCCTCCAGAACACATCCACGTCCTGTCAATACTATTAGCTGCTGTCAACATTACGGAGCCACAGCTGTACTGTCACTGTCTAACTGATGAATTGTTTCATTCCTTATTACAATAGGTATTGTTGAACAAGAGCATGTAGTTGGTGCAAGACCATGCCGATTTCTCGAAGACGTAACTCATTACATGATCAACACATTTGGCATACTGCTTCCATGTCCCGGACAGTGACAAGAAATACATCACAGTAGATCTACTTTTAAATGCTAACACATCACAAAGCTATCTTCTGACAACACGAATAGCTAATCTCTGCTTTAAATTTTTTTTGACCTTGGTATGTATATGTGTAAGTCCATGGGAATAGATTGTTTTGGTCCTGGGCATCATAGTAGGTGACCAACAACGATAACATGCTAAGTATTTGTGATGCATATTGTAGACAGATATTGAATCAAAACAGAATGATTGCTTGACGAATAAGCTGCCTCATACTAAGAATATGAAAACAATGTGTCAGACTAAGAAAGAGCAGATGGATATTACGCGCATACCTCAATTGAGTTACGTTTAATAATTCAAACCGATATATTATTTTGCGAACGATATCATTAGCGTACATTCAAATTGTTATGTGTAATGTACGCAATATTTGGCGGCGAACCCTTTTTATGGTGGCATGACAAGACAGTTTCAACCGATACATCGCATGTATCCAGGGATCAAACTTAAAACATCCAAGTTTAACTTGTGTATCCTTCTAATTTAGTACCATGCATATACTACTCATATAAAGATTGTCTACACACATCCCATTAAACACAATACTTGAACAGAGATTTTCTGTTGCTGAAATACACAGTACACAGTGATCATATTTGGGTAAATGACACCATCCCTGGGTACATCACTTCCTTGCTGTCCAATATCGCGGGTGTGAGGGCACTATTGTCCATGATCATAAGAAATCTCTCTCAAGTAGGGGCCATGGTACGATCTTCCGATCGAGAGCATGTGTTTCTGAATCAGTGATGATACCAAGAGTTTGCGAAAATCTGAGCGTATCCTGCCCGTCACACCCGTCAGAAAGTTCAGTGTTCACCTAACTTGGAAGTTAAAGTCACACCTCTTGTCATACACTCCAATGGATATTATTGCGTGACTCTGAATCTTAAAATCTAAATAGGAAACAGATGAGGCGTTTCTTGTATTTCAAGTTCTGATGCGTAAATCAGTGAAGATAATAGGATATGTATCCGTTATTGAACAGTAACAGATCATCGATGAACCTGAAGCTGAAGTTGTACGTCTTGGCTAAAATCCCTTTTTGTCGCAAATACGAGCAGAAATTCTGCACATTTTAAAGTTCATATGAAATTACTTTTTTTTAGTCGTACCCACATCATATTGATTTCGGAAGGTGCTGTTCCACTCTGTTGGGATATTGGCCCGGGTAGTTTTTCCCAAGATCCTGACACTATCAACACCGGTGTTACGTTAAGCGTTGTTTGTCCAAGCGAAACATTCGCCTTTCTAAGTTGGAATATTAATAGACTTCGAAACAAAATTGATGCTGCTGATTTTATATCATATTTACAAAAAATTAAAATAGCATGTCTTCAGCTTGTTAAAACTTTTGTCGACTGTAGCTTTGATCATAACTGGTTAGTTGGTTATGATATATGTTATAGTCCAGCAATAAAATTATCTGACTACAGCAGACTGTCTGGTGGGATTTGTGTATGTGTTCATCAATCCATCAGCATACTAGTATTTTGTAAGTTAATTAAATCAGATGTTGATAATCTCTTGTGCTTGAACATACCAAAAGTGTTTCTTACAACTGATGAAAATGTAAACTTGCTATGTACATACATACCACCAGCTGGCTCGCCGTATTATAACCATGTGGTCTCAAACTGTAGTATTGATAATCTTGAAGAGTGTTTTTAGATAATCAGTCGCAGCTTAAAGATTCTACCAGTGTAGTCTGGAGATATGAATGCTCGTACTTGTCAACAAAACAATCCTCTAGTCGATCTACAAAACGGTTTTGAACATAGTAACTGTCCATTTCCAGAAGATGAAAACGTATGTGTAGGAGATCGGAAATCCCATGACACCGTTATTGATAAATTTGGTCAGATGCTGCTAGATACGTCTCCCTAAATTAGCTTATACCATTCTTCTACATTTAGATAGCATGGGTTAAAATTAGATTAATTAAGATTAAAATAAATATTTGTATTGTGGTTTGCTGTTTGTTGTCAGTCAGTTAGAAATGTAAATACGTTTCTTTATGAATTTCGAAATCGGTCTTTAAATATGTTCTACCAAGAATGGCATTCCACTTAAGAGGACAATTCACGTTATGAATATTACAAAACTTTCAAGACTTTAGTTCAACCAGAAATATATATATCGGTACTCACTACGGAAAACGTGTATATCCCAATGTGTAACATTTATGGTAGTGTCTACATGCGTAACTCTCTCTTGTATATGGGCTGGAGGCCTTTTGTGCAATAAACTTCGTTTGACTTGACTTTGACTCTGTTAATGCATGTCGCTATAATTTATACAATACTTTATAATTATATCAATCATTATACATCAAAAGATTGGTGAGCAGCAAATGCAGCTTTATCGTGAAGTATATAAGTCGAAACTAGGATGAATATAAGTACATATGTATATGAATTGTACCTCAGTATCTTTCCTGCATGCAAAATGTGCGTTTAATAAGCATCTGAATACCTTGTGCAATGCAATAAATGCCAGTGACGATCTACTTGTTTCATTACTGGTACACACAATATCGGGATATTATTGTACTACACATGACCCCAAATGACGAATGCAATTTTGGATCAGAGCCTTTGTCATGCTATATTACATTGTAACTCAAAGGGCTTGATTATTCTAATCACGGCCTTGTGCTAACATGACAACAATCGATGGACCACATTTAAAACCCCAGAGTTTAACTTGTGTAATCATGTAATAAAAGACGTTTACAAAGACCACCAGGGAATGTCTTTTATTGTTCAATCTGTTTTTTTACACGCATCCCATGTTACACTCAATGAACACTCGACATGATACGAGATTCACTGTCGCCACACAGTACACAGTGGTCCTGACTGTAAATCTAGCCGCGCCGTCCTCTCACGCATGACTCCCTCCCGGGTATATCACTTCCTTGTTGCCCACTATGGCGGTTGTGAGGACTCTGCTTGTGTGGGTGGCTGTGGCAGAGTGTTGGGTACAGCATACGACAGGTGAGTTGATAGTTTACCCCACTACTTATATCTACCAAAGTAAGCTTTCTACATGTTCTTGTCATGTGTAATTCATGTATATATTGTATCACTGTAACCTCATTTACTGATCAAATACCAAGGAGTTTTCATCTTGGATCTTCGGATAAAAACATATAGGATTATTCCTGTGCGAATTTTTAATATTCTCATTATCCAGGACTGTACAAAGGTCGTAAGAAACGTTCACGTTCATATGTATACATGTATCTTTGTAACTGACAGCTGTACAGTCAGACCACAGCTAACCCATTATGGCCTGTAAATTTATAGTGACAATGACGAGACGAGCTGATGGGGAGTCATCTTGTTACTGTCACATGATTTTGAAAAGAGGGCAGGCTCGAAAACATGTGACGCGGGGCTATATATAAAGTTGCTTTTCAATTATTAGTTTAGGTAACCCAAGGGAAGCTTGGTGGCTTTTCTAAGCTCGGCTACGATACTGGCAGGTAATGTTAGACTGACAATTTTCCCGTTATTGGGTCGCTTGTTTGATGGCGTACAGTGCGCAAGTGAACGAGGTGCAAACCTAATAACTGCGTTTTGAACAGAAGCATTTTTTAGCGATCAGGTTTTTCTGATTTGCAATATTTAGGCTGTTCATCAGTCGGGATTTTGTTGATGTACCGCTCATTGATAATTTTTATCGTAAGTGAATAGTATCCATGCACTGGGCGACGGATCTTCGAGGCCACAATATCTAAGGATGCTACATAAAGAGTATCAGAAATATGAACGGTAAAATCCTTGAATGGTTAATTAAGATTTGTTTAGGTTTTGGGAACAGAAACAAAAACACAATTGATTGGTTAGTGTTTATGCAGTTGTGTTTCTCAAAATAAAGAAGTTGACATCCATACATTCTCTTCCATATACATGTATCACTTTTAATATGATGATCCTCAGCAAACCTTAAGCAATATTTACTATGAGTTGGACATTGAAGGTGAAAAGGACCCAGATAGGATAGATTAAGGGGAATTATATGTTATAGATTATGAAAGACAAACGACAATAAAGCCAATAGTGCACATGACATATTGGATCATCATCACACATAAATGCGGATTGTACGTTTATGACTCACACGTGACTTCTCAGTTGCAAAAACGATACACGTGTGTTTGTGTGTGTGTGTGTGTGTGTGTGTGTGTGTGTGTGTGTGTGTGTGTTATGCCTCAAAGTAAGATTGACCAGCAGAGAGCAGAACTACTGACCTCCATATGCGCCCGTTTACCGTCAGTAGCAACAATTTTGGATTTTCTAAAACCGATCTCACATATTTCACATGACGGTTACAGAATTCAATATTCGACACTGTTTTGCGTTTGAATATCATTAAGTTTGATGTGCAAGGACATTAATATTTTTTGGGATCACGTTCGTGACTTTATTGATAAAGATTATAGTTAAAATTATCGGCCTCTAAGGTTTGAAGTTTAGTCTCCCTTTAACCCTCAACGTCAACGGTTGTAAATGTCAAGTTTTCATTTTGACATGACACGATATATAGCAACTAAAGACACCATAACATGGTATTGTATGGTATGGTACATATGTGTGTGTGTGTGTGTGTGTGTGTGTGTGTGTGTGTGTGTGTGTGTGTGTGTGTGTGTGTGTGTGTGTGTGTGTGTGTGTGTGTGTGTGTGTGTGTGTGAAAGGAATAATAATAATATATGTATATCTGTTTCATATTTTGATACCATATTATAACAAAAACACAATTTTGTGGATCATTGACTTCGCGCCATAAGTATTATCTCATTATATACGCACAAGCATGCATAGCCAATCAGTACTTATATATATACTTATACTTATATATATATTGCCTATTTTTACTCCTATCACTATAATATATATCACATATAATACGGACAGTCAATTGTCACCGGTCAGCCTGGTAGGATGGCCGACAGCACTCAACACCTTTTCTCATGTTGACGTTTCATGTAACAGGCAAATAAATACATTTTAAAGAAATTCCGTCTTCAATACTTGTCTGGGACGACTAGAAGCCCGAACCTGCGACACATATAATTTATGTATGTGTGTGTGCGTGTGCCTGCGTGTGCCTGTGTGGGTGTGCCTGCGTGGGTGTGCCTGCGTGCTTGGGTGTGCGTGCCTTCCTGCCTGCGTGTGCGTGTGTGCATCGGTTGGTATCTGCGTGACTGTGTGTGTGCGTGCGTACGTGCGTACGTGCGTGCGTACGTGTGTGTGTGCGTGCCTACCTACCTGCCTACCTGCTTACCTGCATGTGTGCCTTACGTGTGTGCAATGTTGTAATGCAGCTAGTTTTAAATTCTTTATCCAAGAAGTACTGATTCGAAGATATTTGTGAATTTGATCGAGAATGTATGTCTGCTGCTGTCAGTATTAGATGTATTTCACCTCTGTGTATGTTTTACAGGTTCCTGTCCAACCGGAAAGTTCGGGGACTCCTGCTTCTACTCCTGTCACTGTGGAGACTCTTGTGACCAGACAACAGGAGTTTGTGGAGGCGGCTGTGATGCTGGTTGGGTGGGAGGACATGAAGCTACCTGCCAGAAAGGTGTGATTTACAACGAAATTGATTTGGAAACAAAGACAGAAAGTGCCCTTATCATTCTTTTTAATCAGCCACATACTTACAATACTTATTTCAACACATTCTGCTTCATTAGTACAGCCTCCGGTGTCTTCTGGTAGAGCGTCCGCCGGGAAAGCGGAAGGTGCGATCCCCGGCCGCGTCATACCAAAATACGTTCAAAGATTCAAAGATGGTACTTGTTGATACCAAGCCTAGCACTGGTCATTAAGGGGTTAAAACAAGAACTGGTCGACACGGAGTCAGTATACTATAACCGCGCGCGCCCGCGCACGCCCGCACACATACACACACGGGTAGGTGCAATACCTGAAACCCATTTATGAGGTCCCCCCCCCCCCCCCCCCCCCCCCCCAAATTGGTACGAATGGAACAACACCGCTCACTCACTATCAAGTACAGGAATATAAAAACAATCGACAATAGCTACGGATAGTATGAATCTGAATATAGTGCATATTCATTTATTACTTATTTAACTTAATCTCCAAAATAGGTTGAACTGTTGATTTTCGAGTCTTTTATAATTCCGCATTACTTATTTTTGTGTCAGGACTTTTTTAATGCATGTACTCTTATGGTGACATATTACACTAATATGGTAGATTTACTTTTCAGTCGATAGGGTGAAAGTATGAACTTTGCCTGTGATGCATAATAAAAAGCGAGACAAGGTTATGGCATTTCCGATATTGAAAACAATCACTGTTTCGATTGAGATGAGTTTAAATTAAATTTCATTCTAGTTAGTTTACTTACATTTTATGCAAATTGTGTGAGTGGTGGGTACTATCAGTAGAGCAGGACATGCTTTCCGTTTCCGCGAACTCCTGGTATCATCACTAATTTTCCAGTTAGTATAATTGTCACCGCTGTGTTGCCTTTTACGCCAGGTGGAGAATCCGCCAGTCTCTAGAGATGAAGTTTTATATTTACATTTGTTAGTTTAATGGTTCCCTGAGACTATTTATTGAATGTAGTAGGTTTCAAATGTTTAAACTGCTGAGCATTGAATCCTCAATAACACATAAAACACGAGAGCACATAATGTTTATCAACATGGTAAATATAAAAGTAATCGTTGATTTCCCTATTATTCTCTTTCGATGGGTACTCAAACAGCTGTTAGACATACATGTCGTAACTCTGGTATGCCATGAAGTTATGATCCAATGGATGACGCCATATGCTTTCATGACAACTAACAGAATGCTGTACCAAATTTCAAAGACGTTTTTCTGACAACTTTAAATCAACGAAATTTTATGATTGATGCGAAATTCATGTCGCAATGCCGAATGCCATATATTGCAAATTTTGCACGAAGTGTAAAGTCCTAAAGATTCCCAGGCTTTGAACCCTATTGTTTCATCCAATCCGATTGTGACACACTCGGCAGGTGTAGTAGCCTTGTGGTTAAAACGTTCGCTCGTCACGTGTCCCCCGCCGTGATATTGCTTGAATGTTGCTAAAAGCGGCGTCAAACCATACTCACTCACTCCTTGTGACACACTCACCAATTTAGGAAAACTACAGTATACAGAACCATTCAGAAAGTTTGAAAATGAATATTTGATGCTGCAGAAAAGATAATATTTAAATGTGAAATAGGGTGAATAGATTCAAACATTTATGATATTCCGCTTGTCTTTAACAGCAGGTTTTACCACTGTCCCACAGGATCTATCAAGATCAAATTCCTCCCAAGTTTCAGCATTTACTTTTCCTCACATTAAATCGTTTAAACATTTAAATGTTGGAACTTTGCATACGTAAATACTGTTTCGCGCACATAATTGGGAAAATTTCATCATTCGTTTCTATGAAGATCACTTTTATAAATAGCTTTATGTCCCATTTTTTTAAAACGAGTATAAAGCATAGGCAATCCGAACAAAGATTGTCTTTTTACATGCATAAACATGGGCCAACAACAGAAAGATCCATTCTGGTCAGTTCTGGTGTTTGTTTGACATGTCTTTGAAAATATATATCCAAACAGAAAACATCGCGAAAGGGAAATCAACAACATCTCCTTCTGGAGTGTGGGATGCTGCAAGGACTCCAGACAAAGCTGTAGATAGGAACCGGGACCAACATGTGCTTAACAACTGCTGCTTCCACTCTCTTTGGAATCCGACTGGAATCCAGGCAGGGGAACAAGTACCATCGTTTAACATCTTTTTGTATGACGCGTCCGGGGATCGAATGACAGCAATCATAAATATAGTTATAGGCACAATATCTGCTTTTAGAAGACAAAAGGCGCTCATCTTGAATTTTCGGTGGCTTACGATTTTTCTTCTTCATTTCCCAAAGGCGACCAACCATACACATTTCTATGCTTGTATCAGCATTTGGACACAGCTTCACTATACAACAAATATAAGAAATAGGTTAAAATTAGAAGTTATTGCTCTTTTCATGTAGAAAACGTGGCCTACAATAAACATGCAACGACTCCTTCTGGACTGTACTACCATGACCCTCCCTGGTCTGCAGACAAAGCTGTAGATGGGAACCGGGACCAGGATGTATTCAACAACTCCTGTTTCCACTCTGAGTTTAAGGACTCTAAAGCTGTGTGGACAGTGGACCTGGGACAGCCGTACATGATACACGACGTCAGGATATACAACCGGGCAAGATGTATGTATATGATATATTGGGGCTGTAGAGACATTCAAATGTTTCATGTACTGACATTTATCTTATGTAAACATATTTACAGAAATACACTACTTCACAAAATCTGCACAAGGATATGTCAGCAAATGTAGGTTTCCCCTTTTCTAACAATAATATTTGGACCATCTTCACGGCATGAAAAATCGACTGCTTCGTTTTTGGTATTTTTGTCAATATCAGTTTCAACAAGTGCTACATATTATCAGTTGTGGTGTCTTTATTTGCTGTATAATGTGTCATATTAGGTTAGCAGAGAAATATGTTTCTGCTAACCAAATATGACACCGCATACGGCAACTAAAGACACCATAACGAATTTATTATGCCGAAAAGTTTACACTATCTGGTCTCCATATCGCACATGTCATGTCAGAATGAAAACTTAACACTTACAACCGTTGACGTTAAGGGTCAAAGGGAGACTACTCTTCAAACCTTAGAGTCCAAACCATGGTGACAATTACTTATATCCTTGAACATCAAAATTAATTATATTAAAACACAAAACAGTGTCGAATAACGAATTTCTTTTCTAGAATTTTCATGTGAAATATGTGAGTTGGATGTTGGAAAATCCAAAATGCCTGTAATGACGGTATACGATTTCACATGAGGTCAGTAATAACCATCTTGAAATTTTACTGACGGTATACGGGCTCATTTCGGATCGGTAGTTCTGCTCTCTGATTGGTCATTTTATGCATTGTACTTCGGGCTTCGTCTATTTATTTTTTTCTGGATTACCTATTGAACAGGATTACCTGAAAATTTGTGACCGGCTTGTTATTCCCTTAATATGTCAATCCTTTACCTAAAACACGTTAACGAACTATTCGATTTTAAATATTGACTTTGCACCAACCTGAAGACTCTGATAGGATCCTAGTTAGTGGGCGTATATTTGAACATTAGCACCTCCATGGATATTGTGTCCACTCACTAGTCATATTTTCATTATTTAAAACTTAATTAAAACGGAATAAGAACATAATACCCCAGAATTTACATGTTGCAGTTCCATTTCCCCTTTTGAACTTACATTTATCAAACAATTGCAGTCGTCCTTAATGGTTGCCTTAAAGAATTAATATTTTCTTATACATTAAATTGAAAGTGTTTTTGTGACATACACACAATGTTGTCTTCAGTAATACACAAATTTTCTCTTTTTGCTTTCGGGCCCTTGTAATGGTTCAAACTCTCCTCAGTGGAATGTATTTTGAAATACGTGTACGGCACTGCTCATATTATTATCAGTCTTTTCCCATCATTCAATCGTAACTTCGCATTCCAATAATAGTATCCTTGATATATTGTTTATAATTATCATTGATCCTTCGATTGTCTGTTTTGTTTACAGGCCGTCGTCGCACAACAGAAACACTATAATAATAAATACTAACTTGTTCATGCCAATTGTGTGAATGGCGGGTGCTACCGGTTGGGCAGGACATGCTTACCCTTTTGTGAACACCCGGTGTCAACGCTGATTATGTAATAGTTCAAACTGTACTTCTGTACATTCCGTCTATGTTGTTGTTATAGGTTTTGGCATTTTTGTCAAATGACACATAAAAAATTTGACAGGTTTTCCGTGTTTCCTCTTCTCAATGAGAAATGCATGTATCTGCCGATGCACGACGGGGGCTGTCTGTCAGTGACGAGATCTTGTCAAAACAAGGTTTGATTAAGTAACCTTATGAACCTTTTTGGAAACCCGTCTTCTTTATCAATGCTAGATAGTGTATGCTGTGTAAATCGGACAGAAATATAACTGCAATAATGTGATCTTTACAGTTCTTTAACAGAACTATATTTTTCACGCGTAACAACACGTTAATTGGGTAATGCGGTTGGAATGCGGTTTTTTCACACGCGGATTGATACAAAACAGCTGATTCTTGATCGGCGACAGTTGATTGTTTTTTTCTTGAAACATGTCTTTAATATGAATATGGGTAAGAAATAGAATAACCCACTCGGTACGAGTGATTACGGAAATATGTCACTCGTGAAATTAATGTTTTAAGCTCCTCGCTAAAGCTCGGAACTTAAAACATTAATTTCACTCGTGACATATTTTCCGTAATCACTCGTACCTTTAATAAAAAATATGCTTTTACAGTTTCGCATGTCCATGGTCAATGTTCGTGTATATTCCACCTCCAAAACCATCACAAAACGTTTGCCAGTTTTGATGAGATATGAAAGGCACACATAATTTCTACTAACATGGTTCATGAGACATAAAATTTGAAAATATAATCTCTTAAAATGCGACAACTATGTCATACATACATTCTTATGATATTGTCGGAATCGTATAAACGACTCTGCCTTTATCAGATATGTTTTAGGATTAGACAAATGGATTTGTCGCTTTTATTTACTTCATAATCGTCACTTTATTTAAGGTTAAAATGATCACCATTTCAGATATTGCCAGACTCCAAACTGCTGTCCTCTCTCTGCGTAATTACTCCACACCCGGCGCCACCTGCTACACCTTCCCCTCTGACACAGTCGAAACAAGCAACAGCGTGTACGACGTGACGTGTAACGGCACAGGGAGATACTTCACCATCACACACAAAAAACAGACACTTAATCTGTGTGAAGTGGAAATCTTTGGTATGATTAAATATTTTGTTTGTTTTGTTGATCAATCTTCGAATCAGATATGCCATTCCACCATGACTGTTTAATCAGGGGGCAGTGTTATGCAACAGGATATTTTTATTTTCAGTTGCCCCTCTGTGATGTGTTGCTATATACATTCTTCTTTCGCAGCAAGTCCCCGTGTTACATAAATAAGCTAATACTTGTAACATACATAACATCTTTGAATTACTAGTATTTAAGTTTCTTGATGCTCTGATGCCAGGAGTGGTCAAGTGGATCAATATTCCACACCTCTCTGTGTATAATTTCATCCTCTGATCGCCTGATTATGGTCAGCATCATTCCAGTGTTAATGTGTTTCTATTTCTCCTATCAATGTCAACATTTCACGTTTCTTAACGACCAACTGTATAAAGCAGAAACAAGAACAACGCCAATGCACAATTCTATTATGTATTTAGTCTGCAGTAACGGAACCTTTGGCGAACTTTGCAACCATTTCTGCCATTGTTCTGACGGGCCTTGTGGCAGATTCAGTGGGGTTTGTGCTGGAGACTGTAGACCAGGGTGGCAGGGACAAAACTGTTCTACTGGTAAGGAACAAACTTAATTATTGCTGTAATATTGGATATATTTCTTGTATGAGAACAATGAGAGTAAACTTGAATACCTAAGTCTTAATAATAATGTATAATGATAACCATTTACCTCATGTTTCGAATGATTCTGAGCATCCTCTCAACACACGCTAAAACGTAATGTGATACCTTTCATTTCTAGCGTGTGATAAGGACCAATATGGCGTCAACTGTAACGAGACATGTGGAAACAGGAAATGTGCTGCTGCTCCGTCGTCATGTGACCGGCATACTGGGTCATGTGATACTGGGTGTCTTCCTGGGTGGACAGAGGTGGACTGTAAACAGGGTACACCATCACCATTCTTCTGTATAAACAGACAGATACACATAATGTTTGAACGTTGTATTGTCACGTAGATTACTGTGTACAGAAAGCTGAACGTGGAGTATCTGTACATATGCACACACGTCACCCTGGGGAAGTACATCGTAGGTCAATCTATAGGAGATGAAACTTTGTTTCTGGCTGTTCACTTAAACTAAGCTAAAATTCCTTCTCTGTTATGCTTCAAAAAGATTATCACAAGGATAACCTTCTATCGCCTCACAGGCAGCTTGGGTTGCATAATCTCCAGGGAGACGAGAATGAAAATCGAGTTTTCACTGATCAATTGACCGGGATAACAATAGTAATTTGCGCTATGAGCATCCACTAGGTGAATGGAATCTGGCGCATTATAAATGCAATTATTATTATTATTATTATTATTATTATTATTATTATTATTATTATTATTATTATCATTATTATATCAGTATTATTATTATTAATGATAATAATACTAATACTATTTAGATGTAAGTGTACTTGCTGACCACTGGATCTGCATCCTTGTGTAATATGTAAGAATGGTATGTATGCACGGATCATTACGTTAACTTGGACATGCTACAGTCACGATAACACGGCTATATGGTGCTAATGACGAGACACGTTGTATATATGACGATATTGCGTATACTTTTACAGAATGTTCCCCTGGGACCTATGGGCAGAACTGCAGCTTGCTATGTACTGACAGGAACTGTGCAGGAAACTCGTCATGTGATCACGTGACAGGAAAATGTGTTACTAGATGTAAAACAGGATGGATGGGCATAGACTGTATACAGGGTAAGTCTGTATAGCCAATCAGTTAGTGTGTTATTTCATTTTAATATTATGTTTTTTACAGGTATCAATGCCAATAATGATTGTATACATATTTGTTCATGTTGCAGCTTGTGAACCTCATCGTTATGGTCCAAACTGTGATAAGGCCTGTGCCTCCAGACACTGTGTGGGGAACTCTTCCTGTAACTCAACAGGGGGCTGTGACAGCGGGTGTGAGACAGGGTGGACACTAAACGACTGTACAGGTATGATTCTGTCGGCCAATTCCAAGAGGATTCGGTCTGTAGTGAAGAATGCAGTGCCTATCGATAGTACACACAGTTGACACATTTCAACTTAATTAGCGGAACATCTTTTCTTTGCAGCCTGCGACAGTCAACATTACGGAGATAATTGTGTCAAGACCTGTTACTCCAGACACTGTATAGGGGACTCATCCTGTAACACAACAGGGCACTGTGACAGCGGATGTGAGGCAGGGTGGTCACTACCTGACTGTACAGGTATATAACAAACTTGTATTGTGCTACTGGGAACATATTTCAAACAGTAAAACGACAGAATAGTCAAGGAATGTCTCTTAGCATTGTTAAAATGAAAGAACATAATTATAAGTAATGCTGTATTTAGTTCCCAAGGCGAAATGATATAACAACACATAACATCTAACCTTGATGTCTCTACTGTTATAAATACTTTGTTGACTATGGATATCACAATATGTTCAAATTATCTTCTCAAAAGCATAAATTAAGTGTACATCAAAAGTGCAGCATCAATCCAATGTGTATCAAGCGTCATGCTGCGGAAATTCATAGTATTGTGTGTAATGTACATGTATCAGTCTAGCATCTGCTTGTCCCGTTTTACCCAAACAACCACCTAAGTGAAATTTGCTCGGAATAAAACACTCATCAAAACTAAGAACGTCTTGTCTCTAGATACAGTTTCTTTGCTCAATATTATGGCACATGGTATAGTACTTATGTGAAAGTAATTATGTTAACTGTGTCTTATGCAGTGTATGTGAATAATATACAAACGAATCAAATCCTAGGCTAAACTGATGTCCTCCCATTTCTCTAAGAGCGTGCATTATTCACCAGAAATGAAGAATCCTCACTTGTTTTTTCTACAGTGTAATCATTTTAGTTCTGAGAAACAAATACCAGGAATACCAATCCTGTTCTAAATAGTAATGAGCAGCCACGAAGAAGAAGCATTTGAAAACACTCTCTCTCAAAGTTAGCCGACGAGATCGTCCATATTTCCAAATTATCATCAGACATTTCACGTTGTTATTGTCATCCCGGCTATATTATGTGTCTGTTCAAGTTTGGAACATATGTCATATTAATACAGTTTCACCCATTTGTTGACATACTTCCAATACAAACTTTCTCAAGAGGCCATTGCATCAACTGGACCTGATCCCGATGACTCCATACCAACATACGTTGGGGCTGCAGTGGGTGTCATCCTGGCGGCCCTTGTGCTGGTTCTCATCATTTTCATCATAAGGTTCGTACTAATTATAACAATGTATGAAGTCTTTATTTCGATCTTTTAGGTATGGCTCAATACAAAGGATGTTTGGATGATAATATAAAAATATATTTTACTTTTCATAGACGCAGAAGACAAAGGGAAAGGAAACATTCTAATGATGGACTTGTCCAGAGACCTCGAAAGGAGTCTAAGGCACAATCAGGTATTGATAAACGTTTTTGGACGTTTAATAAAGTCTGATAATAAAGGATGTGTAATTTATGTAACATCTTTTGGGCAGAGACATTAAAACTGCCAAGAGAATCACTGTCCACAATTGTTTCGGTGGATAATCGAGACTGCTTATAATTATTCTCTGGGCGTTAACGTTTCAGATGCAGGAAATGTCTATATGAATGTTGGATTCGCTGAAGAGAAACAAGCTCAGGTCCAGACGAAGGGATCGGTTGGAAAACGTCCAAGTGTGGTAACTTTAGAGGAGGAGGACGATGATGCACACGCTACAAAACAACAAGGGGAAGCACCGGAAATCTCTGACAGAAACTACTACAACCTGGATGATGCTGGCGTTGGTCATGTGATCTCTGTGTCTTCTCTAGAGGCAAAAGTTAAAGATTTTGAAGAAGTACCACAACTGGTAGAAGGGGAATTCAAGGTTGTATATTTTATTTAAAACATAATTTGAACTCATATGAACGGACACGAAGATAACATCCAATTAACATATACAAACGTAAAACCAGAACAGCTAACCCATAGAGAATGATGATGATAAGGATACTTCTTTCTCCACAGCGTCTCCCAGATGGCTTCATTCATCCTTACGGGGAATCACAGATGCCCCAAAATAATGGGAAGAACAGATTCAAAGGATATTATCCATGTAAGTTGAACATCAAAGAAAACTGTAACTTGATTTCAATTTACCATACCTACATGTACATATTTACCGACCATATACTTATGGGGAATCTGCGCCCACAGATGACAACAACCGTGTGGTACTGCAGGATGATGGTGATAGCGGAGATTACATCAACGCTAGCTACCTGGACGTGAGTTACAATATCGAATGCCTTCGTAAAGCTTTCAAACTGTGTTATGGAAGACATGTCAACAAATTTGATGATGCATAACTGACCAAAATGATGTCCGAAGCAATTCCCTATTTCAACCTGTATCATATGTTTACGTGCTTATGCAGGTGACACTTGCCTTCTCCTGTGTTTGTGACATGTGCCATCCTTTCACGAAAATCTGGTATCATCACTCTGTTCATAAATATATGTCTATGATGAAGTCAGAATATTACTATCGATTAAGCTTATAGAAGACATTTCTAGGATTTTCTCGTCTATGGAAGAACTTTGTTTACCACCGAAGTGAACTTAATGATAGTGATTGTGAGAGTTTGATTTAGCGCTGCGTTGAACAGCATAGCAGTGATCCCACAGAGTGACCTTATGCAGGAGGAAAATATGAACGTTTATCGTGTGGTATAACCCACGAGCTCGAGTACGGGTACGTTGATGACGACACAGGTAATTCAAACTGCAGACCATAGCATCCTGGCATGGCCAAGGGGCACAATTCTGCACAACAATATTAGAGAAACTTATATTAATAAGCCAGTTTCATTAATATGTTGTTTTTTGACAAGTTGTGTTTACTTTCATATTCACATTTTCTCTCAGGGCTACAAAAGAGTCAGACGTTATATAGCCGCACAAGGTAAACTAGCTGCAAAAGCACTCATTAGGGATCCAGCCAATCAAACTAATGTATTGTAATTACATGTTTATGATCTGATCAAAATATGTATCAACAGTTAACATCGATACGAAACGAGCCAAATATTGTATTATGAATGATTATTGCATGAACAATTGATTTTAAACTATTGAACTATTGACCAATTGCTACATGAAACGATCAACCGTGTTTAAAGAACAGTGAACATCTGTGGTAAAGGTACTCCTCAAACAACCGCAATACCAGTGCAATAAGTGAGTTTAATTTCTGTCATACAGTTTCTACTGCAAGCATACATGTATGATATCACGAACAATGACTTTGTATCAATTTCCTCTCCAGGCCCCTACAACTCTCAAGTGGTGGTCGACTTCTGGAGAATGATCTGGAAGGAGGAATGCAGAACTGTTGTTATGGTAACTGGTCTCGTTGAGGGAGGCAAGGTAAGCATATTTGGACACTGAAATAATGATATTATGAAATTGTTAAGGCGCAGGCTGTTTCTTATTTGTGTATTCCTGTTTTAGGTCAAGTGTCTTCGGTACTGGCCTGAGAAAGGCACCAAGACGTTTGGAGATGTTATGGTGACAATGGTATCGGAGACACGACTGTCAAACTACACAATCACAGAGCTGTCTGTGGAGAGTGAAAAGGTAACATGCGTCCTTTACCCTGATACTATCAGTTGCATATTGGTACGATTATAGCTAGAGCTGTTGATGCTATAGTACGAACATAAATATTCCGATCACCCGCAGTTTTGTTTAATAATGCAATTATAATGTAAAATATCCCCGCCAGCACGCATGGGCGTTGGGATTAGAGTAGCCCATGTAAAGGAGCTTGTAAAGGGTTTGCCAACTGGGTTCGAATTGCGTCCCAACAAACATTTCCCTCAATTTACAGATGTAATCACGCTAGTGTGTTTTGGGGATATTTAAGTATCATGTATCAGGAATATACATTGCATTTAGCGATGATATTTACCATCCCAAAATATAAAAGCGTTAACCTCGTTATCATATTATGTCAGTGTAAGACTCTATCGTCACAAACGGTCTCACTACATTGCAAGTTCTCCTTCCATCTTGTATTTTAGCTAGCCGCATCACTACCAGGTAGGCAAAAGAAATATGCCACACATGTTTCGCGTCAATCCGTCGGTCCGCCCGCTTGATTCATTGCCCTTTATCAACGGGAAGCTACTCCAGTCTTTGAGTCGTGACGCCTGTTGGCCTGGTCATTGCATTGTCATAACATTGCATAATGCAGCCAGATGTCATACACACCGACAATATGAACCATAGTATAAATGCAGTTTACCGGACATTGTTCGCCATTGTGGTGAGGGTTGAGCACAAGCTCCTTCTTTGCAGTTTCAAAGTTTTAGAGGCGCCATGCTCAACAGAGCTAGTTGTTTAACATTCGAGGAACGATCACATGATGCCTGGGTCTACAAGCACGGATATAGTAACTGATCCTTCTAGCGCCCTCGCTAAATTGCTTCACAATTCATTTCTCCAAGGTTGTCCACACATCTAAAAGGCCTCAGGTACGCCCCTGTTAGACATAGGTTTTTGGCATCTGAAATATTATTCGGATAATCATAACAATCCCCGATGGTAAATTCTGACTCGATAGCCGATAGACAAGTGCAAGCTCACTATATGATAACAAGTATACCAGTATACATCTATATGAACGAAAAAAGGGACTGTAAGTTAATATTTTTAAGTTCAATAACAATAAATGTAATAATGCATCTTACAATACATACTCATGAAGACATCTCCTCGACTTTAAGGTCGTGATTCCCAATTTGCACCTACAATTTGGATGTATAACTGTACATAACGCTTTTTCAATGCCACGGGTTCCTGTAAAATAACGTCTACGCGACGCGGGGTACACTGCAAACAGGAATGGCGCCAAACGAAGTTGGCAGACATTTTAAGCTTCATCGAAACACAATATTATCTGTTTGGAGATCTTATCTACAGCAGGGCACATTGATGACTTGTCACGGGCCGGTCGTCAACGTGTGACGCATCTTTAACAAGACAACCAAATGCGGTTGGTGCATCTACAGAATCGATACAAAGTTCCACATTATCAGCTCGAACAATTCTTGGGTTGAGACCAGATAGTGGCAGATCCATACGCAACCGGTTGATACAGCACAACATTCGGCCCCGATGCCGAGCGAAACGCCCATATGTTCTTCCACGTCACCGTAGATCATGTTCTACCCTTCGTGCAAATGTCACTTGACAGAAGGATAATGCTCGCTTACATGTTGCACGTGTTCTAACAGATTTTTGAGGCAGCATACCGTTGCTGTATTGCTTTGGCCTGCTGCTTCTCCAGATCTCTCCCTATAGAACATGTATGGGATGAGACGTCTACCACAGGACCCGAATCAGCCGGTTACGCTAGCTCAATTGGGACAATCCTTGATTGACATTTGGAAGAACATTTCCAATGCTGTTTTCAATCGTCCGGTGTCTTCAATCCACCGCTGCTCCGCCCCTTTATCAACGCAAATGGTGGTCACATCCGATATTGACAATGTTAAGTAACTTGTTACACTAACCCACATTTAGAACGTGTCGCTCTTTCTCCTCTTAACAGGTATAGGGCTTGTCAATGAATACAGTAGGATAAAACCTTGATCAGTCGAATGACCAAACATAAGATTTACAGCAACATATATGAAGCACAGTTACATTTGTTGTGTTGACTGTTGATTCTTGTCATGAATGTTTGTGTTATTTGAGTGAAGAACGGGCTGTTAAACATTATTTTGCCTAATTTACACTGATAAATTTATGATAAATCATTTCATTTGTAAAATTCGGCAAAGTGTATACATTTTGTTCCTGCCGACACTATATTGTTCCTTTTTAAGATGGTATAAAGGGACAAAAGCCTTTCCATATCCAATAGAAATCTCTGCAATAAGCAGAGTCGATTGTACCATTCCGACAATATCATAAGTATGTGTTCATGAATCACTATCAAATAGTAACGATACAAAGTGTTCACGAAATGGTGAGCGTATCCTGCCCCACCGGTGGAACCCGTCACAAACACATGCGAAGGCAAGTCAATTATTCACCTAATATGGTTCGATTCAAAATAGAGAATTGCATCGGACATCGCTTTTGACAGTGATGCGTCAAATTTGTAAATGTCCTTCACATGTCTACCATACAACTTTTTGAAAGCTTTACTGAGGCTTTGAATGTTTTAACATTGATCAAACAACTTCTGAGCATGCTCGGTTGTATCTCAATAGTTGTGAAATGTAAACATCGAAGGCTGAAGCTGCTGGAATATTGCTCGACATGAAGGGAAAGTTGACTTTTGGAAAGTTGAAGTCATCCGTCTTGTCATACAGTCTTGTGGAAAATGTTTTGTCACTCTGAATTAGGCCGTTTTGATTAGAGACGAGGAAATATTACTCGGTATTATAATGTTCGATTTGAATCAAAACGTTTGCACGAAAAGGGATTTACATATCATAAATCATTTAAAATTTATTTAATTATTTATTGAACGACTCAATAATAATTCCCAAACTCTTTCTTGGCAATATTGAAGGATTAGTATTAGGGAAACTGCTGCACGTGTATACATGAAATTTAGAATAGATACCTCAAATGTATATACATGTGGATACACATGCATGAGGTAGTGATGGCACAAAAGGGTTGCATGTGATATGCAAGGACAAACACATAACACTTTCACAGAAACAACCAATCAAGGTCACATATGGGCTATACACATTTATCAACTCAGTTGGGGCCTATGGACAAATCCGAACGGGGCCGCAAAGGGCTATACATTCAGGACCCATTTCCATGCACACATTGACCCCAAGTGGACCCGAGTTATTTTTGTTGGCTGCATTCATGTCCAGTAGTGTTCATTAAGTGTTGTTATTGCGTGGTCAGGAATGCAAGAAACGGGACGTTCACCACCTCAACTTCACCAGCTGGCCAGACCATGGTGTGCCGGACACTGCTGCCCTGCTGGACTTCATGTGGAGGACCGAAGCCATATCTGGACAACAAACAGAGCCGATCGTGGTCCATTGCAGGCATAATACAATACATCTTTTGCACCTTATGATTCTGGGATAGAACAGGCCCCCTTAAAACCTATGACCGTAAAAGGCGACTATGCTTGTCGTAAGAGACGACTAACGGCATCGGGTGGTCAGGCTGACTTGGTTGATTCCTGTCATCGATCCCAATTTAGTGGATCGATGTTCATGATGTCAATCACAGGATTGTCTGGTCCCGACTCGATTATTTACAGACCGCCGTCATATAGCTGGAGTATTGCTGAGTGCGGCGTTAAACAACAACCAAACAAACAAACAACCTGAAATTGTCGTTGGAGGCGATTAAATGGATTCCTCGTCAGGCCGTCAGGCCATCAGTCACGATGGATTGCGTGATGACGTGGAACGTTTCTAATTATATCACTCACTGGATTGCCAGGTCGAAACGCAATGATGTTGACGCCTCAGCCTTATTGCTGGAATGCTAATGAATGCGGCGTTAAAAAAATAAATAAGTCATACTTCTTTTGAAATGAATTAGTAGCACATAGTACTCATTTTGTTCACCATCACATGTTATCATTTATTTCGGGATCAAAAGAGAAGCAATGATTTCTCAGATAAAACTGATAACGAGCTTGTTTTGTATCTAATCCTTTCAACATGCGGCTATCATAAAACTGCTTGTTAACGTCAAACAGACACACGTACAGTTTATCAAACTTGAAACGTTCTTCTTCCCTTAGTGCTGGTATCGGTCGGACAGGGACGTACATCGCTATCGAGAGTCTTGTGGAACAGGCAAAGTCAGAGGGTGTTGTGGACGTCGTTAGCTTCGTCTCCAACATGAGAGGGCAGAGGAAGAACATGATTCAGACAAAGGTATTTACGATCGGTGATGTCTACTCATTGCCTGATCACAATAGTGAGATGGGTACTTTTATATAATAGGCGATACATGTTTCATAATCCGTATGATTGCGAAAATACATTTATCAAATAGTGGATGGTATCTTGCCTATGCATGTGTCTTTGTGTATATGCAGGAGCAGTACCTGTTCGTGTACCAGGCGGTGGCGAGGGCGGTGACAGAGGGTGACACGTCACTGGACGCTGACGTCCTCAGGCAGATGGATCTGGATCACGTGTCTGTCAACTTTGGAAACAGGACTATACAACAACATCTGGAGGTGCTTGACATTACTGTGTATATGTCTTGTTAATAGATGTAGCATAGGGAGTGTCCGAGTGTCACAAAGAGTGCGAGCAGGAAAACTATAACGCTATAATCAGCATACCATATTGTCGGGAATGGATCAGAGAAATCGTGGCAAAATAGCGTCACATTGTAGAACTCTCACCAAAGCAAACTGTTGATACATGTACGTCTGGGATGACAAAATGGATGTTACATGTCCACATCGTCTGACAAGGAGATGAGATAAAGTGTAATTTAACAAGAAAATAAATCTGTTCTATTCTTTATGTATTTTCTTACGGATCGTTTCTTACTCTGAAAACCATGGTTTCATTACGTCAGATTGAAAGGGTTTCCGGCATAGAGTTATTTGGCTCGAGTGAAATATTGATTTCCAAATATGTATTGTATTTTCATTACTGAATGCAGTATATTTAATTGCTTTCCAGGCGTTGAGGAATGTACACGAAAGTGAGTACACGTCAGAATAATGAACCCCCAATATATATTGTATAAGTTAAAAGTTACAAAATTGTAATATTTCTGTTATCATAAGAAATCTCTTTTTAAAGCAAATTGAATTTGTGACTCCTTAAAACAGATGGGTACATAAGTAGAGTCATATGTGCAGCACTGTTCCTTTTTCTGTTTGAACATACTGTCTGTCATACATCGATGTCATTTTGTGTCAGCCTGTTGATAATTTACTTTGTTCTGGACTTGTAGGTTATTATATAGGTTGATGCATAATAATCTAAGAGGTCACACACAGGGATATATGTTCATATATTTTCGTCATGATAAATTGAAGATATTTAATATTTTATGCAACTAAGTGTGAGCGATTCGTTTTCAGGAAACACCGAGGGCGTCAACGTCAGAAGCGTTCACGTAAGTGTCATAGAATGCTTATGCAGGTTGACTTGACAAGATTGTATGTTGTGCATGTCATGTTGATTGGAATATCAAACCACGTGGAGTTATCTCCCTTGTAAAAAGCACATGTTGAGTCAGACATTTTAAAGTGTCTTTGATGGAGACCTGTCTTGGTCATTGATGTCTTACAGTAAGTGGGAAGATGCAAAATTGTACCGTTGCATAATGTCTTTAGTTTGTCTTTATAATTGTATCACAATGTGCATGTTTCTTATGTTGTATCAAACACATATAAAGAGAAATGAGAATAACGCCTCAGCTGAATGTGCACGATAATTAATTTTCCTGTTATTTGCTTACAGTCTTACACAAAGCGTAATGGCTTCTTCATAATGACGTCACATCCGGACAAGGAGGAAGTTTGGAATCAGGTTTACAACAGTGACTCGCACTGCCTGCTCACGTTTGCTGTCGGTGATCTGGTTGGTTTTACACTCTGAAATGATTTTACCTGAAACACATAAGATAATATGATTGAGGGAGCGAGTGATAGAGTTGGATTTACTCTAAACAAGATTACTACCATACCATAAATGGATGCAGGTTTCAGAAGTTTAACTCTTTGATGAAACCCAGCACGAGAACCGAATGTAGATGACAAGCCGAGTAAGTTAAATCAGGGACTGATGCGGCGAGGGGTCAAAGGACTTGCATCAGGATAGAGTTCAACATGTACTTGCTTTATTTTTTTAAAGCAGCCAATCCGAAAATGCACAAAATGCGTTATGCCTGGTCAGAACTTGTATTGCTTCTTTCAATTGTTTTAATATTTCAATCTGTTTCTAGAGTTATCTACCATCAGTTGATAGTCCCATTACAACAGAGAGGCTTGCAGTGAGCATGCGCAGTTCCACTGCTATGTCTCATGACATTTTGCTGAATACAATTGATATCAATATAAAGGTAAGCCTGTGAATTTTTTTTTTAGTCTTCTTGAGAAAGTTAAATGTTTGAAAATGCATTGTTCGGCTATAATATGGAGAAGGACCTCTACTGACTCTATTAAAGTGAATACAATGCTTTGTACAGTGAACAAATAAAGTCCACCTTATCATTATTTCAGGACTGTGACGATACTACCACCATACAGCACTATCACATCACAGGCAGTGCACGAGACCCGAATATCAGCTGGCTGATTGACAGTTTCCTTACATGGACTAGTGATCCACAACGAAGTTCCAGCACTATCATCTCTGAGTAAGTACATCAGTCCTTATGACATCCTTAAGGTGTAAAATAAAACAAAATGTCATCACTTGAACACTGATGATATAAAGATTTGTGAGGAAGAATTGTTGCCACTTTATCTGAGATGAGGACCTCCTCCGTGGTGTAGTGATAGAGCGTCCGCCCGGACGCTTCATACCAAAAGACGCTTAAAAGATGGTACTTGTTGTTACCCTGTCTGGCGGGTCTAAAACAAGGACTTGTCGGCTCAGGGTCGGTATACTTTGTCTGGGTAGGGTATTCATGTTAAACTGCAGCATGGTGTCTCAGTGGGCTAGCACTATGAATCAGTCCGGACTGGTACAAGCAGCCACACACACACACACACACACACACACACACACACACACACACACACACACACACACACACACACACACACACACACACAAACACATGTACGTCGCTGTATAACAGCAATAATTTTGGACGTGACGCTAAACCCCATTTCACCTCATCTCTGAGATGAGCCTATCGTTTCATCTAATCTCAGCAAAAATATCTGTGAAACAATCAATACAATGGATTGTTTGTAACGAGTAAATGCGGGAGAACTGTTTGTGTAATTGGGTTGTCGTCAGAAAGTCGTGAATGGTCGTCAAGATTATAATCACTGTACAGTTGAAATAGAAGGAACTGAAAGCATATCCGGACACGTCCAGTGCAAAAGATCAAAGTATCAGTGAGTCGGATCGGTGTTGCTATTGTCATAATTATATACGAAGTGTTTCCTAACCCCAGCTCTGTGACCGACTGTCGTCTCCTGGTACTATTGCTGAACATCGCCAGCAGACTGCAGGACGACGGTAGGGTGGACGTCATCAACAACATGCGACAACTGTACACATTTCTTGGAGGCCCGCCATTCACTGAGGTAGAAAATACATCTGGAGTGCATAACTGTCTGCTAAGTTTACATTTATAAACGGAATGACACAACCATTATGCATCCCGATGTGGATGGTGGAACGTATGCTGTTTGAAAGAAAATAGACTATCACACATTCTGCTGTTCGTTCTGCATGCAATTTTATTCTGAATATTTCCAATACACAAATGTTATATCGTCGGTGTAATGTTCAGTTAACTGCGGAAAATGCAAACTGCAAATACATTAATTATCATCTAGATAAAAATAATACTGGGTCCTCAGTAAGTTGGTCATTGTGACAGTGAGTTGTACAACATTGACCGGCCGAGGATTTCAAAACGACGGGGGATATTTCCAAATCGTCGTCACTGAGCGTATTGCAACAGTAGATTGTCTATCGCCACAGCTTAATTTTCTAAATATGTAAAAGTGATTTGAAAGACGTGTCGAATAGACACTTCAATAGATTCATTGGTAGCTGCAGATTTGAGGCAGGAGTCCCAGTGTTTTCCGATGTAATGTGGAAGTAGCCTGGAATAGAATCTCGTTCATACGTTTGTGAACGTCAGTTTCGGAGTCCGTCATGTGACCGGCCTCTTGTCCAATTTAAAACTGATTGTCCCATTATCATAATATTTTCGGGAGAGAACAAACTCATTAGAAACAATTGTGGTGAAGTGAGTGAGAGAGTATGGTTTTACGCGGAATTGAGCAATATTAAAGCAATATCACGGCGAAATCGTGACGAAGAGAGTTGTATAAACCATTTTATTACCTGTTTGCTAAAATATCCTTTTCTACAATTTCAGGCTGACGTCATGTTCTGTCTTGAGTCTGCCCAGCGGCGGCTGGTGTCAAGTAATGTTTACGCCAACTTCTGACAGCTTCCACAACTGCACAACACTTCATGTGACATTACCAATAAAACCATACATGCATGTCTGTGAAGAAAGCATGTATGAAATGTGAACTTTTCATATGTTTAAATGTATATCTTTCATGTACTGCTGGATGTTACACTGAGATATGTTTGTTTCAGTGCTACCCAGTGTATAACATCTCTACACATGCTACCAAAGCACAGTGGATATTGTCTGAATTATCCTTATATTTATGACTCTAGACCAACTTAAATATATATTCACCTGCATAAACTATCACTAAATATTTGCTTGCGATCAGAGCAATAGTCACTGACAAGCTGTTGAACTATCCCCACTTAACGAAACATACAACATACTACGATAAGTTATTGGAAAGTGGTGAATGACATTTGAGACTTCTGTTTCGACACTTCAGATTAAAACATGATCAGCTATTCAGAAATGTCTGCATCTGGATATCAGCAAGCACCGTTGTGCAACTTCACGCACAGAAGTGACAGTATGCATTGGCGAGTACAGAAGTATCAAAAGAACAATATACGAGTGTACTTGGCGAACTTGCTGCCTAAGAACATTTGCCTCTTGTAGTTCTTTTGTAAAGAAAATTGTTTGTTTATTTGTTGTTTAACGCCGCACTCAGCAATATTCCAGCTTTATGACGGCGGTCTGTAAATAATCGAGTCTGGACCAGACAATCCAGTGATTGACATCATTTGGATTGATGACATGCATGAACCGAGTCACGAGCCTGATCACCAGATCCCGTTAGTCGCCTCTTCCGACAAGCATAGTCGCCTTTTACGGCAAGCATGGGTTGCTGAAGACTTATTCTAGCCCGGATCTTCACGGGTCTCTTTTGTAAATAGAAATATGTTCCGATTTAGGCAGAAGAAGAAACATGTTGTAGCTTTGTTGCTATTTTATTGGAATGTCTTTGTAAGCCATGATGGACCGACCACCGTCATACGTTGATACATTGATGTCAGTTATACAATGCGTAGCTAGATCATTGAGCACGACAACGTGAAAGCTAACCTTTTTGTGAGTAGCGAACAGTAACTGATCCGGGAGTTATGTTGTTCAGTATGCTTCCTTTTACACTTCTACTTCCACATAGTGTGCACTCATTGCTTCTATTGTCAAAGAACTATTCAAGAAAAATATTTATTTTAAGAACCTATGAATTTGAATAAATACAGTTGGAGCTTCATTGTCTTGAAGAGTTCACTAAAACCAGGAATATTGAAATAAAATTTCCTAAGATTCTTGTTTTGTGTTATATTATCGTTGGACAGTTTTCCATGGGGCAGTTCTCTGACAACTTAAGCTCAGTCAGTTGGCAGTAAGAAATTGAAAAAAAACATTATATAGGGTTTACAAAAACAAGCGAAAAGTGTCAAAATTAACTAAAGTGCGACAATTCGACAACGCAACATCTTGACTATATGTCGCATCGTGGCGTTGTCGAGTTGTCGCGTGACTGTAACATGTTTTCTGCGTCGCATCATAATAGAGACGTGCGGTGTAGGACTAAACTGTGGAATAACTGCTGACTTCTCTTAAGGAATGCATACTACATGTTTGCTTATGATGAGTGTTCTAGCACATAATGCTCCATGTTTTGCTTAAAGGTGTTTCCTGAATTGAAATTGACAACCCATTCAAGACAATGGACTAAACCAATGCAGCTTCACTCAATATATTCGCGAACACTAAATACATCACGTTTAATTTGGTTTTGGTAGAATGGAGATAAATGTGCTGTGTTTTTAATTGAGAGCTAGTTTATTTGCTTATTTAACTCCGCTAATTTAAACATTTGACACGTCATGCTGTTGTTCGTTCTGTTTTAAACGCAATTTAGCACGGCTAAATCTACAGATTACGTAGCTTCAAATTGAAAATACATTTATTAAAAGTAGGTTTATCGTCTAATCAATATACCCGGATCTACCTGTGCATGTCAGCTGTCATGAATTGATACCTTGCTTCGAAAACTCTGGTAACAAGAAACCTGTTGTTTGATATATGTCACTGAGGAAAATTCGGTACTACTGACGTGCGTAGTTTAACATGTCAAACAATGTGTCATTAGTATATTTTTACGCCCAATGGAATCCTTTTCGGCAGATTGTCGAGACTTATTATAATATCCCTCCCTTACAATGACGACTTGACGAATTAGCACTATAATAATAATAATCAAGATGAAACTTCTTCTTGTGTTTATTTGTCACACTACATTCACCTAAAATCGAAACACTCGGAGCTTGATCAGAGTACTAATATTTATGTGTTGATAGAAATATATGGCTAATGAAAAGTTGATAGTAATAGTTGTTTACAGTTTGACATTTGACACATATCTTCGATCGGAAATTATATTTTCATAAAAACTAGGAGTTGTGACCCACACATTGGCTGATGAATCACACCTCTGTCCCAGGACAATGTCACGTTCGATTACGATGAAATTCTGTATTAACATTACTAACCTCAACCATCCCCCAGATATACACAAATTGTAAGCCATAACAAAACGAGTCAAGTCTTGCCTTCCACATCCTTTAACTGAGTTTTAAATTGATTTCCAGTTTCAATTTAACGTCCGCATGATAAAGACATTTTTCCTTAATGACATACGGTCTGAGCGTGAATTCATTAGCTATATTTATATATATATATATATATATATATATATATATATATATATATATAGAGAGAGAGAGAGAGAGAGAGAGAGAGAGAGAGAGAGAGAGAGAGAGAGAGAGAGAGAGAGACATTTGACCAGGGTAACAGGGAGACAGGTGTGATACGGATGATGAGATGCAGTCAGTTGGGGTTGTCCTGGAGACTATAGCCAAGGAGGGCGGAGAGACAGGTGTGATACAGGTAAGGAGATTCAGTCAGTGGTGTTTCTCCTGGAGACTAGCCAAGGAGGGCGGGGGTCAGGCGTGATACAGGTGAGGAGATTCAGTCAGTGGTGTTTCTCCTGGAGACTATAGCCAAGGAGGGCGGGGGTCAGGCGTGATACAGGTGAGGAGATTCAGTCAGTGGTGTTTGTCCTGGAGACTGTAGCCAAGGAGGGCGGGGAGACAGGCGTGATACAGGTGAGGAGATTCAGTCAGTGGTGTGTGTCCTGGAGACTGCAGACCAGGGTGGCAAGGAGACAGGCGTGATAGAGGTGAGGCGATTCAGTCAGTGGTGTGTGTCCTGGAGAGAACACCTGGTATTGATTATGATTCCTTAACACATGCTCATGATATTGTCGTAGTCGTACAATCGATCTTTGCCACATTTAGTCACAAAACTCTGATCCGATTTTAAACATGGCTGCCATTGATGTCATTTTGAATTTGTCCATTTTGCCATTTAATCAGCGATTTATGCATGTGATGTCACAAATAACATATCCAATAGATAACATTTCTACAACTTCACGTAAATATGCGATTCTATAGTACATGACGGATAATGTTACTATTAATATATTTATACATGTATTAAACATTCCCAAAGAATAAATGTATGGCTAGAGACTGAAATGATAATGGATCTTGTTAGGCCTGTCGGATGATATCACGTCCTTGTTGTCCAATATGGCGGTGTGAGGACACTGCTTTTATGGACTGTTGTGGCAGAATGTTTGATACAGCTCCTACAAGGTGAGTTGATAGTTTACCCAGTCACTTAATAATAACGGTGTACACAGCAATCGTATCTGGATAAGGAGGCGTTATTTACAGATTGATTGGCATCATCACCTCACTCGCTTAGATTATCTGCTGTTGATATTTACCTTCATCTTGAGTCACCACGGTGATCGTATCAGGGTAAATAAAGCAGAACCTGCCCCCTTTACTGGATAAACAGTCTCTCTGTCTGGGTAAATAAAACCGTTATAACCTCACACTCCTGATTGCCTCCTGTGTTATCTCACTTCCTTGTCCAATATGGCTGGTGTGAGGGCACTGCTGTATGGTTGTGGCAGAGCGTTGGGTACAGTTTAATGATACGTGAATAAGAAAAAGAAAAAAGACAACTACATGCAGGGTATGGATACAAACTTCTGGTTTATTGCATACAGGTTTTGATGTAGATTCCTACATCCGTATTAAACTGGAGTGCCTACAACCAAGTAATTGGAGGTATATATACATGATATACAACAACAGGTAATAGATAACAAGTAAATCACAGAAAACTGAATGAAGCCAAATGTGAGAATAACAAATAGCACATAGGTAATGAACACAGGGGTAGTGAAGCCAGATGTACAGTAAGGATACGGATTAAAAGGACTAAAATTTGCCCGGATACTAATTCAAAATACTCCATGTAATACTTTTGAACTCTGTTGATCAAAAGTTTTTGACAGCAGCTTCTGAGAGTTTTCGTTTTGTGAAGACCTGATGTTTGGTTGAGAGGACTTTGTCAAACTGAATTTGATGGCTAGGAATTTTTTGCTGGTGATCTGAGATGTTTGATTTGCTCTCTGCTTTAGCTGTTGAAGTCTTATGTTCTTTGATGCGGGTATCTACTGGGCGGGAGGTTTCAGTAATATACGAGTCACCACAGTCACAATTAATAAACTTGTAGATCACTCCTTTGGGAGGCTGTTTGATGGTTGGAGGGACGCGGCCATTACGTTGAAAGACGGGACTAAGGGATTGGGATACAGTGTAGATGATATCGAGGCCGTGTTTCTGATGGGGACGGATTCTGGTCTGGTCGGTTTTGTACAGATATTTCTGATAAATCGCTTTTCAAAATGTCTCCATAGTCCTCAGCATCAAACGCCTATGTTTGATCACACTTCCTCGTGAGCGAATGGATATTGATTTTGTCGTTTAGCAGTTGTTTTGCTGGGTGCGGCGTTAGACAACAAACAAACAATTGCTTGAATGACAGGTAGAACGGAGCATGAGTTCCCTTATCGTGAACACCTGATGTCATAACTCATCCATTCATATAATGTTCACCACTATATGCTTTGTACGCCCAATTGAATACGTTTCGGCAGTTAATAGAGACTGGTTATTCTCTGGCGTTGACGTTTGAATTACACCGTGAGCAAAGCGTATCCAGCTTGACCTAAATAGACAACAGATTCCGTTGCGAACCTAGCTGCTTGTTTGTTGTTTACATCCACACCAATAAGCTTGTAATATTTGTCTTTTATTTTTTTTTATTTTATAGAAATTGGTGAAATATGGCAAGGTTAGTGTGTGTTTATGAATATATGGGCACGAATAAGTCAACAACACTCTACTGTTCACTGTAAAAGTCGACTAAATGGATCGTGGAATCAGGTTTGGTGACTTGGTTGATTGCATGTCAGCGATCTCGATCCCGACGCATCTCAAATTATCCACATTTTGTAGGCCTGTTCAAGACTTGTTTATTACAAGTCATTTTGATATAGATATAATAATGCTGATTGTAGCATAAAGAAAGAAAAACAACAAAATCAGAAGACACAAAAAGAATCATGGGGCAGGGAGTCTCATTGTTATCACTTACTGTGCATTTAATTATTAGTATCATTCATTCATTATTGTTTTTTGAGCATTGTTTCACTTACTGTACCCTTTTGTCTTGAGTATGGTGCGCAGTTTTTTAAGAAAAGATATGGTTGTGTAGTTAAAGATACACACATACAATGAGTTTTGATGAGATGTCAACATATTGTTTTCGAAAAAGGAATACTGCGGCACCTTCAAACGGTGACTCGTCAAACTGTTCCATGTGTAAAATGAATCCGACAATGTACCAGTGTATGGAAACGAATCCAGATCTTCGGCTTGACGAGCAACCGTTTTAACCACTAGGCTACCACTTCGCCAATACATATCTAGACAAACGTTGCTGAGGACAAAGCACAGCTATATACAAAATGTTGGACATTTAATTATTAGTATCATTCATTCATTTATTCATTCATCATTGTTTTTTGAGCATTGTTTCACTTAGTGTACTCTTTTGTCTTGAGTATGGTGCGCAGTTTTTTAAGAAAAGATATAGTTGTGTAGTTATAGATACACACATACAATGAGTTTTGATGTTAATCCCTAACTCAAAGGAATCACCAATGCCATATTTGATGCAGTTTGACTATGACATGTCAACATATTGTTTTCGAAAAATGAATTCTGCGGCACCTTCAAACGGTGACTCGTCAAACTGTTCCATGTGTAAAATGAATCCGACAATGTACCAGTGTATGGAAACGAACCCAGATCTTCGGCTTGACGAGCAACCATTTAACCACTAGGCTACCACTTCGCCAATACATATCTAGACAAACGTTGCTGAGGACAAAGCACAGCTATATACAAAATGTTGGACCTTTTACCCTTGCCTGAGTCCATGATTGTTGTTCCTACCGACTTAATCCTCGTCCTGTCAATAATATTAGCTGCTTGTTAACATTAAGGAGCCACAGCTGTACTGTCAATATCTAATTGATGGAGTATTTCATTCCTTATTAGAATAGGTTTTGTTGATCAAGGTTGGTGCAAGGCCATGCCGATTTTCTCGACGACATAACTCACTCCAGGGTCAACACATCGGGTATACTGTTCCCATATACTGGACAGTGGCATAAGATACACCACAATAGATCTACTGTTAAATGCAATCACAACACAAAGCTCTCTTCTGACAACACGAGTAGCTAATATTCTGCTTTTGAAAAAGTCCGGGTCCATCGGAATAGATTGTATTGGTCCTGGGCATCATAGGAGGTGACCAACAACGATAAAATGCAAAGTGTTTGTGATGCATATTAAGACAGATATTGAATGAAAACAGAATGATTGCTTGACGATTAAGCTTACTTATGTCTCCTTCACATACACGGATTTTTCTTATGAGTCGTTACGGATCTCCAACTAGTCAATCGCAAGCATCCGTAAATTACTCGCTGGTATCCGTAAATAACTCGTCACAACTCGTAACAACTCACAGACACTCTTCAGGATCCATGAAAGGAGAGGCAATGTTTTTGACATGTCAAAAATCATCTTACGATTTTCCACGGATTGATTCTTTCGTAAATAACTCTTCACGATCCGTAAGTATCGTAAATCGCTCGCAACAACACGTAACCATCCGTACACTGCTTGCAAGAATGCGTTACTTACTTATAACAGTTATTTTTACGATTTGTTACGGTTAGTTTACGATTTGTTTACGGATTATTTACGGATTATTACCAGTGCTTACATGTTGTTTACGATTTTATTGGGATCGTGTTACGATGTCTTTACGGATTGTTACGAGTTATTACGAGCAATTTACGTGTAGTTACGAGTACTTTACGAAAAGATACGTATACTTTACGCATTCTTACATATTGTGTACGATTCGGGGAAAGGTATGATAGCTGCAAAATCGAACACTTCATTTTCAGTTGTATTAAGAAGTCATAGAAGTCACATCTCTGCAAATCTTCTCTACAATATCGGTCGAGGAATATCTGGTTGCTGCTGGGCCTCGTCCTCTTCCTTCTGGGATAGTTGAAGGAGCAATATTATTTGTAGAAATTGTTGATATCAATGCAATCCGTTTCTCTCATATGCCATGTTGTCTCTCTGGATGTCAGTGTTCACATGATGACACATTGAGATTTGCAGGATCTATGTAGTTTTTGGCAAAAATTCGGAAGGACTCGTAAGTACTCGTAACTAACTCGTAACTATTCGTGACAACACGTAAACACAGGTCGTAACTAACACGTAAAAGCTTCGATGAATAGTAACATTCCGCAATATACTCGTAACCATCCGTAAAAAGCTTGTAAAATGCCGGTAAGTTGCTCATTGTTATCCGTGACAACTCGTAACAACTCGTGGAATTTTGCCGTAAATACATCGTTATAAACCGTAAATAGCTCGTAATAGCTCATAATAACTCTTAAATCTGTCATAAATGTGGTCAAATCGTAAGGATCCGTGAATTTGTGAGATTATTAAGGACTCGTAAGAAAAATCCATGTATGTGAAGGAGGCATTTTACTTAGAATTTGAAAACTTTGTATCAGACTAAGAAATAGCAGATGGATATTGCGCGCATGCCTCAATTGAGTTCAAACAGACATATAGTTTAGCGAACTATATCATTAGCGTCTATTCAGATTGTTATTCGTAATGTACACAATATTTGGCGGCAAACCCTTTTTATGGTGGCATAACAAGACAGTTTCAACCGATACTTCACATTGAACCAGGGATCAAACTTAAAACATCCAAGTTTAACTTGTGTAACCTTCTCATTTAGTACTATGCAGATACTACCGTGTGATGGCTTTTCATATAAAGATTGTATACAAACATCCCATTAAACACAATACTTGAACAGAGATTCTCTGTTGCTGAATTATACAGCACACAGTGGTCACATTTGGGTAAATAAAGGCGTTATTACATAACACGCCTGACACCAGCTCGGGATATGTCACTTCCTTGTTGACCAATATCGCGGGTGTGAGGACAATGATTTCTATAATCATAAGAAATCTCTCTCAAATAGGGTTCCATGGTACGATTCAAACAAATGTTTTTGAATCAGTGATGATACCAAGAGTTTGCGAAAAGATGAGCGTATCCTGCCCGTCACACCCGTCACAAAGTTCAGTTTTCACCTAACTTGGAAGTTGAAGTCACACCTCTTGTCATACAGTCTAATGGATATTATTGCGTGACTCTGAATCTTAAAATCTAAATATGAAACAAATGGGGCGTTTCTTGTATTTCAAGGTACGATGGGTGAATCAGTGAAGATAATGGGATTTTTGACCATTATACCATTTGACCGGATAGTTTTTCACAAGATCCTAACACCACAACACCGGTGTTACGTTAAGCGTTGTTTGTCCAAGCGAAACATTCGCTTTTCTAAGCTGGAATATTAATTGACTTCGAAACAAAATTGATGCTGCTCATTTCATATCATACTTACAACAATTTAAAATAGCATGTCTTGTTAAAACTTTTGTCGACTGTAGCTTTGATTATAACTGGTTAGTTGGTTATGATATATGTTATAGTCCAGCAATAAAATGATCTGACTACGGCTGGCTGTCAGGTGGTATTTGTGTATGTGTTCATCAATCCGTCAACATATTTTGTAAGTTAATTAAATCAGATGTTGATAATGTCTTGTGCTTGAACATATCAAAAGTGTTTCTTACAACTGATAAAAATGTAAACTTGCTATGTACATAAAATGTACATACCACCAGCTGGCTCGCCGTATTATAACCATGTGGTCTCAAACTGTAGTATTGATCATCTTGAAGAGTGTTTTTAGATAATCAGACGCAGCTTAAAGATTCTACCAGTGTAGTCTGGAGATATGAATGCTCGTACTTGTAAACAAAACAATCCTCTAGTCGATCTACAAAACGATTTTGAACATAGTAACTGTCCATTTCCAGAAGATGAAAACGTATGTGTAGAAGATCGGAAATCCCATGACACCGTTATTGATAAATTTGGTCAGATGCTGCTAGATACGTCTCCCTAAATTAGCTTATAGCATTCTTCTACATTTAGATAGCATGGGTTAAAATTAGATTAATTAAGATTAAAATAAATATTTTATTTTCGCACTATTGTGGTTTGCTGTTTGTTGTCAGTCAGTTGGAAATGTAAATATGTTTCTTTATGAATTTCGAAATCGGTCTTTAAATATGTTCTACCAAGAATGCCATTCCACTTAAGAGGACAATTCACGTTATGAATATTACAAAACGTTCAAGACTTTACTTCAACCAGAAATATATATATCGGTACTCACTACGGAAAACGTGTATATCCCAATGTGTAACATTTATGGTTGTGTCTACAAGTGTAACTCTCTCTTGTATATGGGCTGGAGGCCTTTTGTGCAATAAACTTCGTTTGACTTGACTTTGACTCTGTTAATGCATGTCGCTATATTTTAAACAATACTTTATAATTATATCAATCATTATACATCAAAAGATTGGTGAGCAACAAATACAGCTTTATCGTGAAGTATATAAGTCGAAACTAGGATGAATATAAATACACATGTATATAAATTGTACCTCAGTATCTTTCCTGCATGCAAAATGTGCATCTGAATACCTTGTGCAATGCAAAAAATGCCAGTGACGATCTACTTGTTTCATTACTGGTACCACAATTTCGTGAAAATTGGCCAATATCGGGATATTATTGTACTACACAAGACCCAAAATGACGAATGCAAATTTGGATCAGAACCTTTGTCATGCTATATTACATTGTAACTCAAAGGGCTTAATTATTCTAATCACGGCCTTGTGCTAACATGACAACAATCGATTGACCACATTTAAAACCCCAGAGTTTAACTTGTGTAATCATGCAATAAAAGACGTTTACAAAGACCACCAGGGAATGTCTTTTCTTGTACAATCTGCTTTTTTACACGCATCCCATGTTACACTCAATGAACACTCGACATGATAAGAGATTCACTGTCGCCACACAGTACACAGTGGTCCTGACTGTAAATCTAGCCGCGCCGTCCCCTCACGCATGACTCCCTCCCGGGTATATCACTTCCTTGTTGCCCACTATGGCGGTTGTGAGGACTCTGCTTGTGTGGGTGGCTGTGGCAGAGTGTTGGGTACAACATACGACAGGTGAGTTGATAGTTTACCCCACTACTTATATCTACCAAAGTAAGCCTTCTACTTGTACTTGTCATGTGTAAATCATGTATATATTGTATCACTGTAACCTCATTTACTCATCAAATACCAAGGAGTGTTCATCTTGGATCTTCAGATAAAAGCATTTAGGATTATTCCTGAGCGAATTTTTAATATTCTCATTATCAAGGACTGTACAAAGGTCGTAAGAAACGTTCACGTTCATATGTATACATGTATCTTTGTAACTGACAGCTGTACAGTCAGACCACAGCTAACCCATTATGGCCTGTAAATTTATAGTGACAATGCCTCGCCGAGCGAGACGAGCTTATCGGGAGTCATCTTGTTACTGTCACATGATTTTGAAAAGAGGGCGGCTCGAAAACATGTGACGCGGGGCTATATATAAAGTTGCTTTTCAATTAGTTGAGGTAACCTAAGGGAAGCTTGGTGGCTTCATTTCTAAGCTCGGCTACGATACTGACAGGTTATGTTAGACTGACAATTTTCCCGTTATTGGGTCGCTTGTTTGATGGCGTACAGTGCGCCAGTGAACGAGGTGCAAACCTAATAACTGCGTTTTGAACAGAAGCATTTTTTAGCGATCAGGTTTTGCTGATTTGCAATATTTAGACTGTTCATCAGTCGGGATTTTGTTGATGTACCGCTCATTGATAATTTTTATCGTAAGTGAATAGTATCCATGCACTGGGCGACGGATCCTCGAGGCCTCAATATCTAAGGATGCTACATAAAGAGTACCAGAAATATGAACGGTAAAATCCGTGAATGGTTAATTAAGATTTATTTAGGTTTGGGAAACAGAAACAAAAACACAATTGATTGGTTAGTGTTGATGCTGTTGTGTTTCTCAAAATAAAGAAGTTGACATCCATACATTCTCGTCAATATACATGTATCACTTTTATTATGATAATCCTCAGCAAACCTTAAGCAGTATATACTATGAGTTGGACATTGAAGGTAAAAAGGACCCAGATAGGACAGAGTAAGGGGAATTATATGTTATGGATTATGAAAGAAAAACGACAAAAAAGCCAATAGTGCATATGACATATAGGATCATCATCACACATAAATGCGGATTGTACTAAATAAATGTGGATTTTTTCTCAGCTGCAAAAACGATAAAATGTATGTGTGTGTACGTGCGTGCGTGTGCGTGTGTGTGCGTCAGAGTAAGATTGATCAGCAGAGAGCAGAACTACTGACCTACCATATTAGCCCGTTTACCGTCAGTAGCAACCATTTTTGATTTTCTAAAACCGACCTCACATATTTCACATGAAAATTCGGTTACAGAATTCAATATTCGACACTGTTTTGTGTTTGAATATCATTATGTTTGATGTGCAAGGACATCAATATTTTTTGGGATCACGTTCGTGACTTTATTGATAAAGATTATAGTTAAAATTATCGACAAGGTTTGGCCTCTAAGGTTTGAAGATTAGTCTCCCTTTAGCCGTCAACGTCAACGGTTGTAAGTGTCAAGTTTTCATTTTGACATGACACGATATACGGCGTGCGTGTGTGTGTGTGCGCGCGTGCATGCGTGCGTGTGTGTGTGTGTGTGTGTGTTATTGTGTGTGTGTGTGTGTGTGTGTGTGTTATTTTGTGTGTGTGTGTGTGTGTGTGTGTGTGTGTGTGTGTGTGTGTGTGTGTGTGTGTGTGTGTGTGTGTGTGTGTGTGTGTGGCCGGTAGCCTTATTTCTACTTTTATCCATCGCAAGGCTGCTCCTCAACTGTCTGCATATAATGAGGTGTACGTGCTACCCGTACCTGGCTTAACGCCTAATTCACGGGATTCTACCTATGACGTCACGGCAATTTGAACGTATAGCCAATTGTCACCTGGTAGGATGGCCGACAGCACTCAGTACTTTTCTTGTGTTGACGTTTCATGTTATAGGTAAGCACCTCCCTTAAATATGCCTTCTTCATCTATACCTTATTGGTAGTGTTTCAATTATATAGAATATAGTACTTAATAACCAATCAAGTAATGTAATTTCAAGTTAGTAAAGAATCGATCGCGTATTTTGAAAACATCGGGCTAATCGCTTTTACTAACTTAATCACTGCACCAGCATAGCACGTAAGACAGTGTGTGAAAGGAATAATAATACTATAGGAAAATATGTTTCATATTTTAATACCATATTATACCAAAAGGACAATTTTATGGATCCATAAGTGTAACGTCAGTATATTATCTCATTATAAACGCACTAGCATGCATAGCCAACCAGCCTGGTAGCACTCAACACTTTTCTCATGTTGACGTTCCATGTTACAGGCAAATAAATACATTTTAAAGAAATTCCGTCTTCAATACTTGTCTTGGACGACTAGAATCCCGAACCTGCGATACATGTAATTATGTATGTGTGTGTGTGCGCGTGTGTGTGCCAGCGTACGTTTGCCTGCGTGTGTTTGCCTGCGTGTGCGTGCCTGCGTGTGCATGTGTGCGTCAGTGTCAACCTGCGTGACTGTGTGTGTCCGTGCGTGCGTGTGGCCTGCATGCGTACGTGTGTGTGCGTGCCTACTTGCCTGCCTGCCTGCATGTGTGCCTGAGCGTGTGTGCAAGGTTGTAATGCAGCTGGTTTTAAATTCTCTATCCATGAAGTACTGAGTCGAAGATGTTTGTGAATTTGATCGAGAATGTATGTCTGCCGCTGTCAATATTTGATGTATTTCACCTCTGTGTGTTTTACAGGTTCCTGTCCAACAGGAAAGTTCGGAGACTCCTGCTTCTACTCCTGTCACTGTGGGGACTCATGTGACCAGACAACCGGAGTATGTGAAGTTGACTGTGATGCTGGCTGGGTGGGAGGACATAGATCTACCTGCCAGAAAGGTGTGATTTAACCAATAGATGACGGCTTATGCTTCCTTGACAACTGAAGCCTCTAAGACGTTTTTCTGACAACTTTTAATCAAAGAAATTTTATGAAAGATGCGGCATTCATGTCGCATTGCCAAATGCCATATATTTCGCAGGCAAAAGATTTCCTAGGATTTGGATCCTATTGTTTCATCCAATCAGATTGCGACACACTCGGAATGTGGAATAGCCTTGTGGTTAAAGCGTTTGCTCGTCACGCAGATAACCCAGGATTAAATCCCGTCATGGGTACAATGTGTGAAGACCATTTCTAGTGTCTCCCGCAGTGATGTTGCTTGAATATTGCTAAAAGTGGCGTAAAACCATACTCACTCACTCACTGTGACACATTCACCCATTTGGGAAATCTACAGTTTACAGAATCAGTCAGTAAACTACCTGTAGTTATATATGTTTAAATACAATTCAATAAATATTTAAATGTGAAAAAGGGTGAATATATTCAAACATTCCTGATATTCCGCTTGTTTTTTCACTGTACTACAGGATCTATCAAGATCAAATTCCTTCGCAGTTTTAGCATTTACTTTCCCTCATATGAAAATGCTTAAACATTTAATTGTTGAAACTTTGCATTAATAAATACTGCTTCGCATTCAAAACGGGGGCAATTTCATCATTCGTTTCTATGAAGATAACTTTTATTCATAGTTTTATGTAAAAAATTATTCAAAAGAGAACACAGCTCAGGCAAACCGAAAAAACATTGTCTTTATTACGCTTAAGATGGGCCTACTAAGCTCCATCTCCTTCTGGACAATGTCCACCATTCTGGTCAAGTCAAGTTTTTGTATGACATGTCTTCGAAAATGTATATCCAAACAGAAAACATCGCCAAAGGAAAATCAGCCACATCTCAATCTGGAGTCTATACAGCTGCGTGGTCTGCAGACAAAGCTGTAGATGGGAACCGGAACCAGGATGTGTCCCACAACTCCTGCTTCCACTCTAATATTACCTATCCGAGTGTATGGACAGTGGACCTGGGACAACCGCACAGGATACATGACGTCAGGATATACAACCGAGCAGGAAGTATGTATGTGATATATTTGGGCTGTAGAGACATTCAAATGTTTCATGTACTGACATTAATCTTATGAAAACATATTTACAGAACAGAACTCCAGACCCTTATAAGCAAGACGCAATGTAGATACTCTATTTCATAACATCTGCATCAGGATATCTTAGCAAATGTAGATTTCATATGTTATTTGGTGAGTGGTAATTTGATTTTCAAATACATAATTTCCCCTTTTTTTGCGTGTAATATTTCGATCATCTTCATGGCATGATAAATCGACTACTTCGTTATTGGTATTTTTGTCAATATTATTTCCAACAAATACTACATATAATTAGTTATGGTGTCATGAGTTCCCGTATACGGTGTCATATAAGGTTAGCAGAAGGGTATATTTATACACACACACATATACACATACACACATACACACAACCGTTGACGTTAAGGGTCACAGGGAGACTACTCCTCAAACCTTAGAGCAAGACTTGTTGATAATGTTAACTATAATTTTTATCAATAAAGTCGAGAACGCGATCTAAAAAAATATTAATGTCCTAACACATCAAACTTAATTATATCAAAATTCTAAAAAGTGTCGAATAACGAATTTCGGTACCAAAATGTTTATGTGAGGTGGCAGTGGAAAATCCAAAATGGCTGTAATTGACGGTCTCATATTAGGCCAGTTACAACCATCATAGTATTTTACTGATGGTATACGGGCTCATATGGGGCCATTAGTTCTGCTCTCTGATTGGTCCATCTCACTTTGAGGCATAATATAATCACACGTGCATCTTACGTTTTAAGGCACATTTTAGCATTGTACTTCGGGCGTCGGCTTATTATCATATCTGGATTAACTGTGGAACAGGATTACCTGAAATATTCGACCGGCTTGTTATTCTTTTAGTATGTCAGTACCTTACCTAAAACACATTGACGAACTATTCCATTTTAGGTTTTTACTCTGCACCATCCTGAAGACTGATGGGATCCTAGTTAGTGGACGTATATTTGAACATTAGCACCTTCATGTGTATTGTATCTCCTCGCTTGTCATATTTTCATTATTCAAAACTTAAGTCAAACATTTTGGAGTTCCAGTTCCCCTTTGAACTTATGTAGTAGCGGGCAAGGCTCCGGTTAGGGCAGTAAACACAGAACAGGCTACTGGGGTGTGAGTTGACAGCTGATTTTATTTGCGCACACGCTAGATGTTTCTGAACTCTGTACTCTAAAAATACAATGAAAATATCTAATAAATGAAATAAAACATATCATAGTATCAACACATCAATGTATAAACGGCTCATCCAGTTTAATATGCTATGCATACTATAAACATTTACACGTGATATTTTACATTAATGTATCAAACATGCTGAGCAGTAATTACACTTACCCTTGTGGTTTTAAGCCAAATTACATATAGAAATACTTAAGACGGTTACACAAATACCGCCTCTACAGATTGCCATGATATAAACATAATATAAACACAATATACGCAAAATGTACACATAACTTACCACTGTGTGGCAATGAGCTGGCAACTATGTCAGCGTTGGCAGATCACAGGCATCAATTGCCATATTCTAGAACAAATTTAAACAATAAGGCCGCATAAGAAAAAGGATATTGGCCAATAAAATTAAGAACATGTAAAATGACCTTTTCATATGTATCCATTCAATCATAATCTACACACATACATACTGCATTCACACATGTAGTTAGATGGTATTTCAGTAGTGATTAATAGTTAAATTAGATTATAGATTTAGTTTAGATTTAACTGAAGTGTTTAACAAATTAAGAGGGAAGGTATGGAATATCTGAAGATATCGAGATAACATGTATACTTATGATGAAGTACTAGTTTATGTTTTTAAACTATTTTCAGTTTGACATATATAGATATATTATAAAATATATATAATTACCAATCAATGCATTACCTTAATGCATCTAATTCATAAAACTAAATACACAGACATATCTACAAGATACATAAATATGAACCAAACACAAACTAACCTTATAGAGATCCTGAACACAACAAATATATCGTCCACTGATTTGAAATCCAGTCCAAAGAACCACTGATATCCTTCAAGTGTAAGTGACCAACTAATTTAGCAAAGTCAGCAAAAAACAGAAGAAACCTTTTACTTACATAACACAGAAGCTGGGAAGGAAAACAAAGCAAGACGCTTGTGCTGTTGGTGACTGTATAGGTGAAAGTGGCTATTGTTATGTTAGTAGTTATGTAAGTACTGGAGCTAGTCTAATTGTTGTTGTTTTCATACTGCTCAAGTAATCTAGCTTGAGACAGAAACAGGCTAAAACAGAAACGAGACAATTAAAAGACTTTACTAAAATATTTACAAAATTATCAAACAACTGCTGTCTCCCTTAATATTTGCCTAAAAGAATGACTATATTCTAGTGATGATTCAGAATCTCCTCGGTGGAATGGATGAACCAGAGCACGGTGTATTTTGAACATCTGGTGTCACCACTGATTGTCAGCAGTCCATTATTATAATCATAATTCGTACAGCTATTTTGCCCTTTCCGCCAAATGGAACCTGTTTAGACGGATAATCTAAACTGGTTATTCTCACCGTTTATATTTACACACCAAGCTATAACGCTCCTGAATTATACGTTAACTTTATACAAAACATTGTATCGACAATATGCTATTACAGTTTTTACAAGTGCATGATGTATGTTCGTTTATGTGTATGTTACACTACCAAACCCATTACAAACACTTGCTAGTTTTGATGAGATTTGAAAGGCAAAACACTTGACACTGGACGCCGAGCTGAACGGACGTGTTTTTTGTAGCTTCTTCAGACAAGGGTTATGTAATGACATAAGCCCACAAGGGTGAAACAGTATGATGCATACTACAGCCTTGTGAGAAAGTGGACGATAATAATTGTGAATTACTGGAGATTCGTGATGCATTACCCTGAGATATTTGGACTATTTTGTGATTGACCACTGGACATCTCAATGTAAGGTAAAACAATCCTTCTTTATACCTTTATATTGACAATGAGTCAAAGTGCTCAACCGTACTCAACACAACTGCCAGATGAACTGGACTACAATATATTGAAGCAGCTTGAAGAGATAATTGGCGAAAATGATAGAAAGACTTGTGAGCAGAAATTGGTTGACGCCTATGATAATGATGATACAGGGCTCAATCATATCAGAGAATCTGTCTATGATGTAGCTTAAGCAGAGTGTGGAGACTTTCCAGAGGGCATTTTGATTAAGAGAGTCAATAGAAGTGGTCAAACTAAAAGCGTAGCAGAAAAATATGCATCTGATGTGTATCTGCTCTATAAGTTTGTTAAAGGTGCTATTCCAGCTCATGTGATTCAGACTGATGTTTTAAGTAGACCAAAGCAAGCCTGTATGAAGCCTACTACTTATGTAGCTATGGAAAAGGACAAGGACATATTGTCAAGTGTATTGGCGAAACTAATGTTCTTGCATGAAGATGTGAACAAGAAGTTTGACAGTGTGCGCAGACAACTGGATCAATTTCAAGACAAATATGACAGAGATATGTTACAGTTAATCAGTGCATATGATGAAAAGAGCGATGAAGTGAAAAGGTGTACGGTTGTGATTCAGACACTTCGTTCAAATGAACAGTCAATGAAGACGGACTTAATTCAATTACGTAATCAACTCAAACAGAAAGAGACTGAGTTACTTGAATTGAGAGGAAATGTGAAAGAAACAATTATATCTATTGACAAGAATGTGCGCGTTGTCGATGGAAAAATAGATTGCATGAACACGAGAAATAAACTTTTATATTCGGAGACTGTTACGAAGGGAAGCCCAAATTCCAACAGACCTATTTCCCCACCAATTCAAAGGACCGATTACACGAGTATAGACTCTCGTCAATTCCCAAGCCTCCCATTCAGACCTCAGACTCATGACAATGCAGGCAGTAAAGACCCAAGCTCTGAAGACACTTCCCCCGAGCCGCTCATTGTCAAGCATGATGGCGTCGACAGACAAAAACAAACTAAACCTGTAAACAATGTAAAGGAGACGAAATGTTACATTCAACAATCAGTGGGAAAAGTCTTTTGCCGGTGTCTATAGAAATAGAAACAAAAGACTGGTCCTAAGCTATGTCAGAGCTGACGAACCATTTGACGTTGTTAGAGATGCTATATGTGACTATGCTAAAAAAACGTGATGTAACTATCACAAATGTGAGACTCATGAAACACTGGGAAGGGCGACGCAATCCTACCTTCACCATTCGAATAACTGTCCCACAGCAATGTGCAGATATCATCTTGGATGATGACTGCTTCTGGCCCGAAAACGTTAACTGTCGTGAGTGGCTATCGAAAAATGTGTGGTACAATGACGATAAGGCTGAACATTAATAATGTTGATGAACAATTTTAGACTTGCGACATATATACTTGTTCTAATGGCAATTCTTCGCATGATTACGTGGAATGTGCGTGGGGCATTGAATTGCTTCGATGAAATTCGCTCAAAACTAACATTTTGGTTATTACCGAACACTAGCTGGACGACACACGTGAATATCTACTCTATGACTTGGATGATGACTTTAACGTCTATGTTAAATGTCAGCATGACCACTTATCTCAAAGAGGCGCAGGGGGTATAGCCATATGTATTCGTAAAAGTACATGTCGGAGGTCGTCAGCAATTAGTATACCTTCAAGCGAGCATATCATTGGGGCTAAACTCTTCATTAATAAATGCCCTATGTATATAATTGGTGCTCGCCTTCCCTCATCTAACGTATTAGATAGTGTATACATAGAAGAACTTAATAATGTACTGGAGATTTATGATAGATGTTCTCATTAAGGGGAGACAATTCTTCTGGGTGATTTTAATGCAGACCTGCGGCATGGAATTATATTGAAACGCAGAGCGAAATATCTGCAAAGAGTGCTCACTGAACGGAATCTAATCTCTGTCGTACCCCTTGACGATAATGCCTTTTTTACCTTCACAAGTAAATGTAAAACTATAAGAAGTATGATAGATTATGTGTTCATTAATCTCCAACATGTTAGTAACGTTGTTGGTTATACTTTAGATACTGGTGTTCAATACTCAGTATCAGACCATTGTCCGATATTCCTATGTCTGAGTACTGATTCCCAGCCACGCCACCATGGCGGTGAACATCTAAACTGGCGTAAAGCTAATGACGTAGACTTTATGTTATACCGATATGAAACTGAAAACTATTTTAGATGTGCTCAGTTTGACGAAACTCAGTACGCATCTCCTCATGAATACATTGAAAGTTATCACGACTATATCCTACAAGCGTTACATGCTGCAGCTAAACTAAGTATACCATCTTCAAAATTCCAATCTCATTTAAAACCATACTGGAAAAAAGATAATTTAAATACGTTGCATCGTACAATGCGACAACGCCGTAGTGAATGGATCTATAATGGTAAATCTCATGATAAAGAGGATGCAAATTACATTGAGTATAAAAGAGCAAAACGTATCTTTAGGAAGCAGCATCGCCGTTCCAAACAAAAACTGAAAGACGAAAAGTTTCAGGAAATATATGAAGCAGCTGAGGTTTATATAACAGAGTACTTTAGAGTAACCAAGAAATATAAAAGAAAGAAGGAACAAACCCAGACGCTTGTGTATAATGAAGAGTCCTGTAATACACAGGAAGGAATTTGTAATCTGTTTTCCAAATATTTCAAGGATTTATCAATGCCAAATCATGATATCAATTTTGACTCAGATTTTACTGATTATTTGAATATTCGCATGGAACAGATTGAAAATGACTCGTATAATGACCAAGGGAACAGTGACGTTAGTTCCACGTTGATTTGTCCTTTCACATCTGATGAGTTATTGGCAACTATAAAACGTCTAAAAAGTGGAAAATCGCCTGGTCCCGATGGCATAGTTAATGAACATATCAAATACTCTGGTAGATCTATTATCCATCACCTTGTTATATTCTATAATAAAATTGTTTCCCATGAATATGTACCTAAAATGTTTAACGTTGGAAAGATTTTACCTATCCATAAAGGCCATGGTAAACGTAAAGACGACCCCACTAACTATAGAGGTATTACCCTCACTCCAGTATTAAGTAAACTGTTCGAAAGACTTCTGCTGAATAGAATTGAAGGGTGGGCAAACAAATCTAAAGGCTTCCCCCACCGCTTTCAATTTGGATTTAGGAGAGGGGCTGGGGCAGAAACTGCCCTGTTTACATTAATGGAAAGCATAGCTTATTATAACGAAAGACAGTCTCCAGTTTACTGCGCTTTTCTCGACAACGAGAAAGCTTTTGACAGAGTCTGGCTTAATGGTCTTTTCTTCAAACTGTATAACTTTGGTATTAATGGAAAATTATGGCGACTTTTACGCACAATATATACCTCAATGGAGTCATGTGTAAGCATTGGAGGTTTTACCTCAAATGTGTTTCATGTTAAGCAAGGTGTTGGTCAAGGTCGCGTTTTACCGGCATGGTTTTTTACTCTATATATTAACGACTTGTTGTATTCACTTGATGATTTAGGGCGTGGCTTGTGTCTTCCATGGGGTAATACACCCGGCATCCTATTAGCAGACGATACTACGCTGTTGAGCACCTCCTCTGACGGACTGCAATGTCTACTGAATAATATATACACCTATGCTAATAGATGGCATTTGAAATATAATGCCAGTAAAAGTGCATTTCTACTGTTTGGGAATATTCGCAAATCTGTCTCTCAATGTGTCTACATTGGTTCACAAGTACTTCCTAAAAAGGAAAATGTAACTTATGCTGGATTGCGTCTAAGTACATCAAAGAAAACCTTAGAACGTACCCATCTAATATGTGAAAAACTCAGAATGTTAGTCAATATAAATTATAATCATGGACTATACTTTGGTGGCTTAAATCCTATCCCAGCTGTTCGTATATGGGAAAGGGTAATTTTACCATGTGGACTATTTGCTTGTAGTGTATGGGGTAAACTGTCACCGAAGGAATACGAAATGCTTGAAATTATTCAACGTTATTTTTGTAAAAAGATTCAAGGACTGTCTAGACGCACTCCTTCCGTCGTCACCAGAGATTGTCTGGGTTTAATTTCTCTCCAGGCGTACATTGATCAACGAGCTCTCTTATTACTGGGAAGACTATGTAATAGTGACATTAACTTTGCATTTAAAAGACTATTTCAGCACAGGCTTGTTCAGTTTGAACTCGATACAATTAAAGAAAAAGATGATAAATGTAAAATGTCACCCGTGTACCACATGCTTTCACTTGTAAACAAGTATGAACTCAATAATGACATAAACACATATACCATTTATTCTCATTTCCCCTCAAAACATGCATGGGCGAGTCGAGTTAAAGAACAAATAAGCGTATGTGACCATAACATAATTCATGCAGAGATTCATTCAAGAGAAAACCTAAAACGATACTCTCTTATACGATCACCTAAGGTACACAGACTTTGGTTACTAACAATTGAAAGGCCGGAACACTTCTATGATTTAGCATATTTATTATGCCTTAGCACCTACAGTATACAATCTGATGAATGTTTATGCGGCACATTTGATTTTGATATTATCAAACATGTGTTTATGTATTGTAAAAAGACTCAACAACAAAGAAATATTCTTGTTGAGTTTATTATTGATTTACTAGATGTGACAACTTTTTCTAGTATTTAGAACGATGATGACGATACCTTTCTGTCCTTTTTACTTGGCGGTTTGCCAACAGAAAGTACTATGGCAATTGAATACAATCTATGGGCAAATATCATGCTTCGTGTATGTAAAACTGTTAAAATGTGGAAAAACCTACTAAGAAACATTATTTGATAACGATGTGAAACTGTCTGTACATACAATATATCAGCTGTTATATATATACATTTATATCTCATATCAATGTTCTTCATCAACTGGAGGAAATAAAGATGATCTATCATGATGTATGTTCGTTTATGTGTATGTTACACTACCAAACCCATTACAAACACTTGCTAGTTTTGATGAGATTTGAAAGGCAAAACACTTTTACTAATGTAAGATACATGGGATATATAATTTGAAAATATAATCTTTTAAAATGCGACAACTATGTCATACAAACATGCTTATGATATAGTCTGAACCGCACAAACGACCCTGCTTTTATTAGATATGTTTTAGGATTATTTGTCACTTTAACTTAGGTTATAATGATCACCATTTCAGATATTGACAGACTCAAAACTGCTGTCCTCTCCCTGAGTAACTCCAGCAGCTCCACACCCGGCGTCACCTGCTACACAATCCCCAAAGACACAGCTGAAACAGGCAACAGCGTGTACGACGTGACGTGTGATGGCACAGGGAAATACTTCGCCATTTCACACAGCACACAGCCACTTAATCTGTGTGAGGTGGAGATTTATGGTATGGATAAATATTTTGTTGGTTTTGTTGATCTATCTTCAAATCAGATATGCCATTCCACCATGACTGTTAATCAGGAGGCAGTGTTATGCAAGGGATATTCTTTGTTTGCCCCTCGGTGATGTGTTGCTATATACATTGTTCCTCCCAGCAAGTTACATACATAAGCTAACACTTGTACATAATTTCATCCTCTGATCGCCAGATTATGGCCAGGGTTCGTGTGTTTCACCAAAGTGATAAGAATCTAGGACTTTCATATCTCTTGGCTTTCATAACACCATTTGACACTTATTTGAAACATTTCTACTGTCAATGTCAACATACATTTCTTGTTTCTTAACGCCCAACTGTTTAAAACAGAAACAAGAACAACGCCAATGCTCAATTCGATTATTTAGTCTGCAGTCACGGAACCTTTGGCGAACTTTGCAACCATTTCTGCCATTGTTCTGACGGGTCCTGTGGCAGATTCAGTGGGATCTGTGCTAGTGACTGCCGGCCAGGATGGCAGGGACAAAACTGTTCTACTGGTAAGGAACAAACATAATTTTTGCTATAATATGGGATTTATTTATTGTATGAGAGAAATGAGAGTAAACTTGAATACCTCTGTCTTGATAATAACCCTTTTACCTCATGTTAAGAATGATTCTGAGCATCCTCTTAACACACGCTAAAACGTAATGTGATACCTTTCATTTCTAGAGTGTGATAAGGACCATTACGGTGTCAACTGTAACGAGACATGTGGAAACAGGAAATGTGCTGCTGCTCCGTCGTCATGTGACCGGCATACTGGGTCATGTGACACTGGATGTCTTCCTGGGTGGACACAGGTGGACTGTAAACAGGGTACACCATCATCACTCTTCTGTATAAATAGGCAGATACACATAATGTTTGAACGTTGCATTGCCATGTAGATTACTGTGTACAGAAAGCTGAACGTGTAAACGTAGCATGTGTACATATGCACACACGTCTCCCTCGGGAAGTACATGTATATGTCAATCTTAAGAAGATGTAACTTTGTTTCTTGCTGTTCACTGAAACTCAGCTAAAAATCCCTTTTCGATTATGCTTCAAAAAGATTATCACAAGGATAATGTAGATGTAAGTGTACTTGCTGACCACTGGATCTGCATCCTTGTGTAATATGTAAAAAGGGTATGTATGCATGGATCATTACATTAACATGGACATGCTACAGTCACAATTACACGGCTATATGGTGTTTATGACGAGACACGTTGTGTATATGACGATATCGCGTAAACTTTTACAGAATGTTCCCTTGGGACCTATGGACAAAACTGCAGCTTGCTGTGTACAGAGAGAAACTGTGCAGGAAACTCGTCATGTGATCATGTGACAGGAGAATGTGTTACTAGATGTCAACCAGGATGGATGGGCATAGACTGTATACAGGGTAAGTCTGTAAGGTCAATCAATTAGTGCATGAGACAGTGTACAGGGTAAGTCTGTAAGGTCAGTCAATTAGTGCATTAGACTGTGTACATGTTAAGTCTGTGAGGTCAATCAATTAGTGCATTAGACAGTGTACAGGGTAAGTATGTGAGGTCAATCAATTAGTGCATTAGACTGTGTACAGGGTAAGTCTGTTAGGTCAATCAGTTAGTGCATTAGACAATGTACAGGGTAAGTCTGTGAGGTCAATCAATTAGTGCATTAGACTGTGTACAGGGTTAGTCTGTGAGGTCAATCAATTAGTGCATTAGACAGTGTACAGGGTAAGTATGTGAGGTCAATCAATTAATGCATTAGACAGTGTACAGGGTAAGTCTGTAATGTCAGTCAATTAGTGCATTAGACAGTGTACAGGGTAAGTATGTGAGGTCAATCAATTAGTGCATTAGAAAATGTACAGGGTAAGTCTGTGAGGTCAATCAATTAATGCATGAGACCGTGTACGGGGTAAGTCTGTGAGGTCAATCAATTAGTGCATGAGACCGTGTACGGGGTAAGTCTGTAAGGTCAATCAATTAGTGCATGAGACCGTGTACGGGGTAAGTCTGTGAGGTCAATCAATTAGTGCATTAGACAGTGTACAGGGTAAGTCTGTGAGGTCAATCAATTAGTGCATTAGACAGTGTACAGGGTAAGTCTGTGAGGTCAATCAATTAGTGGATGATACCGTGTACAGGGTAAGTCTGTGAGGTCAATCAATTAGTGCATTAGACAGTGTACAGGGTAAGCCTATTAGGTCAATCAATTAGTGCATGAGACCGTGTACGGGGTAAGTCTGTGAGGTCAATCAATTAGTGCATTAGACAGTGTACAGGGTAAGTCTGTAAGGTCAATCAATTAGTGCATTAGACAGTGTACAGGGTAAGTCTGTGAGGTCAATCAATTAGTGCATTAGACAGTGTACAGGGTAAGTCTGTGAGGTCAATCAATTAATGCATGAGACCGTGTACAGGGTAAGTATGTGAGGTCAATCAATTAGTGCATTAGACAGTGTACAGGGTAAGTCTGTGAGGTCAATCAATTAGTGCATTAGACAGTGTACAGGGTAAGCCTATTAGGTCAATCAATTAGTGCATGAGACCGTGTACAGGGTAAGTCTTTGAGGTCAATCAATTAGTGCATTAGACAGTGTACAGGGTAAGTCTGTAAGGTCAATCAATTAGTGCGTGAGACCGTGTACAGGGTAAGTCTGTGAGGTCAATCATTTGGTGTGTTTTTTTAATTTGATATTATTTGTACAGATATCGATTCAAAATAATGATTGTATACATATTTGTTCATGTTGCAGCTTGTGAAACTCATCGGTATGGTCCAAACTGTGATAAGGCCTGTGCCTCCAGACACTGTGTGGGGAACTCTTCCTGTAACTCAACAGGGGACTGTGACAGGGGATGTCTTCCTGGATGGACAGAGGTTGACTGTAAACATGGTACACCATCACCATTCTTCTGTACAAAAAGACGGATACACATACTGTTTGAACGTTGTATTGTCATGTAGATTACCCTGTACAGAAAGTTGAATGTGTAGTATGTGTACATATGCACACACGTTACCCTCGGGTACATATCTATGTCAATCTATAGTAGATGTAACTGTGTCTCCGGCTGTTCACTGAAACTCAGCTTAAAATTCCTTCTCTATTATGCTTCCAAAAGATTATCACCAGGATAATGTAGATGTAAGTGTACTTGCTGACCACTGGATTTGCATCCTTGCGCAATATGTAAGAGAGGTATGTATGCATGGATCATTACAATGACATGGACATACTACAGTCACAATAACACGGCTACATGGTGCTAATGACGAGACACGTTGTATATATGACGATATTGCGTATACTTTTACAGAATGTTCCCTTGGGACCTATGGACAAAACTGCAGCAGGCAATGTACTGAGAGGAACTGTGCAGGAAACTCGTCATGTGATCATGTGACAGGAAAATGTGTTACTAGATGTAAACCAGGATGGATGGGCATAGACTGTATACAGGGTAAGTCTGTAAGGCCAATCAGTTGGTGTGTTATTTTATTTTAATATTATTTTTAAACAGATATCGATTCAAAATAATGATTGTATACATATTTGTTCATGTTGCAGCTTGTGAACCTCATCGTTATGGTCCAAACTGTGACAAGACATGTGCCTTCAGACAGTGTGTGGGGAACTCTTCCTGTAACACAACAGGGGGCTGTGACAGCGGGTGTGAGACAGGGTGGACACTGGACGACTGTACAGGTATGATTCTGTATGTCAGTTCCAAGAGGATTCGATCTGTAGTGAAGAATGCAGTGCATATCGATGGTACACACAGTTGACACATTTCAACTTCAGCAATTAGCGGAGCATCTTTTCTTTGCAGCCTGCGACAGTCAACATTACGGAGCTAACTGTGTGAAGACCTGTACCTCCAGACACTGTGTGGGGGACTCATCCTGTAACACAACAGGGCACTGTGACAGTGGATGTATGGCAGGGTGGTCACTATCTGACTGTACAGGTATATAGCAAACTTGTATTGTGCTACCGGGAACATATTTCAAACAGTAAAACGACAGAATAATCAAGGAATGTCTCTTAGCATTGTTAAAATGAAAGAACATAATTATAAGTAATGCTGTATTCAGTTCCCAAGGCGAAATGATATAACAACACATAACATCTAACCTTGATGTCTCCACTGTTATATATACTTTGTTGACTTTGGACATCACAATATGTTCAAATTATCTTCTCAAAAGCATAAATAAGTGTACATCAAAAGTGCAGCATCCATCATTTGTGTATCAAGCGTCATGCTGCGGAAATCCATAGTATTGTGTGTAATGTACATGTATCAGTCTGACATCTGCTTGTCCCGTTTTACCCAAACAACCACCTAAGTGAAATTTGCTCGGAATAAAACACTCATCAAAACTAAGAACGTCTTGTCTCTAGATACAGTTTCTTTGCTCAATATTATGGCACATGGTATAGTACTTATGTGAAAGTAATTATGTTAACTGTGTCTTATGCAGTGTATGTGAATAATATACAAACGAATCAAATCCTAGGCTAAATTGATGTCCTCCCATTTCTCTAAGAGCGTGCATTATTCACCAGAAATGAAGAATCCTCACTTGTTTTTTCTACAGTGTAATCATTTTAGTTCTGAGAAACAAATACCAGGAATACGAATCCTGTTCTAAATAGTAATGAGCAGCCACGAAGAAGAAGCATTTGAAAACACTCTCTCTCAAAGTTAGCCGACGAGGACGTCCATATTTCCAAATTATCATAAGACATTTCACGTTGTTATTGTCATCCCAGCTATATTTTATGTGTCTGTTCAAGTTTGGAACATGTCATATTAATACCGTTCCACCCATTCGTTGACATACTTCCAATACAAACTTTCTCAAGAGGCCATTGCATCAACTGGACCTGGTCCCGATGACTTCATACCAACATACATTGGGGCTGCGGTGGGTGTCATCCTGGCGGCCCTTGTGCTGGTTCTCATCATTTTCATCATAAGGTTCGTACTAATTATAACACTGCATGAAGTCTTTATTTCGATCTTTTAGGTATGGCTCAATACAAAGGATGTTTGGATAATAATATAAATATATATTTTACTTTTCATAGACGCAGAAGACAAAGGGAAAGGAAACATCCTAATGATGGAGTTGTCCAGAGACCTCGAAAGAAGTCTGAGGCAGAGTCAGGTACTGATAAACTTTTTTTTTTACGTTTAATACAGTCTAAAAACATAGGATGTGTATTTTATGTGACATCTTATGTGCAGAGACATTAAAACTGCCAAGAGAATCACTATCCACCATTGTTTCGGCGGATTATCGAGACTGCTTATAATCATTCTCTGGGCGTTGACGTTTTACATTTCGTTTGAGATGCAGGAAATGTCTATATGAATGTTGGATTCGCTGAAGAGAAACAAGCTCAGGTCCAGACGGAGGGATCGGTTCGAAAACGTCCAAGTGTGGTAACTTTAGAGGAGGAGGACGATGATGCACACGCTTCAATACAACAAGAGGAAGCACCGGAAATCCCTGACAGAAACTACTACAACCTGGATCAGGCTGGCGTTGGTCATGTGATCTCTGTGTCTTCGCTAGAAGCAAAAGTTACAGAATTTGAAGAATTACCGCAACTGGGAGAAGGGGAATTCAAGGTTGTATATTTTATTTAAAACGTAATTTGAACTCATATGAACAGACACGAAGATAACATCCAATTCACATATACAAACGCAAAACCAGAACAGCTAAACCATAGAGAATGAAAATGATAAGGATACTTCTTTCTCCACAGCGTCTCCCAGATGGCTTCATTCATCCTTACGGGGAATCACAGATGCCCCAAAATAACGGGAAGAACAGATTCAGAGGATATTATCCCTGTAAGTTGAACATCAAAGCGAATTGTCACTTTCAACTTTCAATTTACCATACCTACATATATATGACCCTTATGCTTATGGGGAATCTGTGCCCACAGATGACTACAACCGTGTGATACTGCAGGATGCTGGTGATGGCGGAGATTACATCAACGCCAGCTACCTGGACGTAAGTTACAACATACAATGCCGTAGTAAAGCTTTCAAAACGTTTTATGGTAGACATGTCGGCAAATTTGATGATGCATCACTGACCAAAATCATGTTCTTGTGTTTATTCAGGTAGGCACTTTGCATGTGTTTGTGACATGTGGTACCTTTTCGCGTACATCTGGTTTCATCACTCTGTTCATAAACATGTTTATAATAAAGTCAGAACTGTATAATGGATTCAGCTTGTAGCATACATTTCTTGGATTTTGTCGTTATTATTAACCCGTCTATAGAAGTGTGTTGTTCACCACAGAAGAGAACAGTTTGATTAATATGTTTCTTATTTTATAAGTTTTATTTTACTTTCATATTCACATTTTCTGTCAGGGCTACAAGAGAGACAGACGTTATATAGCCGCACAAGGTAACGAGCAGCTACAGCACACACTAGGGGTGCAGCCAATCAAACCAATGTATTGTAATTACATGTTTATGATCTGATCAATACTTGTATCAACAGTTAACATCGATACGACACTAGCCAAAAATTGTATTATTGCATGAACTATTGATGAGGAACACCAATTACTTTATGAAATAGATGAACCTTGTTTAAAGAACAGTGAACACTGAACAGTGAACACTGAACATCTGTGTAACGGTTGGTAAAGATACTCATAATACAATCGCAATATGATATTATGAACAATGACTCAGTATCAATGTCCTCTCCAGGCCCCTACAACTCTCAAGTGGTGGTCGACTTCTGGAGAATGATCTGGAAGGAGGAATGCAGAACTGTTGTTATGGTAACTGGTCTCGTTGAGGGAGGCAAGGTAAATATATTTGGCAATGAAATAAAGACATTGTGAAATTGTTTAGGGGCAGACTGTGCAAATATCCACTGCTTTTCGCTGATATAATTTTCTGAACGTCCGACGTACTGAACTGCTGCTCATTTGTGTATTCTTGTTTTAGGTGAAGTGCCTTCGGTACTGGCCTGAGAAAGGCACCAAGACGTATGGAGATGTTATGGTGACAATGGTATCTGAAACACGACTATCAAACTACACAATCACAAAGCTGTCTGTTGAGAGTAAAAAGGTAAAATGCATCGTTTACCCTGATACTATTATTTGAATATTGGTAAGATTATAGAAAGATCTGCTGATGCTATAATATGAACATAAATATTCCGATCACCTACAGTTCTGTTTAATAATGCCATTATAATGTAAAATATCCCCGCCAGCAGGTACGCATGGGTGTTGTTGGGAATAAATTAGCTGTTTTGAGATATTTAAAGTGTCAGTATTAGGAATAAAAATTGCACATTGCGAGGATATTTACAATCCCAAAACATACAAGCGTTAACCTCTTTATCATATCATGTCATTGTTGATTCTATCGCCAAATACCAGGTAGGCAAAAGAAATTTGCCAAACATATGTTAAATCTCAAACGTAGTTTCATCAAGGAACCAAAGTATAAATGCAGTTTACCGGAAACCTTTCGCCATTGTGGTGAGGGTTGTTCACGAGCTCCTTTGCGGTTTCAAAGTTTTCAAGACGTCATGTTTACCCGCCTTGCTCAACAAAGCTAGTTGTTTAACATTCAAGGAAAGATCTTTTGTTGCCTAGGTCTAGAAGCACAGATATATTAACTTATCCTTCTTGCATCCTCGCTAAATTGATTCGCAATTAATATCTCCGATGTTGTCCACACATCTAAAACACCGCAGCTACGCCCCCGTTAGACACTGGTTATTGGTATCTGAAATAGTATTCTGATAATAAAACAATCCCCGATGGTAATTTCTGACTAGATAGCCGATAGACAAGTGCGACCCCATTATATGACAAAAGTATATCAATATACATATATATGAACGTAAAAAGGGCTGAAGTTGCTGGAATATTGCTCGACATGAGGGGAAAGTTGAAGTCATTCCTCTTGTCATACAGTCTTGTGGAAAGTGTTTTGTTACTCCGAATAAGGCCGTTTTGATTAGAGAAGAGGAAATACTACTCGGTATTGTAATGTTTGATTTGAATAACGTTTGCTCGAAAAGAGATTTACATATTATAAATCATTTAAAAAGTGACCCGCGCAGTATATATAGAACGGCTCAATAATAAATAATTCCCAAACTCTTTCTTGGCATTATTTTAGGATTAGTATTAGGGAAACTGCCGTAAGTGTATACATGAAATTGAGAATAGATACCTCAAAATGTACATACATGTGGATACACATGCATGAGGTAGTGATGGCACAAAAGGGTTGCATGTGATTTGCATGCAAGGACAAAAACACATAACACTTTCACAGAAACAACCCATGAAGGTCACATATGGGCTATACACATTTGACACCTCAGGACCCAGTTGGAGCATATGGACAAATCCGAACGGGGCCACAAAGGGCTATACATTCAGGACCCATTTCCATGCACACATTGACCCCAAGTGGATCCGAGTTATTTTTGTTGGCTGCATTCATGTCCAGTAGTGTTCATTAAGTGTTGTTATTGTGTGGTCAGGAATGCAAGAAACGGGACGTTCACCACCTCAACTTCACCAGCTGGCCAGACCATGGTGTGCCGGACACTGCTGCCCTGCTGGACTTCATGTGGAGGACCGAAGCCATATCTGGACAACAAACAGAGCCGATCGTGGTCCATTGCAGGCATAATACAATACATCTTTTGCACCTTATGATTCTGGGATAGAACAGGCCCCCTTAAAACCTATGACCGTAAAAGGCGACTATGCTTGTCGTAAGAGACGACTAACGGCATCGGGTGGTCAGGCTGACTTGGTTGATTCCTGTCATCGATCCCAATTTAGTGGATCGACGTTCATGATGTCAATCACTGGATTGTCTGGTCCCGACTCGATTATTTACAGACCGCCGTCATATAGCTGGAGTATTGCTGAGTGCGGCGTTAAACAAAAACCAAACAAACAAACAACCTGAAATTGTCGTTGGAGGCGACTAAATGGATCCCTCGTCAGGCCATCAGTCACGATGGATTGCGTGATGACGTGGGATGTTTCTAATTATATCACTCACTGGATTGCCTGGTCGAAACCCGATGATGTTGACGCCACAGCCTTATTGCTGGAATGCTAATGAATGCGGCGTTAAAAAAATAAATAAGTCATACTTTAAAATAAATAAATTAGTAGCACATAGTACTGATTTTGTTCATCATCATATGTTATCATTTATTTCGTGATCAAAAGAGAAGCTATGACTTCTCAGATAAAACTGATAACGAGCTTGTTTTGTACCTAATCCTTGCAACATGCGGGTTTCATAAAACTGCTTGTTAACGTCAAATAGACACACAGTTTATCAAACTTCAACCTTTCTTCTTCCCTTAGTGCTGGTATCGGTCGGACGGGGACGTACATCGCTATCGAGAGCCTTGTGGAGCAGGCAAAGTCAGAGGACGTCGTGGACGTCGTCAGCTTCGTCTCCAACATGAGAGGGCAGAGGAAGAACATGATTCAGACAGAGGTATTTACGATCGGTGATGTCTAGTCATTGCCTGATCACAATAGTGAGATGGGTACTTATATATAATAGGCGATACATGTTTCATAATCCGTATGACTGCGCAAATACATTCATCAAATAGTGGATGGTTTCTTGCCTATGCATGTTTGTCTTTGTCTGTATCCAGGAGCAGTACCTGTTCGTGTACCAGGCGGTGGCGAGGGCGGTGACAGAGGGTGACACGTCACTGGACGCTGACGTCCTCCGGCAGATGGATCTGGATCACGTATCTGACGTCAACTTTGGCAACAAGACTATACAACAACATCTGGAGGTGCCTGACATTGCTGTGTATATGTCTTGTTAACAGATGTAGCTATAGCATAGGGAGTGTGCGAGTATCACAATTATAGCGCTATTATCAGCATACAACATTGCCGGGACTGGAATATCGTAGCAAAATAGCACGCCACTGTGTAAATCTCTCACCAAAGCAAACTGTTGATACGTCTAAGATGCCAGTCATCCAAACACTTGGGGAATCGTTATTACTTAGTCATTAACTTGAGGTTGTTTCACGACTTGTCATCAAATTAGACGTTTATTTCATCGAGTGACCTGACAAAATGAATGTCACATGTCCACTTTCGTCTGGTAAGGAGATGAGATAAAGAGTAATTTGACAAGAAAATTTGTCTGTTCTATTTTTTATGTATTTTCTTACTGACCGTTTTTTACTCAGAAAAACATGGTGTCATTACGTCAGACTGAAAGTATTTCCGGCAAATTGTTATTTGGCTCGAGTGAAATATTGATTTCCAAATATGTATTGTATTTTCATTACTGAATGCAGTATATTCAATTGCTTTCCAGGCGTTGAGGAATGTACACCAAAGTGAGTACACGTCAGAATAATGAACCCCCAATATATATATTGGCTTGCTCATTAGCACATGTAACTTTACATAATAAAAGTTACACAATTGTAACCCTTTCTGTTATCATAAGAAATCTCTGCTTAAAGCAAATTGATTTTGTGACTCCTTTAAATAGATGGGTACATAAGTAGAGTCATATGTGCAGCACTGTTCCTTTTTCTGTTTGAACGTACTGTCATATATCGATGTCACTTTGTGTCAGCCTGTTGATAATTTACTTTGTTCTGGACTTGTAGGTTATTATATAGGTTGATGCATAATAATCTAAGAGGTCACACACAGGGATATATGTTCATATATCTTCGTCATGAGAAATTGAAGATATATAATATTTTATGCAACTAAGTATGAGCGATTCGTTTTCAGGAAAAACCGAGGTCGTCAACGTCAGAAGCGTTCACGTAAGTGTCATAGAATGCTTTTGCAGGTTGACTTGAAAAGATTGTATGTTGTGCATGTCATGTTGATTGGAATATTAAACCACCTGGAGTTATCTCCCTTGTACAAAGCACATGTTGAGTCAGACATTTTAAAGTGTCTTTGATGGTGACCTGTCTTGGTCATTGATGTCTTACAGAAAGGGGGAAGATGCAAAATGTACCGTTGCATAATGTCTTTAGTTTGTCTTTATAATTGTATCAAAATGTACATGTTCCTTATGTTGCATCAAACACATATAAAGAGAAATGAAAATAACGCCTCAGCTGAATGTGCACGATTATTAATTTTCCTGTTATTTGCCTACAGTCTTACACAACGCGTAATGGCTTCTTCATAATGACGTCACATCCGGACAAGGAGGAAGTTTGGAATCAGGTTTACAACAGTGACTCGCACTGCCTGCTCACGTTTGCTGTCGGTGATCTGGTTGGTTTTACACTCTGAAATGACCTTACCTGAAACATATAAGATAATATGATTGAGGGAGCGAGTCATAGAGTTGGATTTACTTTAAACAAGATTACTGCTATACCATAAATGGATGCAGGTTTCAGAAGTTTAACTCTTTGATGAAACCCATCACGAGAACCGAATGTAGATGACAAGCCGAGTAAATTAAATCAGGGACTGATGCGGCGAAGGGGCAAAGGACTTGCATCAGGAAAGAGTTCAACATGTACTTGTTTTATTTTTTTAAAGCAGCCAATCCGAAAATGCACAAAATGCGTTAGAACTTGTATTGCTTCTTTCAATTGTTTTAATATTTCCATCTGTTTCTAGAGTTATCTACCATCAGTTGATAGTCCCATTACGACAGAGAGGCTTGCAGTGAGCATGCGCAGTTCCACTGCTTTGTCTAATGACATTTTGCTGAATACAATTGATATCAATATAAAGGTAAGCCTGTGAAAAAATGTTTTAGTCTTCTTGAGAAAATTAAATGTTTGAAAATGTTCGGCTATAATATGGAGAAGGACCTCTATTGACTCATATTAAAGTGAATACAATGCTTTGTACAGTGAACAAATGAAGTCCACCTTATCATTATTTCAGGACTGTGACGATACCACCACCATACAGCACTATCACATCACAGGAAGTGCACGAGACCCGAATATCAGCTGGCTGATTGACAGTTTCCTTACATGGACTAGTGATCCACAACGAAGTTCCAGCACTATCATCTCTGAGTAAGTACATCAGTCCTTATGACATCCTTAAGGTGTAAAATAAAACAAATGTCATCACTTGAACACTGATGATATAAAGATTTGTGAGGAAGAATTGTTGCCACTTTATCTGAGATGAGGACCTCCTCCGTGGTGTAGTGGTAGAGCGTCCGCCCGGACGCTTCATACCAAAAGACGTTAAAAGATGGTACTTGTTGTTACCCTGTCTGGCGGGGCTAAAACAAGGACTGGTCGGCTCAGGGTCGGTATACTTTGTCTGGGTAGGGTATTCATGTTAAACTACAGCATGGTGTCTCAGTGGGCTAGCACTATGCATCAGTCCGGACTGGTACAAGCAGCCACACACACACACACACACACACACACACACACACACACACACACACACACACACACACACACACACACACACACACACACACACACACACACACACACACACGCACACACACACACACTGGCACACACACACGCCGCTGTATAACTGCAAAAAATTTGGACGTGACGCTAAACCCCATTTCACCTCATCTCTGAGATGAGCCTATTGTTTCATCTAATCTCAGCAAAAATATCTGTGAAACAATCAATACAACGGATTGTTTGTAACGAGTAAATGTGGGAGAACTGTTTGTGTAATTGGGTTGTCGTCAGAAAGTCGTGAATGGTCGTCAAGATTCTAATCACTGTACAGTTGAAATAGGCGGAACTAAAAGCATATCCGGACACGTCCAGTGCAAAAGATCAAAGTATCAGTGAGTCGGATTGGTGTTGCTATTGTCATAATTATATACGAAGTGTTTCCTAACCCCAGCCCTGTGACCGACTGTCGTCTCCTGGTACTTTTGCTGAACATCGCCAGCAGACTGCAGGACGACGGTAGGGTGGACGTCATCAACAACATGCGACAACTGTACACATTTCTTGGAGGTCCGCCATTCACTGAGGTAGAAAATACATCTGGATAGCATAACTGTCTGCTAAGTTTACATTTATAAACGGAATGACACAACCATTAGGCATCACGATGTGGATTGTGGAACGTATGCTGTTTGAATGAAAATAGACTATCACACATTCTGCTGTTCGTTCTGCATGCAATTTTATTCTGAATATTTCCAATACACAAATATTATATCGTCGGTGTAATGTTCAGTTAACTGCGGAAAATGCAAACTACAAATACATTAATTACCATCTAGATAAAAATAATACTGGGTCCTCAGTAAGTTGGTCATTGTGACAGTGAGTTGTACAAGATTGACCGGCCGAGGATTTCAAAACGACGGGGGATATTTCGAAATCGTCGTCACTGAGCGTATTGCAACAGTAGATTGTCTATCGTCACAGCTTAATTTTCTAAATATGTAAAAGTGATTTGAAAGACGTGTCGAATAGATTCATTGGTAGCTGCAGATTTGAGGCAGGAGTCCCAGTGTTTTCCGATGTTATGTGGAAGTAGCCTGGGAGTGTTTACATCATTTCATTCATCAGAATAGAATCTCGTTCATACGTTTGTGGACGTCAGTTTCGGAGTCCGTCATGTGACCGGCCTCTTGTCCAATTAAAAACTGATTGTCCCATTATCACAATATTTTCGGGAGAGAACAAACTCATTAGAAACAATTGTGGTGAAGTGAGTGAGAGAGTATGGTTTTACGCCGAATTTAGCAATATTAAAGCAATATCACGGCGAAATTGTGACGAAGAGAGTTGTATAAACCATTTTATTACCGGGCAATGTTTGCTAAAATATCTTTTTCTACAATTTCAGGCTGACGTCATGTTCTGTCTTGAGTCTGCCCAGCGGCGGCTGGTGTCAAGTAATGTTTACGCCAACTTCTGACAGCTTCCACAACTGCACAACACTTCATGTGACATTACCAATAAAACCATACATGCATGTCTGTGAAGAAAGCATGTATGAAATGTGAACTTTTTATATGTATAAATGTATATCTTTCATGTACTGCTGGATGTTACACTGAGATATGTTTGTTTCAGTGCTACCCTGTGTACAACATCTCTACACATGCTACCAAAGCACAGTGGATATTGTCTGAATTGTCCTTATATTTATGACTCTAGACCAACTTAAATATATATTCACCTGCATAAACTATCACTAAATATTTGCTTGCGATCAGAGCAATAGTCACTGACAAGCTGTTGAATTATCCCCACTTAACGAAACATACAACTTACTACGATAACTTATTGGAAAGTGGTGAATGGCATTTGAGACTTCTGTTTCGACACTTCAGATTAACATGATCAGCTATTCAGAAATGTCTGCATCTGGATATCAGCAAGCACCGTTGTGCAACTTCACGTACAGAAGTGACAGTATGCATTGGCGAGTACAGAAGTATCAAAAGAACGATATACGAGTGTACTTGGCGAACTTGCTGCCTAAGAACATTTGCCTCTTGTAGTTCTTTTGTAAAAAAAATTGTTTGTTTATTTGTTGTTTAACGCCGCACTCAGCAATATTCCAGCTATATGACGGCGATATATGATTGACGTCATTTGGATCGATGACATGCATGAACCGATTCACGAGCCTGACCACCAGATCCCGTTAGTCGCCTCTTCCGACAAGCATAGTCGCCTTTTACGGCAAGCATGGGTTGCTGAAGACTTATTCTAGCCCGGATCTTCACGGGTCTCTTTTGTAAATAGAAATATGTTCCGATTTAGGCAGAAGAAGAAACATGTTGTAGATTTGTTGTCTTTGTAAGCCATGATGGACCGACCACCGTCATACGTTTCTGAATACATTGATGTCAGTTATACAATGCGTAGCTAGATCATTAAGCACGACAACGTGAAAGCTAACCATTTTGTGAGTAGTGAACAGTAACTGATCCGGGAGTTATGTTGTTCAGTATGCTTCCTTTTACACTTCTACTTCCACATAGTGTACACACATTGCTTCTATTGTCAAAGAACTATTCAAGAGAAATATTTATTTTAAGAACCTATGAATTTGAATAAATACAGTTTGAGCTTCATTGTTTTTGAAGAGTTCACTAAAACCAGGAATATTGAAATAAAATTTCCCAAGATTCTTGTTTTGTGTTATATTATCGTTGGACAGTTTTCCATGGGGCAGTTCTCTGACAACTTAAGCTCAGTCAGTTGGCAGTAAGAAATTGAAAAAAAACCATTATAAAGGGTTTACAAAAACAAGCGAAAAGTGCCTAAATTAACTAAAGTGCGACAATTCGACAACGCAACATCTTGACTATATGTTGCATCGTGGCGTTGTCAAATTGTCGCGTGACTGTAACATGTTTTCTGCGTCGCATTATAATAGAGACGTGCGGTGTAGGACTAAACTGTACAATAATTGCTGACTTCTCTTAAGGAATGCATACTACATGTTTGCTTATGATGAGTGTTCTAGCACATAATGCTCCATTTTTTGCTTAAAGGTGTTTCCTGACTTGAAATTGACAAGCCATTCAAGGCAATTGACTAAACCAATACAGCTTCACTCAATATATTCGCGAACACTAAATACATAACGTTTTATTTGGTTTTGGTAGAATGGAGATAAATGTGCTATGTTTTTAATTCAGAGCTTGTTTATTTGCTGATTTAACTCCGCTAATTTAAAGATTTGACACGTCATGCTGTTGTTCGTTCTGTTCTAAATGCAATTTAGCACGGCTAAATCTACAGGTAACGTAGCTTCAAATTGAAAATACATTTATCAAAAGTAGGTTTATCGTCTAATCAATATATTGATGAAAGTATTTCTGAACTTCAGTAGGAGATACAAGTCGTGAGCATTAATAGTTATTAATATCCCGGAACAAATAACTAGACAGTTTATGCCTGCCAGCAGAAGTATTCGGTTATCAGTTTCCTCAAAAGAGTGAAAGCTTGCATACCCGGATCTACCTGTGCATGTCAGCTGTCATGAATTGATACCTTGCTTCGAAAACTCTGATAACAAGAAACCTGTTGTTTGATATATGTCACTTAGGAAAATTCGGTACTACTGACGTGCGTAGTTTAACATGTCAAACACAATGTGTCATTAGTATATTTTTACGCCAAATGGAATCGTTTTCGGCAGATTGTCGAGACTTATTATATTATCCGTCCCTTATAATGACGACTTGACGAATTAGCACTATAATAATAATCAAGATGAAACTTCTTCTTGTGTTTATTTGTCACGCTACATTCACCTAAAATTGAAACACTCGGAGCTAGATCAGAGTACTAATTAATTATGTGTTGATAGAAATATAAGTCTAATGAAAAAATGATAGTAATAGTTGTTTATAGTTTGACATTTTACACATATCTTCGATCTGACATTATATTTTCATAAAAGCTAGGAGTTGTGACTCACACTTTGGCTGATGAATCACGCCTCTGTCCCAGGACTTTGTCACGTTCGATTACGATGAAATTCTGTATTAACATTACTAACCTCAGCCATCCCCCAGATATACACAAATTGTAAGCCATAACAACACGATTCAAGTCTTGCCTTCCACATCCTTTAAATTGATTTCTAGTTTCATTTTAACGTCCGCATGATTAACACATTTGTCCTTAATGACATAAGGTCTGAGCGTGATTACATTAGCTATAAAAATAAAATAGCTACCTGTTTCAAGAATACCGATTATTGTATCATATTACGAACATTTGAACATTTATTTAGCTTCACGAAAAAATAGCTTCGGGTAAGTGTATGTGAAAGGCTGTAGTACTTGAAACATTCTTATTGCTTTTATCGTAATTATAGCAGTAACATAAGTTTTTAATTGTGTGTAACAGTTTTATCGAATGGACAGGATTCGACATGATATATAACCACCTATGCAATGTTCATCTGATAAGATATCTGAAAAAGAATATTTAAGTTTTGTATATAGGGGTTATCACGCGAGTGTGTTTGGGGATGGTAAATATCCTGCATTAGGAATAAACGCTATGTAATTATCCCCAAACACACAAGCGTGATAACCTCTTTATCATATAATGTCGTTCTTTAATTCCGTGCTTCAAAATCACTTTCCCTCTCTCACAAACATTAGCGAAACATTGCGATTTTTCTTGGAATGCGCGCATTAATATTTATTACGTTTCATGGTAAGTGATGTGTCAGTCGGACAGTGGCAGTAGCCAATATATAGTTCCAACTGAAATCTGTTTCTTATACAGTGGTGAAGCAACAAATACGCAAAACAACAATTGTTTTTAAGTGCCTTTCGCGGCAATCCATCAATCTGTCCGCTAAAGTAACTGCCCTAGTCTATGAGACGTCACGGCCACGTTCAGACGTTGTTGACAGTCGCAAAACGCAAAATTGTTATATAATTGTTGTATATATACAAAGTTGCCAAAACTTAAAAAATGCCTTAGCTACGTCACAGTTAGACACTGATTTTCAGTATATTAGACTGTTCTTTTGATAATGATAGCAATTATCCCTGTAGTTTATCCAGATTCCCGATGGTTAATTCTGACTCGATCGCCGAATGACGAGGGCGACGCCTTGTTTGTTTATAAACAGTGAAAGTAGTCCCTACTTTACCTTTGATATCTGCATCTCTATCCGCATATGACCTCAACATATATCGTTTTTATCCGTTGGCTTTATCCTGCCGAGAAACCTACCCATTATATGATAAATATATATATGAAGGTGCACCCTAGTGACATCACCACCGCTGTGTTTGTTTTGTTTGTTTGTTGTTTAACGCCGCACTCAGCAATGTTTTAGCTATATGACGGCAGTCTGTAAATAATCGAATCTATACCAGACAATCCAGTGAATGATATAATGGTCAAACTGGTCAAAGTGCGTTAGTCAAGAAGGCAAAACTGAGAAGCTTTCTTGCTCATGTAATTCTAACCGCAGTCACGTTGGTGCAGGTTACATCGATCTTGCAGATGATCTGATAGCATTTAATAATGCTGGATTGCTCCCCAAAACTCTTGCAATCTCAAGGCTAAATGTAGGGGATGATGTAAAAAATACATTGATGCGACATTCAGCTAAATTTCACAATAACTGCAAGCTTTCATACAGCAAGTCCAAATTAAAACGAGCTCAGAACAGGAGCAGTACATCATCCTCAAGCACTGATGTTGGTGGTAAGAAAGCACGTGGTGAGCGGTACCAACGGCAACAGAACATAACCAGGGATAATGTGTGACTGTTTATTCTGTGATGAACCGTCTAATACCCTGATCCACTGCATGAAGCAATGACCAAAATGATCAGTGAGAGAGTTCGAAGATGCGCAACAAAGCTGCTTCATGATCGTATCTCAGCAAAGGTATCGTCTTGAGACCTTGTTGCTAGTGAAGCAAAGTACCATTCTAAGTGTTTGATCGCCCTGTATAATAAAGCAGCAAGACTTAAAACATCAGAACAAAACGAGAACTATGGGGGTAAAGAGCATTTGCAGAACGTGTGGCATTTGTTGAAGATGCAGTTACTGACAGAGGATCACTGAACACTTCTCCTGTATTTAAACTCTCCAAATTAGTTCAGCTCTACAGTGACAGACTTTCACAGCCTGGTGTTGAATCTCTATCAATACACACTACAAGGCTGAAACGTCGCATTCTTGCTAATTAAATTTCACGAGTTGCAGGCCTTCAAAGAGTAAAATGACATTCTCCATGTATCCATTATGATGTTGGTACAGATTTGCGGAAGGCCATTGACATTGTTTACAATGCATTTGTAATTTCTCAGGCAGCAAGAATCGTGCGGAAAGAAATGTTTAATACATCAACATCGTTTGATGGCAAATTTTCCGAAGACTGTCAAGTTGAAGCGGTTCCGTCTGCTTACTCACACACATGGCCAATATTCTGTATGGAGCGAGTATTACGGAACAGTCGGTTGTACCACAGAACCAAGCACTACAGCATGTGTCAGACTACAAGATAAAATCCAAAGAAAATGCAACCAATACGTCACAACAAGTCTCGGGAGCCTCCTTTGCCTGTGTTTCTTGGGATCCTCCTTGACAACAAGACACGCAAGCGTGAACTGGTTGAAAAACTTTTACCTAGGACTGTCGGTGTCCTATAACCGAGTTCTTGAGATTTCAACCGGTATTGGCACCAAGACTTGTAATAATTATTAACGGCTGAACACAGTTCAACATCAGTCATCAAACAAGTGCTACCACTGCGAAGAGTTCATTCAATGGGACAGGGATCTCAGTATTCCAGCACTTTGACAACGCTGACCAGATGGTGCTTGACCCTGTAAGCAGTCTTGAAGAAACCAGTGGCAATGATTATGTAACCACCAGTCAGACAAGAAAGAGGCTACCCAGATTGTCAGCTTCTTACACCCAAGTTCTCTTGCTCTGATTCCGAGACGGTTGGACCAGTGCAGTCTGCTTTTGATCTAATGTCTCCAGCTATACAGCTAGAGTACACGTGGCATGAACACGTTAGTAATGCAGTACAAAAAGGAATGGATTCCACTAACGTATCAGGGGCAGCTTTCCA